TTTTGTTTATGTTACGAACGTTTACGTGATTACTGCACGCCGTACACTCACGATCGTGCTATGACCCCTGTGTAAACTCATAATAATCACCTAACATGACAATGTGGTTATTAAGAAGATCTTTAATTTCTCATAGTTAATTACTAAGGTGATTTTATTCTCGTCAACGCTGATAACACGCATAAAATAGTGAAGTTTCGTCCATAGTTTTATAGTATATTCGACACACAGTTCATGCAGGTAAGTATGTTATTTTTTTCAAGTATTTAATATATGTATTAGTAGATAAGTGACGTTTTACATAGCTCAATTAAAATTCAAATTAGATAAATAGTTTCGTAATGATGATAAATACTTTTATAAAATTTACTCTGTAATGAGATCATTGCACTTAGCAGTTGCCAATGTCAAAACAAAGTTTGTAGTTGTTAATAGTTAGGTAGGTATTGAACATTCTTGAACTTGTCCTGTTGCTTAGAATTCACACAGCGTGTGTTTTATTTATAAGTACATAATTGTGGATATTGTGGAGAGTTGCTGTTAAGAAAAAGTAAACCAATTAAAGTACTAAGTACATACAACTTTAAATGTAGTTAATTATTATATTTTATTTTATTTCTGGGTGAAAATGAATTTTTTGTTTTCCTCTGAATTTTATTAATAAAAGACAGTACCAAAGATTTAAAATTCAAGTTGCTGAATAAGAAAACAAATAGAAATTATATATAAAATCATAGTAAATTTTTTTTTACAATTTACTGAGTTTGTAAGTTGTTCAGAAAACGTAATTGAAGATAATTTTATTAAAGCTGATGTTAAATAGAAGTTACCCAAATGCCACAATAGTTTCCTCATCGACAGTAGTAGTAATAACAATATATTTTCCTTCCTTAGAACTAACTAGTTACGAGGATGCGCTGTTGTGTCAATACTGGAATATCTAATATATAATCAAAAGGCAAATCATTCCATACTTTTAAAAATCAACTTGAGGGTGGTGGTGATTACCAGCGGTATCTATTGGTTTTCGAAATTAATGAACACCCTAAGATTGAGAATTTATTACATTTAACCTTAAAAGTAAATAATGTTTTGTTCTAAATTATTATATTACAATCAACTACAAAATTTGTAGTCAAACAAAACTTGGTAAACATTAAACATACATACACATGTCACATGATCTACATTTGTAACTTAAAACTGAGTATTTCAAAGTTCAAACTTTCTAATTAGAGTGAGTGATCTGTTAGTGATTATGCATTATTCAGTTAACTGCTGCCATTTGTTAACAGTTTGGTTGCAGACACTCAGGTCATTGACAAGTTTTCCATAATAATATTTAGTAATTCAGTACAGATAAAAAAAGGGAAACAGTAGTTAATGTGTTTGGCCAAAGTTAATGTAGTATCTATAGTATCGCCCGGGTGGCCTGGCAGGGCCGCCGTACCGCGGAGACCTACGTCGTTGGTCGTCGACTACCGCCTCGACGACCCGTCGGTCGGGCGTCCTCGGGGTGGCGCCATCTGTCTGGTTGTAGTGTTGACCGCGGGAACCCCCGTACTCTGACCGGGTTTTGACCCTGGACGAAGATCGGACGTCCGGTATTAGCACTTTCCATGGCAAAAATATGATAAGTAAAGGGATAAAACAAGTACTTTTAGATACCGTCTTTATTACTACTGGCATTAGTGACATCCATAAGCGACTGTGGCCACTAGACTATGTAGCAATACTAGAGGTATCGGTAAAGAACGCTCGGGACATCTAAAATATGCAACAATTAATGACGACGCTGCTTTTCGCCAAATGATGCTAATTAACCGTCGAATAAATATGAGTGAGTAAAATTGCTGAAGCTATAAAAGAATATTCGACAATTTTTACGAGTTGCGTTGTCGTCACCGATACGCTTTGTAGTACCCCGAGGTACGTCTGTCTTGGTGGCTGACGCACTACTCGTTATGTCACTCACGAGTTATTACTCAGTTTTTCCGTCAGCAACATCACACTGCCCACAATACCTTTCTGTTAGTTTGAGTATATACTCGTATGCTCGTATTTGTAGAATAAACAATACAAATAACGAAACACCTTTAAATACAAAGTAGTGATTTTACGGGTAAGCGGCAATGGTCAATCTGCTGTACGAATGTTCAAAAAGTTATTCCCTAACACCACTTTCAAGTCGCAACCTGATGGTCGCAGCCACATGACGATTACGGGCTTAGGGTTAATTTAGTGTTCCCCGGCATTCTCAAAGACGCAGAAGCACCGGACCCCTTGTGGAATTAATTGAATTCTTTCAAGGAGACGTCTTACCACTACACTAGATTCCGTTAAGCATTCTAATGTTCATAACACCGTGTGGCGATTTAACTACCGCATCCTTTTTATGACCAAAAGGCTCGCGATCTTCATTCGCAAGACAACGCAACTCGAATTGTTTCTGTTACTGGATATGCTGATATACAACGGTAGGCAGCGGCTTGGCTCTGCCCCTGGCATTGCTGAAGTCCATGGGCGACGGTAACCACTCACCATCAGGTGGGCCGTATGCTCGTCTGCCTACAAGGGCAATAAAAAAAAAAAAAAAAATACAAAATGCTGATGGCAATATCTTGTGAACAAATGAAAGCTTGTTCTCGCGTGTTGTTAGCATCTACAATGCGCATAACGTGCATTTGCACGACCCGCTTGTAATTTAAAGTGACTCCTTCCAACGGAGATTCTCCTTCATATGGCATAATAATTACTTGGGCCATACTTAAGTCGTTGTGGCCTAAAGGATAAGACGTGCGGTGCATTCGTATGTAGCTATGCACCGGTGTTCGAATCCCGCAGGCGGGTACCAATTTTTCTAATGAAATACGTACTCAACAAATGTTCACGATTGACTTCCACGGTGAAGGAATCACATCGTGTAATAAAAATCAAAACCCGCAAAATTATAATTTGCGTAATCACTGGTGGTAGGACCTCTTGGGAGTCCGCACGGGTAGGTATCACCACCCCGCCTATTTCGGTTCCAGTAACCACCTAACACCAGGTGGGCTGTGAGCTCGTCCATCCATCTAAGCAATAAATAAAAAAGTCGATGGTTACCGGACTAGTAGCATTTATCTTCAGATGCTGCATCGTGTGATGGAGGAATGATTTATATTTGGCACGCTAAAATGGACCTTAAGATATGTCTAATTATGTTTGGATAATAGCGCTGGAAAGTTTGAGCTATTACTTCGAACAACATAATTTAATATTTAAATAAACAAGAAAATTAAATAAAGTGCAAGTGCATTTTTATCACCGTCATCAATTCGGTAAGAGTTTCGAAAGTTATTTGTTGGACCTTGGAATGCCTAATTACCGAATCATCAATAAATATCGTATGTAACATACATTTGCAATAATGTACATGTAAATGTAATTTGAAACCTCCTTGTTACCGAAATGACTAAAAATGTTTAAATATTAGGTATTTTTGTAGATCGTAAGATTGATAAAGTAGAAGTAAAATGCCGATTTAATAATTTTTTGTTTTGTTATTGCATCACAAGGAAGGTCCTGTTCTGACAAGTGCTTTTTTTAATTTTTTTTGTTTTAAATTCAAGTTATTAAGCTATTAGGGAAATGTATACGAATCGCTCTTTGAATATGGAAGAAATGCGGGGAGACATACTATATTTATGGTAGTAGTTAATTGTAATAATACGGAAAATCAATGTTATTCAATGAACAACACCTTTATCTTTTAAATGAAGCACTTAAAATATTAGTAGTACAACACACTTTTAATAATATTGTTACTTTACAACGCAATTGCGTTAGAATATCTTATCAATAAGATTTGTTTTATGAAACAATGTACGGTACCGATACAAATCTCAAAACAATACTTTTGTTCAGTTGACCAGACTGTTTTAGGTCAATTTCTCAACATCAAGCTCAAGTGAGACACCATTTGAGTCTTGATCATTTTGTCTCGCTTTTGATTAAGTACTACAAGTAGTATATTGTTGTCAATATCCAACAACCGTTAACCATCTATCAGAATTTTAATACAAATTAAAGCTGTCTTCGAATATGCCATAAATCGTAACCATAACTCGATCCGAAAAATGGTGCTTAACCAGTACGTAGCTTTATAATTTCAGTATTTGAATATGTCTGCGTGTGTAACAATTTCTAATTTTTAATTGCTAGTTTGTTCTTTGGAGAATCGCACACATTCTGGGAACCAAAAAATTATGAGTTATTTTTTACTAAAATTTAATTGTTATATTAAAATATTTGTTCAAAGTTTTTATTTTCACAATCAAATACTTTCATTTACTTCAAAATTTGAAAGGGATGTAATTGTAGGACACGCGTCATTTAATATTTTCATGCTATAGAGATCCACAATAAAATTATTCTGAATTTTATCTTTGTGCGTCCATCTCTTTTGCACGTTTAAATACACAGAGCGAAATTTTGTAAGGACACTGTGCAGAATCACACTGATGATCGTTAAAAACGTTTTAAACTTTTCCTTCAAATTAGGAATATATGCGATGCGTATGCGTAACAACAATAACTAAAAATTTATATTTTATGTGCACTTAAGAAAGAAAATGGTTTAAAATCATTGAAAACTTCGGTCTGAGATACGAAACTACTGACGATCGTTAAATTTTACTAGTGATGATTATCCTACGACCTCTCTACATAATATAATAACATGGCATTAACTATTTTTAATTTAATAAATTGATACAATGTCGTGCTCCATATTTGTACCGTTTTTTGAACACACATTACCTACTTGTTGCGACAAAGTATTGGTATTCCAGAAGAGGAATTTTTCTTTATGTACGTACGTAGGCTTTGTGCTGTACTTGTTTATACAGGTTTGCGTTGAGCATAGTGACAATAAGGACAACGAATGCTGACAGCGTGGCTTGCGACATCGGGGTTTAATATTTGGTACACTTATTGGGATCGCATCGAATTGTCAACAGATAGTAACGCGAGAGCAACACACCTCAGTCGCGCAAGGGATGATAACGTCAAGAAAGGCAATGCAAGTGGTAACAGTGAATGCAGTAAGCGGAACAACATGGAAACCCTAGCGCAGGGCGAAAATTTCGAAGGCAAAGATGCTACCTCGCAAGAAAAAGGATCGACGGAAAACAGAGATGGTAAAACGGAAGTGTACTATTTCAAGTGTGGTTTGGTGAACCTTACAATTGAAAACTCACATTTAATTTTTATTAATTTAATCAAGTGCCACGTCATGTCATCGCTTTTTTAATTAAGATATGGACAGTAAAAATAATATCATCAGTTTACTTTATTTTTGTTGTTTTTCGAAAATCGAACACCAATGTTTTGCACATGTCCTCGTTTAATTTGTCAAAATAAAATATCCAATAGATGAATATTAAACGAAAAATAAATCTCAACAAATACTAAAATACGAGTACGTTATGAAAATATGAATTGTCTTTTGTTGACTGTAATACAGTAAATTGAAAAGGTGATCGGCATCGGCATGTATCGGCAGGACAGTTGAAAGAGAACTTTCAATTAATAAGACTATATAAATTCATTATAAGATGGATAATGTTGAGATAATTTTCTTAACCTAACAAATCGAAAGACAATAGAAACTAACAAATTGAAAGACTTAAAACAATATGGAGGCGAAGATCTTCCTGTCGCCTGGAAAAGGAACACATGTGATGAAAAACCAGTTAGATTTTTATGAAAATCAAAATTGTTGCATAATAATTTATATTATATACTTTTCTTGAATAAGCTTAGTTTTAATAATTTTTCATTTTGTAACGTTTTTATACACTGTTGACTTGAAAAAAAGAAAAATGTCAATGAATTATGATCAAAGAAATATTCATTTGCTGTGGTTAGTTCACAGTAAAATCTAAGTAATAAGATAAACGAAACTATAAAATAAATTTTAAGTGTTGGTAATTTCCTTGATCAGAGATTCAAGATTATCATTTCTTATCCTGATCATCGTGCTCAACGATAAACATCATTTGCTTATAGTAGAATTGAAATAAATAACCTCGAATCAACATTTAGTAAATTAACAAAGATTGTTAATTTTGTTAGAAAAGTTTAAATTAAAGATATAAGTTTTTTTTCTAACGCAGAAAGTTCGCAGCTAAGTAGTGGCGTGGTGTCGTCCAGTCAAGACGACATCACGAGTAATAAGCGACAGCATGCAGAAGATAACCAAGAAACTGACGGAGCTGATGATGAAGTGTCAAAACGAAAGAAGAGGAAAGATGAAGAAAAAGAACCGATGGGTAAACCAGCCCCTGTTGCTAGGGGAGGACCCGGACGGTACGTTTTATTGGATAGCTTTGCGTGGTAAAGAATACCTTTATCGTTTTCACAATAAACTCCCGGTCATCGTTCTCGCCGAACCCGTCGCTTGCGACGAAGGGCTCGACGAGTAAATTAACTCTCGGACACAGCCCAATGAGTTTCTCGCCGGATCTTCTTAGTGGGTCGCGTTTCCTATCCGGTGATAGATTCTGCGAAGCACGGCTCTTGCTAGGGTTCGTGTTAGCAACGTCATCAGGTTTGAGCCCCGCGAGCTCACCTACTAATTAAGGTTACGCTGATATAGCCTCTCAAGGCTCCCAGCTTAGGTAGAAAAAAAAACTGATACTATATTTTTCAACAATAACTCTATTTTTACAGTCATTTAACGAAAACAAACTTGCAGTATCGCTCCACTTTGTTCGAGTATTTCTGTCATAATTTTAGAAGCCTACTTCACTATACTTTCCATAAGACTTCGATCTTGAACACTGCTCAAAATTTCGACTTCAAAATACTAATACTTCCGGAAGGACGTAATGATATCTTATTCGTAAATTTGTCCATAATACAAAGATACAGTACCGATGAGCAGATGAGGATGATGCTTGTGATTTTTCTTAATTTTTTACATGTTAACAAACAGTAAACCTCCTGGTCCTGCAAGCAAGACAGGCGTGGCCCCACTCGGCAAGAGTGGAGGGGCACAGGGCTCTGGCAAGGGTGGATCGGGTGGCGGCTCTTCAGGAAAAAGCGGAATGCAGTCTCAAGGAAAAGGTGCCGGTGGAAAGGTATTATTTTCAAATCATAAGTTCCCGTGTTCTTGTTTTCTTCTAATGACACATTCATGACTCATAATAAATCTTGAAGACAATAATTTTATATAAGCATCGCTGGATAGATCGGCCCACCTGATGTTAAGTCGTTATCTGAGATGATAATGCGAACACTGTGGTTCACCTTGAGACATTAAGTCGATGTCGTTAGTCTCTTGGAATAAAGGCCAATGAGATTGCGAGCAATGTCGTTTCTGTTATTTGTCGCTTAAATGCATTACACGCCGTGGATGGCAAACTAACATACGATCCACCCAATGGTAAGTACTAACCGTTGCAAATTAACATGGACCAAAGCGCTGCCCACCATTAAGGACATTTCAAACATAGTTTGAGTATGGCACGATGACGATGTTTTTTTTTTTTTTTGTTGTAGTTCAATGCGAAATATTTAGTCAACTAGTATTTTTTTTTATTTGGTCACAACATGAATAGGTATCGTGGTACTGGTATTGTGAATTTAACACATAAAAATCTTAGGTTTATGCTTTTTCTAATTTTCACTATGGCCTTAGTTCGCAAAATCGCAACAGTATTATATTTGACGTCGATTGGGTTTCAAGATGAAACCCTAGATAGATGATACACCACGATTTGACCGAATTTGACGTCTTCATACGCAACGAAACATGGGATTTATTTATCGATCATGATCGATTATTGTTCGAATATGAAAGCCAATCTTCACGCTGGGCGTTTCTTACTAAAAAATATCCATAAAAAAGGTGAAGAGAAGATACAGCGTGAGAAACATGATAGCCATATTCTTCGCACGGCCTGCCTACTCCGAAAAGTTGTGATGCAAAATTGTCTCTAATATCTGGTTGCCACAAGTGTTCTGGATAAAGTTCGAGAACAGCGTTTTCGCAGGATGATTCTTCACGCTCAGCCAGAGAAACAACTACTTTGCTTAATTTTTTGTAGTGGAATTGTTGAGCTATCCGCCAAAAAGTCCTGACCTTGTACCTTGCGATTCCTATGTGCAGACGCGATATAAGCGAATACTACGAAATATTTGAAATTTGATCGTTGCAAATGAAGGACACAGACTGCGGAAAGAAACGATAAGAAGCGGCAGTTCTGCGGTAAAGGAAGGATGCACAATACCTTATGTAGTCCTTACTGCAGGCTCGTACCGCTACGCGATGAGAAACACCAACAATTTCACTTATTTACGAATATATTACATCACAGACACGAAGCGCGCGAGCTAGTTCAGCCATTACATTTCTTCTCGAGTCGATGTCGCCACACGATCTCGCTCGCACGCTTCGGTAGGTAAAGTGAGGGATGAGGGATGGGACAGGATTTGCAAAACCAAATTAAATGTTGCTATTTTTCGAAACCAAAAACTAACAGTTTTAAACCAGCGCAACTACTATGTATTTCCAAAAACAAAACAAAAGACCTGAGGAATCTGATTTCAAGACGCTGAAGAAGCAGTTACACCGTATTAAAAAATAATGAAAGAGAAGTGAGTGAGAGAAGAACAGTGAAACCCCCTCTTTTTCCAGTTTTATCGTCTGCAACAATGCTTGAATTGTGCATTATTTTGAAAAACAGTAATATATTTTTTTCTGAAAATATTATTGTCACCCCCGTAGGCTTAGGATTCGGAAACGGCTCCCACACAATCCTTGTAAAAATAATTAATTATATCATATTCAGAATAAGTCCTCAAGCTCCAAAGGTGGATCGGGATCGCAAAACAAGCAAGATAGAAAAAGTCCAGTGGCAAGTCCAAAGCCACATAGTAGTAAAGATAATAGTGAAGACACGGACGACCAGAAAACGCAAGAATCATCAGGGCCTAAAGTTCCTCCACTCAAGATCGTGATACCGGGTGGCGCCGGGGGCTCTGGCGGTAGAAACGAACAAGAAGGCGAAGGTTGGTAGTGTATTTTTGGTTTTTAATCATTCTCATCATTTATTCATTCACTCATTGATTACTATATCTAGTATAATAACCTCACTTCTTAATAATTTGAGGGATAATTTCTTTTTGCTGGTGGTAGGACCTCTTGTGAGTCCGCACGGGTAGGTACCATCACCCTGCCTATTTCTGCCGTGAAGCAGTAATGCGTTTCAGTTTGAAGGGTGGGGCAGCCGTTGTAACTACTGAGACCTTAAAACTCATATCTCAAGATGGGTGGCGGCATTTACGTTGTGGATGTCTATGAGCTTCAGTAACCACTTAACACCAGTTGGGCTGTGAGCTCGTCCACCAATCTAAGCAATAAAAATAACCTTTTGGATGATAACCTAATGTAATGGAACATACAATAGTGACAAAATTCTTCATCCTGGTTATTCGGGACCTAAAAATGTCACATTATATTATGCACTTCCTGCTTTTATCAGTACTTTTAGAATTTGTCTCGTCTTTACTTTTGGGTGTACAGGTCAAAGGGGAAGCGGGAAAGGTCGGGGTAGTGTGTCAACCCTGCCATACGTAATCCCGTGCACAAGCACCGACACGGGACAGACATCGGACAGCTCGGACGGAAATTCGGACGACAAAAGAACAATAGAAGGCGGGAAGGTTGGTTCATGTTTAACATCATCAGCTAAAACGATTTAAATCATCCTCCCGTTAAAGTTCCATAAATCATGTTACATAATAATATAATAGCAAGAGTCACAAATAGGGATGTTACTCATTTAATCTATAATGAATAGATTCATCGAAAATACAAAACAGGGGCAAATTAAAAAAAAACAGTTCTGAAACGAAAAGCTATGGTGGTGGAGCTGGTTGGTTTTTAAATAACATAATTATCTGTGCATCCGATAAGTTTTATGATTTTATTGGCAATAAGATAGCGGTCTGAGTCTGGGATGTGTTGGATGGGACAAGCTCGATAAAATCGACGTATTTACTAATCCATCGCTTATTAACTATAAAATATTAACTTTTGTTATTTTACATGTCAAATCGATGATTTTTTTATACAATAGGTATACATACATATTTCAATGGTATTTTTTGGAGAAACATATTATTATATGTATGCAAAATGAAACAAAAAAATGTGAAACATCTCTATATTCATTTAATCCTAATTATTTCACCAGATTAATTAAAATTTGTATTATGTATATATGCATATGTATGTATATTATGTGTGTACATATATAGTATATACATATACGGTTTATGAAATAATCACAATAGGTTACTCGTTATTGATTCAATTTATTGACATTGTTCCTATTCTGATAGATCATATTATTATTACGTCAAATATATCGTTAATGTGTAACTAACAAAGCACATTGAAATTCACCTCATACTCATTAGATTACTTCATAATTTTGCTTGATCATAAACTTTACATTAAGATTTGAACTGAACGCAGTTTTAATGCATATTCGTTTTACTTTATGCCCAGGCCTCGCAGCCATACGTCAAGGTCGGTACTAAAACAATACTTAGATGTATATTTGATTTACACTATCCCTAAATATTACATTCTTATCAATTCAATAACGATGGTTGTTTAGTTTACAGTATTTCATTGTATACAATTAATGTCACAATATACTATTAAATTATAATAAATAAAAATCAATTTTATTAGCATCAAGCAGTTAAAGATTTAATGTGTTTTGATGAAATTGAATTTCAAAAACCATCGCGCGACATTTGTTCTCCCCCTAATGTTAAATTATCTTAATAATTAAGTTGGGTACAACTATTTTTACAATTTCCGACATTTCGCACGTTTCAGTTAACGTGGCCAAGGAAGTCTACCACATATGTAAGAGATCTAATCCGCATCTTTATGAAAAACATTATTTTTTTGTGGATTAATAACAAACTATAAGTGTTGTATTAATGAGTTGATTTGATTTTTCAGTCTGTTTTTATTTTATTTTTTTGAGCCCTCGATGTTCTATGTTATTCTTTTTTCTAGTATCTTCAGAGTAAATTATGATCTAATATAATATTAAAAAGTCGTATAAATATATTTTATAACTAATTTTTGGTCTGGCAAACTAATTTTTATTTATTCAAAATAATTGAACCATAAATAACTATGAACAAAAAGCGATCATAATGAACTCAAAGATTTAGGTAAATGTGCCTTTTTACTGTGTATTCCTTTCAGTTTATATTCTTGTACTCTGTTATTAAATGTTGTATACACTTTACCTGATTAGGACGCTTTATTATCGATTTAAATATGAGACATTGCATAGCAAAAATATTCGAATAGTATTTTTTTAATTACGTAGCATGCGAAATGGAGTAAAATGACGCGTCTAAGTCAGGTAAACATAATCTCAAGATAAAACAAATGTCTTGTTTGTAAGGCCGGGCAGAGAGTGCTGCGTTCGCATAGAACCAATGACGACAAAGACAAAGAGAGGACGTCACCGCACGTTGGCGCTGGACAAAACCAATTAAACACGAACAAAAGTCCACCGCCCTCTGTAAGTTTTTTTAATGTTTTATTGATATAAAATGTAAAACCAGTCTAGCTCGCCTTGGTTTTAATGATGCTATGCAACTAAGGGTTGTACGAACGCATAAGATTTTTTTGGCGGGAACACGAAAAGCAAAGTTTTCTGGATTGTTTTATTTTGTTATATTAGCGTTTATTCAGGTTTTGAACTTGTAATAACGGTGGCTTGTTAACTGTTTTAGCATTTATGAAAGTGCACGTATGTGGGAATAAAACCGCTGGACGTAGCATCTCGGATTCTTCCAGTCCACTGAAGGCTTAAATAACCACCATTTTAATGAGATTTAATTTCATCCCGTCTTATTTCATTTCATTTAATTTCATCCCAATTGATAATAAATTAGTATTAAATAAATCAACTTCTCATTTCACACCATTTAATTTTTCATATAACAGAGTATGAATATATGTAATAATTGAAGATTTTAAAAACTTGACACTGGCAATAATCCCATCAATTGCCATACTTAAAAAAATAAAAAGAATGGTAGGAGTCATTTGAGATTATTTTCTACTCTTACAGTTAGTGTCATTACAGTCATTTAATTATTTGTCAACTAAAATGAAAAAAACTTCGGATCGTTGAGCAATTCTATAAATAATTTAAAGGTTAAATAGTAATTATTTATAAATCGGCGAAATTCTGAATAAAATACACCCAGAAGATACTTGTTCCAAACTAGCACATTTTGTTGAATTTAGGTCTGTCTTTAGACCAATATTCACATTAAAATAAGTGTTCTTGATTTATGCAATGATTCTAAACAGAGAATTCATAGTTAAATTTCAAAAGAACATGTACAATTGAAGAGCATTAATATTCATTTTTTAGAGTCACGATGATCACACTGTTTCTACATCGAGTGGCTCCAGTAGATCGGAACAAGGCAAAACCAAATTGGGTAAGTTTTCGTAATATCGAAGCGGATAAATACCAACATATTTAGGATTTCTGAAAGTGATATAATCATCAAAATTAAGCCAAAGGAAATAATAATCATAACGATCGAATAAATTAACTACGTTTTTGTGTATATAGTATATATTGATCAACCACTCTTCTTCCTGTTTAGAGTTGCATCCAAGAAAAAGAAAACTAAAATCCTCCAAGGATCATTCGCGAGAATCGAAAAGCGATTCCACACAAGAAGCCAGCTCCCTCAGTCATAATATCACACACAGCAACCCGTATCAGATGTACATACATATACGGAAACAGGTATATTATTAGATTCAATGTAGGGTTGTATGGTAAAAAACTCTATTTCACTAGATAGAAATATAAAAAGTTTCTTTTTGCTCACAGATTCATCACCGTCAACGTGGTTTGTTTCCAGTCAAACCAAAACCTCCAAAAGATTTCAATAAATATCTGATGAATCGTTGTACATACACCCTACAAAGGAATGTCAATCCTGAGCCACAAATCGAGATACCACACAATTTGCCACCTCAAATGATAAATGAATTTATGACTCAGGAGAAAGAAAGGTGCACACAGTATTTTATGTACATTTTTATTAGTAGTAAACGATTAGTGGATTACTGTTCCCATCCATATTGAGACATTCAGTTGAAGTCCAATTGCAATGTATTAGCATTAATCTTCCATGTCATAAATAACCAAGATGGCGGCGTATGCGTAGACACAAGGAAATTATAGGAGTTATATGGAAAGTAGACTGTTCTTATGTAGTATTCGACATACAACTGAACCATGATGTGGAATGTGGAAACTGTGGTAGTGGTAATGTTTTGGAAGTAGCATATCGGATTTATTTAATAGACATCTTGATGAAACCATGTTTGTTTAATTGTATTTTATATGTTGATTATACATAATAGTTTGGGGGCTTTTTGAAGATTTGTCATCTTATATGTAGGATTACTTGCCAACTAAATGTTTTTTTATTAATATAATCTCGTTTGTAAGGCATCGTTTACGGATACAACATCTGGTTGAAAAAGAAAAGCTTGTGCTGGCAGTTGAACAAGAAATACTTCGAGTGCACGGGCGCGCTGAACGCGCCGTAGCTAATCAGGTAATTGCAATCCTAATTGGACAGGTGACTGATATTATGTTTAAAATTCAAGAGGCGACAAAATTAAATAAAACACGTGCTGAAAAATATAATGAATCATGATATAAAAAATATAAAGTTTTTGATTTCATCAATGATATTTATGCTTAGCTTTTTATAAAAAGAAATGTCAGTGAACAGTTTATTCAAGTTGCACCCAATTGTGTAAATAAATTCTGTAGTAGTTTATTATTCGACAGTCCCTGCCCTTCTCTGTTTGTACGATTCTTCGTGACAGAGAAGTTTACAACGTGCTAGCTCCAGAGCAGGAAGAGAAACGAAATGCGCAGCGCTCACGTTGCAACGGAAGGCAGATTAACTCTTGGCTTCAAGAGGTGGATGACAAATGGGAAAAAATTAAAGTGGGTGTTTCCAATACACGTGTATTTACAAATAAATTAAAAGGAATTTTTAAAAGAAGCTATTTTTACTAACTCTTGATTTATTTATTTTTTATAAATAGGAGGGAATGCTTCGACGTCAGCACACCGAGGCTCAAACACTACATGCAGTACAAACCATGGGTTGGGAGTGGAAATTGAAGGAGCTGGGCCTCTGCGATTTTAAGACTATACCCAAAATTGATACTACCCATGTACCACAAATACATGTATCAAATTTTGACTTGCCCGCTTGAATTTTGAGTTAGATTGCCTGTGTTTATATAAAGTTAGCATAAATCTTCTCATTAAATGCTAACATTTTCATTCTGATTTAATCTATCAAGTTAAGCACCAATTGGTAATGACAATCAAGCGGAACTACAAAATTGGATTATTAAGACTAATAACTAAATTTTTCTTGCGTCCTTACTTCACGATGTCTGAAAATGTTTCTATTATATCATGTATGATTTTTATTCTTAAGTTTAAAAAGTGACTACTTGTAATAAGGAGAAACAATAATTCGTTTGTTATTTGGATAATTTCGTTACTTGACATTTATTCCTTGACAATTTTATATGATTTAAAAAAGTCGCAACTTGAAAAGGGCTTATTATCTACATTAGAAGAAGCGTATATATATATTTAAAAAAAAAAGATTTTATAATAAAATACTTTTGTTTAAAACGGAAATCTTCAAGTAATACGTTAACAGGTCAAGAAATTTTATTATTTATTCATTTTAGACATGCTCTCTAATCCTATAAATTTATACATAACAATTCTTGTTTTACATTTGTTTTTGTAATTACGTTATGTTTTGATTATCCTTCTGTATTAATATTAGAGATGTATATTTTACATGTAATTATATTTCTAATTAACGTAATTTAATATTTTACTTAGTCAATCTACATAATTATTTTATATGACGTATATCTATATATTAAAAAAAATATCAAATATTTTATACTACATTTTCAACAATGATTTATTTAACGCCTCTTTTTATCAAACTCCATACTATGATTTAGACTAATAGGTTTTTACAGCATCATTGTTTTTTTTTTATTAATAAGGGATTACTGGTTGCTCAGAGGCCTCTCCCGTTTCACCAGGACAGGTGGGCAAGCAAAGGCCCAGCCAAGAGCATCTTTGTCTAAAGATAGGCTAGTAGTGTATAGGCATTTAGTTGTTGTAAATTAGTATCGTAGTCACACCACATGTGAGGATTCGCACGAGTCGATCTAAAAAGATTGAATAACTTGCGTGTTAAAGTCGTATTTCTACTTGAATTAACGAAAGCGTCTTCTTCTGAAAATACTACTAAAATGTACTCTGAAAACAATTATCAGATTTTATTAGTGTCTCCAAAATACAACCGTGCTTTCATAATAATTTGTCATGATTTGTTTTCTTGAGTAGTTACTCATTAATGTCAACTGAAAACTACCTCTTGTAAACCCATAATCATTATGAATGTCTAATTGTAAAGGCATGCTGTCTAAGTCCCAAATTTTAACTTTTTAAATTACTTGAAAATTTTATAATTCAGTATAACAACGATACATACTTTAAAGTATTTTAAATGTAATTGTTAGCCATTTATTGACTAGAAGTGTAACCCATTATTTAGTGTATTTAAAATATATATTCTAATATAGTCTGTTTTTGTTATAAAAACATATATTTGTGACATTCTTTTGTAAATTATTTAATATTATTTCATTTATTTTAAATTGAAATAAAAGATCTCAAATCAAGTGTTTTTTTAATTCTAGTGATATCCACAAAAATACATCTTTGGTAACTCTTGCCTATATATGAGTCGTCTATTATCAAAGGCGGCAATCTGTACATTTGGACAAAAAAATATTGATATGTCAATACAGATTTATTTGAATATAATCCTCCTTCAAAGAATACGGTTCAAAACCTGCATTAAATAAAGGTTAATAGTTAACCTGTTATTTATCTAAGATGTCGTTCCGAAGAGTTTTGTGACTGCCAATGGAATACAAAGTCAATAATTCATTTTTCTGATTTACCAATCATTGTCCAAAAGTCAGATTGCCGCCTTTGATAATAGTCGACTCATATGCCGTTATTAGTGAGCCACAGACGTTACGGATAGGGGTATAGGAGATTGCTAGATGTCCCTTTTGCGCCAAATTCGTAAGAACAAAAGATATTTCAAATAAAACCCAACCCAATATCTTTTTTATTTAAATGGTTCATATTTTTTGCTCTTTTGGTTAGTTGAAATGAGATGGTTTCTGTAGCATTAAGAGAGCTGCGATCAGGAAGGTTAAATAATTTTGTAAATAATATCCTATTAATACAAAATATTTTTTTGTCTTTGATAATTATAGGAAAATTGGCCCATTGTTGTCTGGGTACTAGAGTGGGCATCTGAGACACTAAAATTATCTTGACCTACCCTTAGTCCGTATATCATAACCAATTGGAGATTTTGCAAAGCGAGATAATTCTATAAATTGTTACACATTTTCTGCAGATAAATTATTCAGCTTATCTTCTAGTTTCGACCATACTATACCTTACATACCTATTGTAAGTAAAATCCATCCAAACGAGGGACGAAAACAAAAAGGTTACGTAATTGCGAAGGACAAATTGTTATCACTGGGTCATAGATAAATGGTAAGTGCTAAATAACTTTTTTTTCTTAAAGAACAAGAAATTATATAAGTTTACAGATTCAAATGGAAGGAATGGATGTTGAAATTTCATTAGTTTATTTTATAAGCCAGTCGAGTTACGATTTAACGGCGAACGCACGCGATTTCATATTTCAAAACGAGTAGGTATCGTTCCTATAAATAAATAAAATATCTCAACTCACCATTCTACCACACATAGAGAAAAACGGTATCGAAAACGAAAAAATGAAGTCGTCGTGGCCTAAAGGATAAGACTCCGGTGCATTCGTATGTAGCGATGCACCGGTGTTCGAATCCCGCAGGCGAGTACCAATTTTTCTGATGAAATATGTACTTAACAAATGTTCACGATTGAGATCCACGGTGAAGGAATAACATCGTGACATAAAAATCAAACCCGAAAAATTATAATTTGCGTAATCACTGGTGGTAGGACCACATATGAGTCCGTACGGGTAGGTACCACCGCCCCGCCTATTTCTGCCGTGAAGCAGTAATGCGTTTCGGCTTGAAGGGTGGGGCAGCCGTTGTAACTACTGAGACCTTAGAACTTATATCTCAAGGTGGGTGGCGCATTTACGTTGTAGATGTCTATGGGCTCCAGTAACCACTTAACACCTGGTGGGCTGTGAGCTCGTCCACCCATCTAAGTAATAGAAAAAAAACGGTCGCGAATGTGAATATAAAAGACGTGCGAATGGCCGTAACATCACTAATATGATTTTATGTATTTTTTTGTAAACTAGCTTTGAATTGAAATTGAATAAATAATTGAAATAAAATAACAATTTTATTTAGTGCTTGACTTAAGTAACATTAAAATTAATAATGCTCTAAACCTATTAAACTTTTTGTCTTTATTTACAATAATGGTAACTTTCTAATGAAGAAACGATGCCACATAATACTAGTAAATGCAAACAAAGAATACCATGTGACAATGTACGAAAAGTGTTCATTCCGCAATGTTACTCTGGTTTGATTTGGGATCGGCCAACCAGTAGGTGGGTCTGGGATACCTTTTGCATCCAACCAAATCGGCAAACATCCAATATGAGCACTCATCTGATCCAAATCTCTGAAAATAAAAATAAAACAATGAAGATCAATCATTTTGCCAGATTAAACATAATAATATGTACATATTATATTTTTATTGTATTATCAAAACGTCAGTACATATATGGGCGTGTGAGTACAAATATTTTAAATGTTCACAATTATACTCTGCCTTCAACAAGTGATCATGATCAAAATATTCATAACATTTTTAACGCCTTTGATGACAGACTAACTTACGGCTCACCAGATCCTAGTTACTGTCACTCATGAACACCAACAAAGACAAAAAGTTAGCAAAACAGCTCATTCCCTAAATCTAAGGACTCTTCAACCATCCTTTGAAATACATGCCTTAGTATAGTTAAGGCTGATGAGACATTCCAATACTAGGATGATAGTTCTCTGAAAATGCGCTGTATATAAAGTGAAGCCATTCATCCACATAATAACTATAAATTGTTCTACTTGCAAAGTTACCATATATTTATGGTTAACTAAACTACTTTGCCAGTTACATGTTCAATCAGAACTGAATCATTTAAAACAATTCTTCAGAGGACTACTATTATCATAATATAGTAATCGTAGATCAGAGCAGAAATATCCAAAACTATTAATTATGAACATTCTTGCACATAATTTAACCTATTCAGACAAAATTCATAATTTTTTTTATAAGCTGAATAAATATTTATTCAATTTGCTTGTTTTTTAAACTTCTCAAAAAAAAAACAATTTCATAGTTTCAAATATGTTCAAATGATCTGCAGATTTAAAATCAGATGGACTGCAAGCTTGTCGTTCATTATTGGCAATAAAGAAGGCTTTTCCACAAAGAGTTGTCATGAGGCATGAGTTAGGCCATTGAATAAAAAAATTTCAACCTGTAAAACCATGAGCCTTTTTCTGGATTATTTTTAGGCATGAAAGGAGCTCGTTTCTCTGTTAACCTTACAACACCAGTTAGCTCAACAGGACCCTTTATTAAAGATGGCTCTCGCTTTTCTTTAGGCCTTAAGTTTTGATGAATCCAACCTCTGTTTATCAAGATGACTTCTCTGAAATTAACAAAATGTGATAATTAAAAAATTCTATTTTTAACATATTGTTTATAATAGTATTATTGTATTTCATTCATTTTGGTAATACCCTGTGTCAGCTAACTTAAACGGAGTGATCACCAACCACCCTTGGTTTTTCTTTGGGTCAGATACAAGTGAACCAACTCTATTGGTGATAGAACTCTCTTCTATGAGTGCTCTAGGACCTATTAATATCTCTTTTTCGTGCAAAAATTCTCCTTTTACTTTCACTGGTAAATATTCCATTTTTTCTAATTCTGAAAAGCTTGAGAAACACAATTTTTCATTAGATATATTAATATAATTCTAGATAAATATAATAATTGTTTGAGCATCTCAAAAGCATCTCAAAATTTAATGAAATCAAACTCACAATGTTTCTAATTTAGCATACAATCTATATTATGGGAGTGAGTTAGCGTGAAAGTGGGTATAAACTACAAGTGCAGAAAGATACCCATAGTAATAGTAGATACAATACACCTTAAATTTTGAGATTATATCATAGTGTGTCGCTGCATTCATATTGCGGTGTCTATGAATTCTGGTAATACTTAAAAAAATCAGAAATGCTGTGAAGGCAAACATAATTTTACAGAAAGTAAAAGTTAAATTCATTATTGGAAATCAGCATACTCTTTTGGCATGTCGATTGGGACAGCATTGGATTTAGCTTGCATCATGTCAATGAGCCCCAGCTTCCATTGCCATCTGTACACTTGCCATGAACCAAGAGTAAAGGAAGTAACTGGTATCATCTGGAATGAAAGAAAATTTTAAAAATAAATATATGCTTGTGTGATATATTATCTACATATGAGTTGTCTATTATCAAAGGTGGCAATCTGTGCATTTAGACAAAAAAATGAAAAAATGTTATTGATATGTCAATACAGATTGATTTGAATATATCGTCTCCTTCAAAGAATACAGTTCAAACCCTTTTTTTTTTCTTTTTTTTTTTTTAACGCTTGGGAATCCATTTACGGATACCCGGTCCGGGGGGGTAACGAACTGGGTTATGTCGGACTCCGGCGCCTCCTGAGAGGAAGAGGGGGACGAGGAGGGCCAAGGTCCTCCACCTCCCCGAATTCCTCGCAAGAGACTACGCCTTGAAAAAGGCGCGCGAAGCACTTGCCTAGCAGAACGGTTCAAAACCTGCATTAAATAAAGGTTAATACTTAACCTGTTATTTATCTAAGATGTCGTTCAGAAGAGTTTTGTGACTGCCAATGGAATACAAAGTCAATAATTTGTTTTTCTGATTTACCAATAATTGTCCAAAAGTCACATTGCCGGCTTTGATAATAGTCGACTCATATATTATATTGATTACAAAATATGTAATAGCTTAATAAGTGTTACAAAAATTAATACAAATGTTCGTGATTCATCAACATTAGTTATAGTCATCTTTTTATCTTCAACATAAATTACACAGAAAATAAGGCCAAAGAGACTTTACAAGATTGTTTTACTGTTTGATTTGATGTTTATTTTTTCCTTTACAATTTCTAATGTTTCATTACAAACAGGGCCAAATTAATAGACAGAATTTTCTATAGAACTAAACATGATAAAAAAATAATATACCATCAAGATTTTTTTACTATTTTATCTCATGTTTCTTTTTTCATTTTCATTCATACACTTCTGATGTTTCAACTACTTTGTTGTTAAAGATGCTCGAGTAAGATGCTATTTGCCAAATTTGAATTAATCAACATCAAATAAAATTTTGTTGATATCTTTAGGCAACTTTTATATATATTCAATTTACATATAATCATGTGTTTTTACGTTTACTTATTTGAGGTGAGTTGATGAATATCAATATATTCTTCTCAATGAGACAGCAGACACGACATATTTCTCATTTTAAAATCAACCTTATTTATTTTCTTTACATGCTTTGAGGATATTTTTTTTGTAAGTACGAGATTTTATAGGACATTTTTCATCATTCCTTTATTTATAAACGCCCTTTAAGTATTATTTAGTAATTTTAATTTAATGATGATCCTCCTGAGAAGAAAAATGATGTACTTACATTTTTTAACAGTTCTTAGACCTGCTTACTCTTATGGTTTGTAAGATGAAAGCCTAAAATCGAACTCAAAATTGAATAAAATCATATCTTTTCAACCTTACCAGTAAGATCCATTTGTATATTTCAGTCGGTTCTTCTTTTCTTTTGACCTTCTGTGATCGCATAATATTTGCAATATTCGTATTAAATCTCACATTACTGACAGATCCTTTTTTAATAAAAGTATTGGAAATTATATTTAAATTTCGCGATATTTTAAAAATATTGTTAAACATTCTGTATCTACTTCTTTCTTTTTTGTAACCTACCAAGTGATTTATTTATGTAGGTAGTAGGTAGGTAGCATAGATTATATGTAGGTAGGTATTTTTTTTTTAAGAGATTTTATGACCTGGTAACTAAGACCTTTAAGTCATGTCTTATTTTACTTTATATTCTTAATTTTATGAAAAATGATAATATGGAGTGAAATGAAATGAAAATGATTAATTTGAGACATTAATCAACTGAGATGAGATTTAATGAAATGAAATGATATGGGATGAAATATAATCGCAGTAACATGGTGGTCATTTACTGAGATTTTTTCAGTGGACTTTTTGGAGGAACCCGAGAAGTTACGTCAAGCAGCTTTGTTTCATTTTCCCACATTTGTGCACTTTCACAGATATTAAACAGTTAATAAACCACCATTATTACACATTTAAACCTGAAGAAATACTAAATAGACAAAATAAAACAAATCACACAACTTCACTCCTCGCGTTCCCGCCAAAAAGTCTGTAGGTAGGTATACCTATATGTATCACAGATTAGGTTAATAGTTAAGTAGGTAAGTATTCAGAGATAATAAAATAAGTCCTTAGAGTTCTATCTTTATAGGACAGGCCAAGAGAACATAGCCAATTAAGCCAAAGCTCTTGTGACAGAGGCTGAAATTATGTTTGCTAAGTGAAAAGCGAACTCAAATTTAAAATTGAATGAAATTAATTATTAAATGAAATTAAAGCAAGAAATACAATAAAAAACCAATAAGACAACATTCAAGACATTGAATGAGATAAACTAAAATAATATCTTTGTAAAAAAGGTAGGTATACAGTCAGAGTTCATTTAAGTATTGTGGTTGTTTTATTTTTCCACATTTGTGCATTTTTACAAATACTAACCGACAAATAAGTCCGTATTATTATACCTTTAATCCTTTATTAAATCCTAAATTACCTATGAATTATGAAACACTAAATTTATAAAATAAAACAAGCTACATAACTTAATACCTCACGTTCACGGTAAAAAGTCCTGTAGTTATTTTAAAATTTTGTTGTTGTGTTATTTAATTGAACAGGCAAAAGCAATGTAGTTCTTAAATCGAAAGTCTTTCTTTCCTAAGATTTAAGCCATTAATTTGAAGAATTTAAATTAAGTGGACACCATATAACTAGACACCGATAAATCTTTTAAATGTTTGATCATATTTTTTGACAATGTGGTCGGGTATCAGTGTTTCAACTCAATATTCAATCCAAAATAAAAGAACAAGACTATTTCATTCATTCGAGGTTCATTATGTATCTACTAGCTGAGATCAATTAAGTAATATTCCATTCGATACCGAGGAAACTATTGCAGATCTATTGGCAAATGACGAGGGTAAGCCATGTCTTAGTTCTTAGTTTTTTTTTTGCTTATTGGGTGGACGAGCTCACAGCCCACCTGGTGTTAAGTAGTTACTGGAGCCTATAAACATCCAAGACGTAAATGCGCCACCCACTTTGAGATATAGCTGCCGGTAGGCAGCGGCTTGGCTCTGCTCCTGGCATTGCTGAAGTCCATGGGCAATGGTAACCACTTACCATCAGATAGACCGTACGCTCGTTTGCCTACAAAGGCAATAAAAAAAAGGTATAAGTTCTAAGGTCTCAAGTATAGTTACAGCGGCTACCCCACACTTCATACCGAAACGCATTACTGCTTCACGGCAGAAATAGACCGGGTGGTGGTAGCTACCCGCGCGAACTCACAAGAGGCTCTACTACCCGTAATTACGCAAATTATCATTTTGCGAGTTTGATTTTATTACACGATGTTATTCCTTCAACGTGGAAGTAAATCGTGAACATTTGTTGAGTACGTATTTCATTACAAAAATTCGTACCCGCCTGGGATTCGAACACCGGTGCATCGCTCAACACGAATTCACCGGATGTCTTATCCCATAACCCACGACGACTCTCAAAATATGTTTTTCTAATTTTGTTGTGTTGCTGCTTCTTTTGTAGGTACACTCTACCTTATTTTAACCAGCCTGTTATATATAACAGATAAGATAAGAATAATTAATAATACATACATAGCAACAATTCATTTTGATGGATTTAAAGCTGACATCGAGTCTTGAGGTGGGCTGCAGAAATGAAGTATTTTGCGACGTCTACGTGCTCCAGTAACTTATCATTAGCTGGGCGGTGAGTGCGTCTGTCGACCGGACCTAAATACATACATTGACCGCTCGACCATTAAAATTAAGAATTGAAATGTATTTTTAAGAAATAAATTGGCAGGGCCTATCTGAGACTATATTGGTCGGATGGTTGAGAACCTAAAGTAATACAAATGAATGATTACGTACAAGACAGATTCTCTTTCCCGTTAAACTCTCGTAAGTAATGGTACAAATAATACCATTCATAGGTTTCAAGTTATTTAAAGGAGATACTGCTAATATATATTATACTACTATGTTTTTAACGGCAGTTTTGGGTATGTTGGACTTTAGAATTTTAGAAGGCCCTTTCGTTGTCGTTAAAAAAAGTAATAATTAATAATAATAGCAAATAGTCCATAAAATTGTTTATTGATTCCTCCAAAGCAGACTCTTTCTAATGTTATATACAATATTAATTTCAGTCGGCATTACAAAGTAAATGATGCTGTTACCGTTGTAATTATGTTTAATATACCTACACATGTGCGAACAAGTTAAATAATAAAGACAAATGATAACATAACATTGAATTGACTTCCAAATAAATAAATAAAATTCGAACAATAATCTCCATATTGTTATGTTGTGAGCCGGATAGTGTATAGTTTCAGGTGGTACGGATATGTGGCACTCGTGTTGGCACTAGTTGGAGACACGTAGCGAGTAGATTAAATACTGCTAGAGATGGAAACAGTCGATAGACAATACTCGTCAACTATTTATTTAGTTCTCAAACGTATTTAACTATGTAAACTAACTAGCTTCACAAATTTTAGGTTAGATTAAATTCTGTCTTGTACATCAATTATTCGAAAGTTCATAAAGCGATAAAAACTTCATTAACGGTTTATAGAATATTGTTGAAATATAGCTGTTGTTTAGTTGTGACTCAGGTTCGCTCGTCGGCTGTCATCATTTTCGAAATATTAATTTGCTAAAACGAATACCTCTACTTACCTACTATCTACGTACTCAGCAAATGAATAGTTTTCACTTTTCACCATAAAAGGACTAAAGGTATATTACGAAGACTGTTTACGAATGATTAATGGTGCAAAGTGCGCTTTGTCAAATATTACATATATTCAAACGAATATATCTATATATCAGAAAAATATAACAGTAATATTATATAAAAGCGGCCCGCTCAGGCTCCGCTCGGTCTTTAACAAAAATTTCAACGATATTTGACGTTGTTTTACTTTTTAAAATAAAAGAACACTTATTGCAGCACAACTATAATAGTTAGACATTTGCTGTTGCGACTCTTTTCGTAAATAATAATGTGCTCTACAAAGTCGTGGTACATTATTTTATTCTATCATCAATAGCTTTCGCAGGACACACGACGTAAATAATATTTTAGGTAATTTTTTTACACCTTGGGTTACATTATTGTAGTTTTAGTAAGGATCCCTAATTCGATCGATCGATCGGACGGATCGGATCGACGGATCGATTAGCCTACATCACGTACAGTTAAATCCGATTTGACTTTTATAATCTTATTATAAACTATATTGCATAAAAACACATTTATTGATCCTCCTGATAACACTAACCAGCACATGCCTATTGGTGGAATTTAGGGAAAACGACACGCGCATTAGTACCTAACTAGTTTATTGCATTCTATGCTTATGAACCATTTTCATTATGACTTTATTAACTTTTGTCAATACTGATACTATTTTGATAAATTCCAATATTTTTAGGTTAATTTATCTTGCACGATAAACTTGGCCAACAATACTTATATCGATAATAAAATAACGGATATCGATATGTTATCGTCAGCGAAAAGATTCAACAAATTATATTCAGTACATATCAAGCGCAGACATCGAACGGTTACATAAAATGGAGACTACTAGAGCGGAGATGGAAACGGTCAGTTTATAATTATTACGAAAAATTAATACGAAAAAAATCTTTAGTAATTAAATTAAATTTATCTTAACATATTTCGTTAATTGTAACAAATTTATTTACAAATCTTTTTTTCCTACCTGTCCTCGCTGATAGCTTAAGAGCCTATTTCAGCTACGCCCGGACGGGTCAACCTCAGTGAATTTGCTAACACTAGCCCTAGCAAGAACAGTGCTTCGCAGAATTTACCACCGGATCTGAATCGCTACCCACTGAGAAGATCCGGCGAGAAACTCAGTGGGCTGGTTATGTTATATCCTAAAAGAATATTAACACTTGCCATGTAGGCACACTTACTAACTAGTTTAATTTACTTTGCTAGCTCAATTGCGATCATTGCGACTGTTAATTGACACATTTTTTTATTATAAAAAAATAGCACCAATTTTTTGATGTGCAATTGCGATACTCGTAACCTTAAGAGTTTGTTTTATGACTATTGTACCGTCTAGTCTTCGATGCAAATTATAAATGTGACATTTTGTGAATTTAACGATCGCGTGTGAAGCTCAATTTTATACAAACAATTAAAAGCGTAGTGAATCTGGAACAGAGCACGCGTCCAGGAACTCCGTGTGGCAGGCCCAGATGCGTACGTGCAATTACTAATTTGTTAAATCCTAGACGTACATGGGGGATCTAGGATACCTTGCTGGGCAAGTTCTGTATCCGTCTACGACTGGGGATCGATTAACTTATACATAGGTATATATGTATATATAAATGATTCTTGTCCACCTGATGGTAGGTCTGGAAGAGATCGCTTTTAGCGATAAGACCGCCAAATGTACTTTTTTTGTATTGAATGTTTCGAATTGTTTATTCCCTTTGGGTATAATAAAGAATACTCTCTCTCTCTAAACCAATCTTGCTTTGTCGCAATCAAATAACGTCTTGACAAAAATAATAACTTTATTAGTGAATTTTTATTTTGTTCAGTTTTCGTTTCCGTACTACATGCCTACTACTATAAATATCGTTTGGTGATAACGGTTCTTTGTATTTTTAATATTCAAATACTTAAATCAGGTATACGAACTGACACAAACGTCTTTTTTACCTGGTTCATTCGTTTGCAAACGGGTTATTGACCTTGAAGTTTTTTAATTAATTTTGTACTGGTTGCGTAATTACAAAACAATTTCGTTTATTTTAATCTCTCCTTCAAATATTGATTTGTGTTGATAGTACAATTTTTTTTTATTTAAATTGAAATTATATTGAAAAAAAAAGTAATTCGGATTAGGAATGTGGCATTCCGTGAGTGATGGGAGGCATCGTATGCAGAGTACTTAAGAAAAGTAGATCGAGGTCGATGGAGACAGATGAAATTTCGGTTCAGGACCTACCAGTATTGCGACGTGCTTTATCTTTAAATTGATTGAAGAAAACATTAATTATTGCTCGAGCGGCTAGCGGTTTTAACTGTTTACGCGCATCAATAAAAAAATGGTAAATCTATCTTCAGATGTAAAACTTGTAGACAGAACCGTCACACGCTTCTCCACCGAGATGTATCTAACACCGTCCGCGAGGATGTGTTCAGAAGTAGTTTATCGAACAATAGACTGCTACCATGTTCTTCTAGTCAAGAGCCACAAACGCAGGCTATTACAAACATGAGTGGTAGCGCAATAGTTCTGCTAGCTACTGCTAACGTTGGAGTGCGTGACTCATCTGGTCTCTTTCATATTCTTTGCGCACTCATCGACTGGTAGTCAAATTTCATTTCTAATCAAGTTCTGGAGCGATTGGACTTCTGATATTTGCCTGTCACATATATAATATCAACATTAAAACAAACGTAGTATGACGAATATTTGAATAATATACAAATATTCATATATATGTATAACTATATAATGTATTGGGAAGCTGTCTCTGGTTTTATTTTGAATAAGACCGTCCGACACTAGTTGTTGAATGCAACTTGCATAATGTTTAATCAGCCGTTCTATATGTTTTAATCAGTGATGCTTGAGATATTAAAAAATATGGCGAGACTTTCTCGTTTAAATATTATCGATGCTATGGACTTCATTTTAATCTGGATGTTCTAAACGCTCATGCCATCCATGATAAGAGTGCTGTTGAGCTTACCGTGCTTGATAAATTAATATATTAATTAATAATTAAATATGAATTTAAATAATAATATGAAATAATTTGTATTATAAATTAATCTATCAAAGTATCAATGGTTGGTGTTTGAAATTGAAAGTAAATTAGAATGTGATTGAACTTATAATGTCATACATTTTTACATATAAAATATCATTGCATACATACGTTTATGAAATAGTTTGACAAGCTAAGAAACATTTGTCTTCAATTCAAATAATTGTTTCCGCAATCCTTCCTTAATCAAAGTTTTAATATTTATATTATTATATCTAAAATACTTGATTTTATATTTGATTTTAAGAGAAAATGAAGGCTAAAATTGCTTATTAATATTTATTTGTGTTTCATTTAGGTAAGTGTTAAGATTACCCACCTTTTCCTTGCGAAAAATAATTAATTAAAACAAATCAATGAAAGTAATTCATTTCTCAATTGGGCTGTTTTATTTTTTGAGTAAATGAAAAACTATCCTAATTACTACTATTAAATTACACTAATTAATACTACTAAACTAATTTTAAGTATAGTGAATAGGTTATCGGAAAAAATATTTTTGAAGATGCCAAAAATCTAAAGTAAATAGTCTTGTGTCTTAAGCTCGCATAAGTAGTTTTGTTCATAAAAAAATATCCTGCTTAGGTAGTAATTAACAACAACAAATAATATTGTATCCTAAGTATTACCTATATGCTAATTCAATATGCCTGTTTATTGTAGATAAGTGGATGTGATACTGCGCTTGATGCTAAGCGATTGCTGGAGCCCTAATGTATTTTAATATATTTACATCCACGTTCATCCCCATCCACATATTTGAAACTATAACCCATTTTTAGAAAAGAGGTCGAACTATTAAATTAGACTTTTTGAAGCGACTGCTTCGAGAATAAATAGGAAGTCCAGGACAGTGGCTCTCTCTCTCTCTTCGATCGGTTCCTCACTGCTGAGGATCGTGACTCCGTCCGATTTCGTCAACCAACTGTCTCCATCGATCCCGCCCTGCAGCCCGGTGGAGTGCGTCGCTGATAGGTATCCCCAGTTCCTCCGCTATTTGGTCCGACCATCGTTTGGGACCTCTACCCCTAGGCCTTTTTCCCTCTATTTTACCGGTCACCACAAGGCGTTCCAATTTGCTCTTTGGTCATGTTGCAAAATACCGCAATATTCTTTGTAGGCAGATTGTGGATAGACGTTGAATATTTTCTATTTTTAATTGCCTGAGAATAGACATGTTGGTGCGGCGGGCCGTCCATGGTATTCGTAGCATACGTCGCCAGCACCACATCTCAAAAGCGTCGATTCTCTGCCTATCTGCGGCTTTGAGTGTCCACGTCTCTGCACTATATAGAGCAATGGAGAAGACAAGGGTGCGGACCAGATGTATTTTAGTTCGGTGGGTAATATTACGGTCTCTCCAGATTTTGCTCAGTTGGGTCATTGCAGATTTTGCCATGCCAGTCCGTCTCCGTATTTGGACAGTGGCAGCGAGCACAAAACATAATAACCTGGTCTTACTGAAAAATGTGCTTATTTTCTTTGAAAATATTTTAACATATTATTATTATCAACAGTGGTTGGATTGGTGCGTCCGAAAAAATGACATCAAGCAATTGTGGGCTGCCCAACCTACATATATAATATCTCAGGCCGTTTACGTTTTGGCTGGCCTCTTAACATTATTTCATGGTGAGTATAATTCTTAAATCACACTGTCTTAGTGACACGTTAATATGACTGAATAATTCTGTAATGAAGACTAAATAAGTACCATCATTCTGTCTAAGCTGCTGCCAAGCAATCATGGTATGCAGTACAAAGGTTGGCGGAACCGGATATACGATTGACTTCGGCCTCTTGTCTCCAACTATCCGATGTGGACTGTGAGCTCGTCCTCCCACTATAATCGTTTCAATATAAAAGATAACTAAAGATTAACTAAATTAATTAAAGATGATCAAGAAAAACAAATCTTTAGAAATACGTTTTACATTTATCTTTAAGATGATATCCTAGTTACTTCTTTGATATGTTATATATATATTTAGTATATATAGTTATTAATAAAGCCTCACTCTGGTTTTTTAATAAACTAGTGTTTATACCATAACTTAATTTAATGCTTGAAGGACTGAAGACGGACCGGTGACACTACCAATTTTTAAATGAATTTTATAGTCACAAATTGTACAAGACCTTTTTTATTCCTTAGATGGGTAGACGAGCTCACAGCCTACCTGGCGTTAAGTGGTTACTGGAGCCCATAGACATCTACAACGCAAATGCGCCACCCACCTTGAGATATAAGTTCTAAGATCTCAAGTATAGTTACAACGGTTGCGTTTCGCAGTCTCCACCTAAGCTGATAGCCTTGAGAGGCTATGTCAGCGTAACCCTAACTTTAGTAGGTGAGCTCACGGGGCTCAAACCTGACGATGTTGCTAACACGAACCCTAGCAAGAGCCGTGCTTCGCAGAATCTACCACCGGATCGGAAACGCGACCCACTGAGAAGATCCGGCGAGAAACTCAGTGGGCTGTGTCTGAGAGTTAATTTACTCGTCGAGCCCTTCGTCGCAAGCGACGGGTTCGACGAGAACGGTGACCGGTGCTTGAAGTACCTAAAAGCACCGTTAGTGGATCGGGAGGATCCGAGATGACGTGTTTTGGGCGACGTCGACTGCTTTCCATTCTGTCCGCAGGATCGGGAATGTAGTTACCGGCGGCCACGATGAGAGGGTTCTCGTGTCGTGCCGCTTTATCGAAGTGGCGGTTTCGCATTGCGAAACGCATTACTGCTTCACGGCAGAAATAGGCAGGGCGGTGGTACCTACCCGCGCGGACTCACAAGAGGTCCTACCATCAGTAGTGCCCAGACATTGATGAGTAACAAACTATAGACTGGTCTGATCTGACTGTTGCTATGCTTAATGATGTCATTATTTGAATAGGAAGTCTCTAATCCGTAGTGACGTAAGTGACGTATTTTTTCAGCTTTTAAAAAAGGCGGAAGATGGCCTTATTTTTGGCTCGGTACCGTACTTCATGGGATTTACGCAGATAACTTCTGGCATTTCGTATTGCCAGAGTACGATAATTTCTGGCATTCGCAGACCCCTATCATATTCCTGGGAGCCCGGTTGCCCCTACATATAATTTTGTTGTGTGAGTATTTAAATTTTATTATCTTTATTTACAGTTAAGGTATAATCTATTTGTTCACTAACGACAACGAAGGTTTGTATTTCTGCGCCCATAGAAAGAGTAATTTGACCGGCGTCACCCATATTTCTGCGCCCATAGAAAGAGTTATTTGACTGGCGTCACCCATTTTGGTCGAAGTCTTAATTGTAGAACGGTTGTCCACCTTGCAAAGCAAAGCACATAATATTATTTTTATACTTTGAATTAAAAAAATTAAACTATTTCCAAATTAATTATTTTGAATGCAGTAATGCATCGATAAAAGCTACTCAATAAAAAAATCCAAATCTGAAAACAATTAAGCACCTTTTTGCTTTGAAAAAGAAAACTCTTCAAGAAAGAAGCTAGTATTAAAAATATATATGATTACAATAAAGCTACCAATAGGAACTAAACAAAAATAAAAGAAAATAATAATGATAGTAAAATAGCTTTATTTGATTCCACAATAATTATATAGAGCTTAATTAAGTTAGTATTTAGTAATTATATTACTAAGTAACATTAATAACTCTACTACTCATGCAATTTAATCTCCTTGTAATGTAGACCCCCTCAGGGTAAAAGCCTCCACCAAAGAATTCTAATTTTCCCTATCTTAAGCAGTGGTCATCCAGTCTCTTCCTGCTTTGGATACAATCTCGTCCTACCACCAGGTACCCGGGCGACCTCTATTTCTCACGCCCTGTGGTCATTTCCATTTTGTGGTGTTAATTGTCCATCGATTATAATCGTATCTTCCAACATAGACAACCCATCTCCATTTGAGACTGAGAAAAGTGTAGAGCATCCTTTACCTTAGTTATTTTCCAAATTTTAATGTTTCTAACTCTATCTCTCAACTTTATGTTTAAACAGTTCCTTTCCATTGCCCTCTGTATTGTCCGTATTTTTTGTCCTGCCTTGTAACCTAAATTCACGTTTGGCAGCCATCGGTTAGACAGGGTAAAATTGTTGTATCTAAAAGTATCCTTTTCAATTTAAACGGTAATTGCGATTTGAGAATCTCTTTTTGTGCTTAGTACTTTCTTAGACAGACTTGATTAAGTCATCTACTAAGTGTTCCCATATTGAATGTACACGTACCGCCACAAATAGAAAGAGATGGAGTAGAATCGCAAAAGCCACAGCCAAGCAATAAGACACACCACGACCACTCCGCCAGGAGTGTACGACTGAGATGAAAAGAACTTTCTCTATGTAATAGCTACTCTCCTGTGTATTTCCTATATGTTTCGGTTTTTTTGCTAAATGAAATTTGTTTACCAAGGTAAGTGTAGCTCTCTAAGTAGGTACTCGAGTGGCACTTCGTTAACCGGTACTGGCATCATCTCCCTGTCAGCTTTTTGTTTTTTTTAAGTTCATTTCACACCTGCATGGACACTAGCAGTCTGAAGTGCGTTAGTCATTGTATTGAGCTTAAATGGACTTTCAGAGAACAGAATGATATCGCCTGCAAAGCGTAGGTGGCTTAGATATTTCATATTCGCATTAATTCCTTGCTTTGACCACGGTAAGTCTTGCATAACATTTTGTAGGAAAGCTATAAATAGTTTCGGTGATTTAGGGTCGCATTGTCTGACTCCTCGGTTAATGCTGATCCTGGTGCCAACTCTGTCTAGCCTTTTTTTTTAAACTCTATCTAGCCTGACTCTACTAATACAATGAACATATATGTTTTTGATAATATTTATATACTTTACGTTTATGTTTTGATTGTTTAATGCTTCCGAGATCTTTTATGGGAGATAGAGTCGAAATCTTTCTTATAGTCAACAACCTCTTCCGGTGATGCTGATATGGTCTCTCTAGCTAGACCATCAGCTTAGGTAGGAAAAAAGTCAACAAAAGCCATGTAGAGCAGTTTTCTATATTCAACATATGATGACCTAGTGGTCTACGGTGTGAATATGATGTATTGTGCTAAATCCACTTCTGAATCCCGCTTGCTCCATGGGTTGGCATGAGTCTATTTGTGGCGATATTCTGTGTAGTAGATAGGATTCAGAGAGTTTGTATAGGCAAGAACTTATCAGACGGTAATTTCCTATGTCTTTAAGATCGCTCTTTTTACATAGTAAGTTGATTTCCGATTCTGTCCATTGCTCTGACACAATTTCTTCTTCCAATATTTTATTGAAAAGTATTGTAAGAGGTGTCAATAAAAGTATTCTAGCGAGCTTGATGCACTCATTACTGTCCGGTCCTGGGCTCTTATTCTGGTTTTTAACGGATTTTCTTTTTTTGTTGAGAAACTACTGACGAGCCCCGTAGTAGCAATATTGGTTTTGACAGTTTTTTCTTTCCCTCCTTTAAAAGAAGAAATTACAATAATAGAACCAAAGATTACTTACTATTTCTATTTAATGATCAAAATTTTTAGTAATATGGTCGTATTTCTATTAATAAGGGAGGAACTCGTATTTACTATTTGTGTTCAGTTCGAGCGCATGAATTTGATTTTTCGCTTAGTAATTTTCACATCATTTTTCCCCCACTGCATTTTCAGTTTTTCAATGACTGCAAAACGAAGGTATCGTTTTAGAATTATAGAAATTACTTGTGCCACACCACATATGCACAAAGTATAATTTCAAAATAATTTGATTTATCTTAACTTCTGATGCCTTAAAGATCAAAGCCGTTAGTTAAGGCTAAGATAATTGAAGAGTCTAGGCGGCTGGCCGATCCTTCGGCTGGTCGTAGACCGTCGAGGCGAATCGTGAGAAAGGACGCCTCACTTTCCGGCTCACGCAGGTGCTCACTGGGCATGGTTGCTTCGGTGAGTTCTTGCACCGGATCGGAGCCGAGCCGACGGCAGAGTACCACCATTGTGTTTGCGACTTGGACACGGCGGAGCACACGCTCATCGCCTGCCCCGCATGGCAGGGGTGGCGCGAAAAAAAAAAGATAATTGAAGAGAACTAATTGAAAAATATACAATTACAAACCGTACATGTAAGGCAATAAACAAGGTTAAAAGATAACAAAACAAAGTGAAGGTTAATGAATTGTTACAAATTATTGTGTGTGAAAGACAAACTTTGTGGACAGTTTTAAACAATTGTATTTATTAGAGCAGTTGAAATCACTAACTATTGACTACCAAACTAAATATTGACATTAAAATATTGTGAACACATTTTAATTTACGTACAACATAATATAAATATTTATTTACTTTGATTGTCCCACCTCCCATTGTCCAAAAGAAAACATACTTATAATAAAAGCATACTTGGTGTCATGTAATAATAAACATATGTTTCATTTTATCAAATGAAGAAAAAAGCTACAGAACTAAACTGTGAAAATGTTTATAAATAAACAATAGATAAATACCTCCTCGGAAGATGTGTGTAGTCTGGCGTTATTGTTATGAAAATCTCTCTGCTTCTGTTTATCGTTATTGGTGGATTTTTGTTTTTCTATTTCTTGCTTGAATATTATCAGTGGTTGGCAGTAGAGATCTCAATCAATAGTTTTCCTTAGCGGTAAAAGCTCATTATGAACGATACCCTCCAAATCCTACCTACACAGCATCACTTTATTGCGAGCTAATCCGAGTTTCCTTATAGTCTGAAGTTTTACTACCCATTTATTATAGTCGTTTTGACACGCGGTTTTGTCGTAATTACTCTAATTTTGATCACCAGTAGTCAACAATAAAAAAATGGTTTGTTTTCATTATGAGTCAATGGAGAATCACGAATAATAATCAAATCGAGATTAATACAGAGCAGTACCAAGCGTAGGCTTAGGAAGAGCAGAAGGCTTTCTGGCAAGTATTGGAGCACGAAGCCTATAGTCTGATATAAATAGTCCTTAAACTCTAGCAGCAAATCCTATAAATATAGTTTCAACCAATAACCATAGGCTTATTAAGAAGCTATTTTAGATCAAGTTATGGGAGTGCTCCATAATAATTCCATTTATTATGTTTATGCTTGGAGTATGTACTGCGATAGAAAAAAGAAATAGCAAATCATTTTATTCTCAAGGCTTATGTTTCAGCTACTACTGTCTGACTAATACTAAAAACAATAAAGTCAGTAATGAAAACAAACACAAATATATTTTGTTATCAAATTTAGAATTAAACCAACCACACAACTAGAGACTTACATTATCTCCATAGATGAACTTCGTTAAAAGAATGACATAACATTTTAAGGATAAGCATTTCATACTTGTGTTAGTAGGTATGTGTGTGTCGACGAATAAGCCTAAAATACAATAAATTACCATGAAATAGTGTTTCAAGAAAACGTCATTGCTTTTCCGTTATTCTTGTAAAATATACAGCTTTTTAATGATTAGCGTCAATAAGATAATGTTTTTTACAAACACGTACAATGAATATATATTTCATTATATATGTACGTGTATGTTTAAGTTATTTATGTGTGTAATTGTGTATGTATATAGTCTGATATATTATGTATTAGTGTTTTTATTTATTATTGTTACTATTATTGTTATTGTGTACTGTATCAATAAGTAAATTGATTAGATTGTACTTTTCTACCCATCTACGTAAAGTTCACCTTCGTTAAGAACGGTTAGCTGGTAGATAACTCAATTGTTGAGTTAAGCTCGCCATTTTTTATAACTTTTCGTAATTATTATGTTGTTTTAACTGTGCATGTACAATAAAGAATAAAGAGAATATGATAATTACATCTTGTTAAAAATAAAACATTCAAGTATTTTACATAAGATGATTGAGATGTGGTTCCGTTTACCACTGCGTCACAATATCGTTCCTGAATTACTTTACTGGAGGTAAGACCCGCACGGGTAGGTAAGACCATTTTGCATATTCCTGCTTCCAAGCAATTATGCGTTCTAGTTTGAAGAACGGGTCAACTGCCGATATAATTGAGACTTTGATCTCATGTCTCACACTACGTGTCGTCGTTCATATGGCCTAAGGACTCCTGTATCCACTACATACTAGTTGAGTTATTAGCTCGTTCATAACGGTATAAAAAGGTAATATGTGTTTAATTTATGGTTTATTGTACCAACTGTTATTTTCTCTGCCTTACCTATGGTTTACTGATTGAGAATGTTTTAGGCATCAAATCCGCCGATGTACACCAATACATAAAATGTAATAAACAAAATTAATTAATTTAATAATCCTATATTAATAATAGAATTTCGTTGATTCCAGATCCCGCATTTATTTACCACGCAGCGTATGCAGTCTCAAAGCTGAATCTTCCACGTTACGCGGAGCCTTTCGCGGTGGGCTTGGTTACTGTACTGATAGACATTCCCTACGACATTGTGGCGGTCAAGTTCGTACACTGGACCTGGCACGACACTGACCCTAACATATTCGATCGTCACTACTGGGTTCCCTGGAACTCCTATTACTTCCACGCTACATTCACAGCAAGCTTCTTCTACTTCTTTACTGCGATCAGAAATTGGTATGCGCCGAAAGTGGGACAGTGGGCTTCTGCGGGGTAAGTAGAATGGAGTATGCTTTATTGTAGACCTATCCCCCCGATCCACTAACGGTGCTTTTAGGTACCTGAAGCACCGGTCATCGTTCCCGTCGAACCCGTCGCTTGCGACGAAGGGCTTGACGAGTAAATTAACCCACAGACACAGCCGACTGAGTTTCTCGCCGGATCTTCTCAGTGGGTCGCGTTTCCGATCCGGTGGTAGATTCTGCGAAGCACGGCTCTTGCCCGTTTCGTGTTAGCAACGTCGTCATGTTTGAGCCACGTGAGCTCACCTACTAGTTAAGGTTACGCTGAAATAGCCACTCTAGGCTATCAGCATAGATAGGAAAAAAAAGTATACCAATATAACATAAGTACGTCTGTGCGTAAATATTGAAGCACACGGTGTTTACTTACGTTCACTAGTACCGCCCGATTAGCCTCCTCATGTCTCTAGGCAAACTGTATGAGCGTCTGCTCTACAAATGCCTCAGAGACTTCGTCTCATCCAAGGGCATTCTCATCGATGAACAATTCGGATTCCGTACAAATCACTCATGCGTTCAACAGGTGCACCGCCTCACGGAGCACATTCTTGTGGGGCTTAATCGACCAAAACCGTTATACACGGGAGCTCTCTTCTTCGACGTCGCAAAAGCGTTCGACAAAGTCTGGCACAATGGTTTGATTTTCAAACTATTCAACATGGGTGTGCCGGATAGTCTCGTGCTCATCATACGGGACTTCTTGTCGAACCGCTCTTTTCGATATCGAGTCGAGGGAACCCGCTCCTCCCCACGACCTCTCACAGCTGGAGTCCCGCAAGGCTCTGTCCTCTCACCCCTCCTATTTAGCTTATTCGTCAACGATATTCCCCGGTCGCCGCCGACCCATTTAGCTTTATTCGCCGACGACACGACTGTTTACTATTCTAGTAGAAATAAGTCCCTAATCGCGAAGAAGCTTCAGAGCGCAGCCCTAGCCCTAGGACAGTGGTTCCGAAAATGGCGCATAGACATCAACCCAGCGAAAAGTACTGCGGTGCTATTTCAGAGGGGAAGCTCCACACGGATTTCCTCCCGGATTAGGAGGAGGAATCTCACACCCCCGATTACTCTCTTTAGACAACCCATACCCTGGGCCAGGAAGGTCAAGTACCTGGGCGTTACCCTGGATGCATCGATGACATTCCGCCCGCATATAAAATCAGTCCGTGACCGTGCCGCGTTTATTCTCGGTAGACTCTACCCCATGATCTGTAAGCGGAGTAAAATGTCCCTTCGGAACAAGGTGACACTTTACAAAACTTGCATAAGGCCCGTCATGACTTACGCGAGTGTGGTGTTCGCTCACGCGGCCCGCACACACATAGACACCCTCCAATCCCTACAATCCCGCTTTTGCAGGTTAGCTGTCGGGGCTCCGTGGTTCGTGAGGAACGTTGACCTACACGACGACCTGGGCCTCGAATCAATTCGGAAATACATGAAGTCAGCGTCGGAACGATACTTCGATAAGGCTATGCGTCATGATAATCGCCTTATCGTTGCCGCCGCTGACTACTCCCCGAATCCTGATCATGCAGGAGCCAGTCACCGTCGACGCCCTAGACACGTCCTTACGGATCCATCAGATCCAATAACCTTTGCATTAGACGCCTTCAGCTCTAACACTAGGAGCAGGCTTAGGGACCTCGGTAACCGTACTCGTCGAACTCGACAAAGAGTTCGCCGTGCAACCTAACCCATGAATCAGCTCGCCGAGTTTCTCGCCGGATCTTCTCAGCGGGTCGCGATTCCGATCCGGTAGTAGATTCATTCGCGAAGCAGCTACTCTTGAGCTGTTAGGTATCCTTCGGAGGCGCTCGGGTAGCTGTTAGCAAATCCCACCCCTCCTGGCTGAGCCTTTGCTCGCCCACCTGTCCTGGTGAAACTGGAAAGGCCTCCGGGCCACCAGTAATCCTTCAATCATAAAAAAAAAAACGTTCACTAGTCAAGGACACAAATTTTCGGTGCAGTTCAGTTAGAAAAAAGTAATTAAATGGCTCGTTTATTTTAGCAAAAAGGTGGAATGGAAAACGTTAATTCTAGCAACGATCCTGGGGATGCCAGGCGGTGTACTCCTCTTCGTACCGATCTATCACCCGCTCCACGACATATACAAAATACATTCAGAGATCACATTCTTCCTTTTGTTTGCGATTTATGGCACTTTCGTGATCCACGGGCTGCTTAGCGATAGAGAGAAATCCAAGGAAAGGTGAGTACAATTCCGATAAGTTCATTACAAGAAACCATTTCCGAAGCAACTTCGAGAGGATACTAGATAATGCAACCTAGGAGATTGCTTTCCGGCACGTGAGCGTAGTAATCAAGAAGCAGCCTTGGCTTAGATCCCTCGAGATTGAAAGCAAATAGTGTTATCTGATTGAAACGTGAACAACACTATTTTGTTGTTATAGTAATAACAATAATTAGGTATAATAATATGTATGTTTGTGAAACGGCTGTCTAATAATTTGGTAAAACCAATTATCGTTTTCTAGCTATTAATACTGATTATTGTGGTAATTTTACATTTTTTGAATCCTTTATATAATCTTGGGGTCTTGGGGAACGAGAATCGCACATGGTAACTGACGGACGTTAGTCGCGTCCGTATAAGTTCATTGACCCAGAGATATGAATCTTAAAATAGAATTTTTGTTTTTTTTTAATCATCCCACTTATCTCTACCACTTTTCCCTGACACTTAATATAGTTTTAAATGATTATAATTAATAACTTTTTTACGGTTTCATTTAAATAAAATAAATAAAATAAAATTCATTTAATTCAGACCCTCTTAAGTCCATATGTTGTAAGTTGAATAATACTTAGAACTATGTTAGTAAAATTAAAATTAAAATTAAAATTAGCAATTAAAACATTAAAACATTTAAACATTTAATTCATAAATCATTTAGCGGTTATTTTTTTACTTTAAATCATTTCGAATATTTTTAAAATACAGCTTTCGTAGTCGCCCGTTATCACCAAAACGTTTTAAAAGTAGATTTAATTCAGTCCTAAATTTATACGATTTTAATTACCTAACTAGAAGTGTTCGAAAATCGTAAAATTGAAATTAAATATTTGCTATCATTCAATCATTTGTCAAACGAGTCATAAGCTTGTGTTATGACGATATTAAGAAAAATAATAATAATAAAATCTTGTTTCAGACTTACTCTTGTAGATTACATCCTGATACTGCAACTGGCCCTCCACTACGTAATATATTGGATATTTGTTGTGTTCTTCCACCCAGAGAGGGAATGGTCTACTGGACTGCACGAGCCGGTCGGTCCATGCAATGAAGTAGCTAGCTTAGTCACGCCTTTTGGACAGGTAAGTTCAACAACACCGGCCTCAAAGCGGGGTCAATGTCGTGTTCACTTCTAACATGACAGACAATGTTCCAAAGCAAAATTGAAATGTCGTCATGACGTTTTACTGCTCATATATTTGAAGGAGATATATAATTTACATGAATAAAATTAAAGTAGGAATTAAATTTTTTCAATGTCCGAAAACACAAATGGTTCATGTTTTTTTTTTTTATATATTTCCTTTATTTTCAAATTATTAACCCTCCACTGTACTCAGTTTAAGTAAAATGTGATCCCTGCAAAATACATGCCTAGTAGATTGACAAAAAACTGTAACTATACTGAGACCTTAGAACTGATATCTCAAGGTGGGTGGCGCATTTACTTCGTAGATGTCTATGGGCTCCAGTAACCACTTAACACCAGGTGGGCTGAGAGCTCGTCCACCCATCTAAGCAATAAATAAATAAATAAAGAGATTAAAAATATTTTTAAAACCTACTAAATATAAACAATATAACTGTTATAAAATCTCATTGATTTTAGCTTTTCATCGAATTCTAATTTTTCATATTTTTCGCGAGCTTCCATGCTTCTTCTCTCGTAAATTTAGGTACATAATTCAGACTAGTGCCTGAATTATGTAACTTCCGAATTATATTACCCAATGATCGGCGGCGAAATTAAACGCAACTAGCAAGCTTTTAAACTTGTACAAATAATTCTCTAGCACTCCATAAATTTTATTTTAGCAAAAATAATTGACCGGATATCATGATTCGTTTTGTATTGACTGATTGCAGTTATAGAAATCGTAATGTGATTAGTAAATTTGAAAAAGCGAATCCAATGTATTAATTAGTCTTCGGAACTAAACACGCTGAACTGTTTCAAACTGAATACGAATGCCTCAAAACGAACACGACTGCTCCAATAGGTTTAGCGTTAAACCATTTAAAAAAGTGCTCTAATAGTTTTCAATATAAGTTTTGTAATTCAATAGTCTCAGCCGGAGTATTCATGATTTTTTTACCTACTGTATATAACCTTAACGATGAGTGCCATAAAAAAGCTTTGTTAACGCAAACCGTCTCCGAAATTCTATAAGACTGTTTCAGTTTTTTACAGCAAACAGAACGGCTGTGAAATATCAAAACCCAGTATCTGCATAAAACTAAATTTTACAGGAGAGCCGAAAAACAATTTCATATCTTTGACAGCGTGCCGTTTCAATAATATTAGTCGTACCTTCTTGAGAGTGATTGCAAAATTTGAGGTACATAACAGGCTTTATAAAAAAGTAGATTTCATGCGTCTATCACAAAAGATGTACATAGAGGAGCAGTTACTAATAAAAATATTGTTTTCTTAGATCAAACTTTTTGAGTGTGACAATTTCAAAACCTAGTAAGATCACTTGCTTTGTTTTCATCTAGTTCTAAAATAAAATGAGTGGGGATAAACGCAAATTAATAGACTGAGTAAGATCACTTGCTTTGTTTTCATTTAGGTCTGAATTTACTGAGTAGGAACTAAATGCAATTTTATAAACACAGTAAGAAAAAACAGAATAAAACAACATAAATATGGGCAGAAATAAGCAGTTTTAATGAAAAAGAAAAAAAAAAACACATAATCGGAAACCAAACACTATTTGTTCACAGTAAAAAATCAAAAAATAATCACTCAAAATATATGAAAACAGTCAAATAAAAATAAATTATTCGGTTATTAATAAATGTCCACTTTGCCAAAACATCTTCTCCAAAACTTCTTTAAGCTAAATAAAGTTGTTACTATGCCTTCCTTTTTACTTTCGTTAATGCCTCTTGGAATATTTTTTAAGGTTGGCATGATCAAGGGATTGTGTTTTTTAATAAGAAAATCCAACTCGGAGATTCAAAATCATTCCTATAAAACATATTACGACACCCATTTACAAATGTTACTTCAACCAAAGAACTAAGCAAAAAATTATTAATGGGAACAAGGTCATCATTGCATCGCGGTATGCGTTTCTTTTTTACCCACTCATACGAATTTTGGAATTCAATAACTTCAATATGCGATATGCAACCCAAAATTACATTCTTATAGTCTTCAAAATCGTACACAGCATCTTTTGTTTTTAATCTGCCTCTCCATATTGCCATGAACTCCATCAGCGGACATACGTGTGTGATCTTTAATTAGGTAGGTATTACAAAGTCCAACTTTTTAAATTGAAAAACCCAGAGATTATTATAGTAACAAGTGATGTAAAGAGGATCCAATTTTTATTTTGAGCTGTGCAATTATCACACCACAATATCAAATGATTAAAATCTCTTTCTTTTTCGATCATTGCTGCAATTGCATTAACAATGTCATGAGCATCTCGTCCACAATAGGCTTCATGCCATAGAATACAAATATTATTAACATTAGTTTTCTTTCTGATTGGTGCAAATGTCAAGTTGAAAGTTATCATTCTACTCAAGAAAAACGATTCTTTGACTTTAGGCATGTCGGGTAACAACATAACTTTTTGTAAATGCATCGAATAGTATCTCACAGAGGAAGTATTTTCTAGGGAGGCATCTTCTTGATACTTTTGTATTGCTTTACTTGCTTTAGCTTTGTGATCCTCGTATGCAGTTTTAACATCCTCTGGAATATTTGCACCTTCATTTACTTTATGTGTCGTAGTAGGTTGCCATTTTGGAAAACAAAAAACCTTGACAATAATAAAACACACTGAAGCGTACTTACATTTCACCATGTTGTTCTTTTAAAGCATTCAAGATCAATTTTGACTTATAAAACTGATTTTTACTCATTTTATAGACAAAAACACGAACGACGTACAACGATTTTCTCACTTACTAAAGTTTCGCGCGAGTGTTGACGTTTATTTCAACCATTTCATTGACTTAGTATCTGCATGAACCATTTTAAATCCAATTAACTACAAGCACTTATTAGGTTTTTAAAATGGTTGATGTTATATACTATGTTCTAATCTTGTAATTTTTGCATTTTGAAAACCTTTACTGTAGATACTAGGTTTCCGACTTTGTGTAACTTCGTTTTTTCCAAATTTTTGGGGGTTTTTGCTATCCTAATATATGGAGAATGGTCTACAAGGTCGAAAAATGCAAAAACACACTTTTTTTTAAATTTGTCAGATACTAGGTTTTGAAATTGGACAGCCGAGAAGCTTGATGTGGTAATAATTATTTCTACAGCAATACAAATGACATCAATCTATTATAATATCTCATTGATCTTTCATAAAATATAACTCATAAACATTATAACAGGAGGCTAAATTTAACGAAATAATTATAATTGGTCGCAAAACTGCTCGCCAGTAACATAAGAAGTATTCAATTGATTTCGTTTTGCGGTATCCGTTATACTGACGAGAAGTCAGTGTCCGAATGAATGCAATTGCAATAATACCGACACTTGATACAATTATTATAAATTGAGCATGTTTCCTTTTCAAACAGTCCCATTGTTTTGTATACTCTAATTGAATAAGTGCATTGATTTTAACACTACATAATGTAGGTTTAATAACGTTTTGTCAGCGCTTGTGAACCCGGTCAGACACATCAGGGTTTCTGTCCGTGACACATACATATATTGTGCCGCAAAATCATTATACCTTGCGCTTTAAAATTTAATACGGAAGTTATTACAAATCAATTGTGTCTTCGACGATCGAAGCTTAATGCACTTGACAACATATTTCGCTGAATTGATCTAGTTTGATGATCGCCATTTGAACTTGACGATTTTAAATAGTATCATAATAACGCTGCCTAAGCTTAATTACCGGTACTTTTCCCTCCCGATGTGCACGTTTGGAATTAGATATCCAGGTGCATATTATATTTCATGAAACGTTGTGTGTGAAACTTAAGTTTTATAATTAAGCTTTGTTTCTCTTACTGTTTTTCTGATTTCTGGATAGTGTCGATTCAAATTTTTATAGACTTTTTTTTTTCTTCTAAATACCATATTTGTGAATTACGCCCCACTATTTGTTTTCTAATTATGTTTAATTTTTATTATGTAAGGTTATATCGTATTTGCAGGGTAATTTTCACGTTGCGTTCGTTAAATAAGAATAAAAATATTCTGAATTAATTTTTAAAATCAATAGTTAGCGATAAATGAACTTCGAAAGTTGTGAAAATGATGAAATATGTCTGGCCGCATAGAGCCGCCCTTCAGGCGAAGAGAAATCAATAAAGCAAAGGGCAGCACTCCCCTCTCCCCTCTTCATACTAAGCGCTGTTGGGCGTTTTTTTATTTTTTGAAACTCTTAAATGTTTTTATAATTATATAATTACAAAAAATAAAAAAAAAATTCTTTTAAAAATTCCACATATTTTATTTCAAAAATAACATTATAAACATTTTAGAGCAAAGTTTTAAAAAATTGTTTCGAGAAACAAAATGAGAGTCAAATTGGCTACAGCAGCAGTGGTGAAATCTCAAGGATCTCTATTCTTTTTGTGTTTCTCAATTTTTTTTACGACAACATATGAAAGGGTGAATTAGGCCGGCTCTCCCCCGAACCACCGGTTCTCTGTGTAGCCACGGACTCCCGACTGTATAAAACGTTCCCCGCCTTATATACTAATTTCATGCGAATTCTTGATATCGCGATTCAGGATTTTCCTTGATAACTCCGTTACCCTTGGATATAAAGTCACTGAAAAATAATGAAAATTATAATTTTCCAATTAGAAATTTAATAAGAAGGTCAAAAAAAGTAGTTGATGTAAATTGAATAGGTAATTAAAATTAAAAAAATTGATGCTCATTCTTAAGGAAGTCCTCTTACGAAAATGTGTTTTATAAATTTAAACCGATGTATAATATAGGTAATTTAATGTTTTCATGCAAATTCAGTCATTAATTTGATTAAAATGATGTTTAAAAAAATTAAATTCTATGCTACGAACAGCAAAACTCGTCGAAGCCTGTTGGACACGAGACTCTGTTTATGAGTTTGAATTCCCATTTTTGGATTTTTTCTAGATATTTACTAGCTTAATAGTCGGTTAATAGTTTCATATCAAAAAGGATTTGGAAATGCCTAAAATAATGGAAACCTGATAATTTCAAATTGGTGCCCTCTAGGTGCTACACGAGTTCAACTCCAAGCGAATCGTGGGAAATACCGCAACGCGGCGCTAAACTCACAGACGGAATGCCTAAAATACATGAGCAGTGACGAAATAGGTTTGATTTCTGTCTAAAAAACCCCTTTTTATGAATTAGATTTCATCTCTTTTATGTTTTAATATTGCCAAAATCGGAAAAAGGATTGTGTTTTGCTAGCCGAAAGCTTTTATGGCGATTTTTTAATGAAAAGCTAGCCGATAGTTGTTCATACAATAAATTTTATTCGATGAAAGCCCTATTTAGACAATTACGACATTTAGCTTTTAATAACCAAAACAGCTAAATCGATCCAGACGTTCGCAAGTGATGTTATTACCAATGACGAACGTTTTACTTTATTAATGTATATATGTAAATTGTATTCATGAAACGGCTTGTGATCAATGAATATCTCTGTTTGCTGTAATTTAAGTATTACATATATAAAATAAAAATTATATTTGATAATGCGAGCGGTACCTGAACGTGGCATAGTTGAATGAAAAATCGAATTACTCCAAATAAAAGCTTTGCGGGGCTGCGTTATTCGGCTCCTTTAGAAACTTTATAAAATAAATTACTCAATTGTTTTCCTAAGAAAATTGTAAATCTTTTCACTTACAGTGAAAACTGATTTCAAACTTATATTACGTTTTGTAATCAATGACGTCTTAGATGGGGTTGAAACAACTTCAAAGCTATAAATGTAAGGAGCTTTAATTTTTGGTACATAAAAACGCATTTTTGTAATCTCGTGTAATAATAACGGAAAAGATACAGATACCTTGGACATCGTCCGCGAATAGCTAGCTGCTCTACGCTTAAAAAATATAGTAAAGAATTACCTGTGCGGTCCTTTTGCATGATAGCATAAGCCAAGCTCTTCTCGTGTCGTAAACGACAACAAAGCAGGAAACTTTTTCTGAGTATTAAATCAATATTACTAACCGACCTTTACCGCGTAAGGGGGTGTTGAAAGTGTGCACTGGTGGGTCCCGCCATCCTGCATATTTCTACCGCAGAGCACACATGCCTGCATCTTTTAAAGACGGGACAGCAGTTATGCTTTACAATTATGACTTCGACACCAGGTATTGGGGTGGGTGTTGGGTCCGCTTTCTGATTGATATCAAAGAGGCCGCGATTTTTTTATTTATTGCTTAGATGGGTGGACGAGCTCACAGCCCACCTGATTTAAAGTGGTTACTGGAGCTCATAGACATCTACGACGTAAATGCGCCACCCACCTTGAGATATAAGTTCTAAGGTCTCAAGTATAGTTACAACGGCTGCCCCACCCTTCAAACCGAAACGCATTATTGCTTCACGGCACAAATAGGCGGGGTGGTGGTACCTACTCGTGCGGACTCACAAGAGGTACCACCACCAGTAATCATATACATATATTGTACATAAAAAAGAGATATATTTCGCTTTATTGTCATGTGGATGACACGGGACCTCTTTAGAATGAGATCAAAATTATATTAGTTTTCGTAATTTGTTTCATCCAAGAATTAGGAGAAATTTATTTTAATTTTTTTTTATAATTTTCTCCCGTGGTTTTTTTGGGGAAAGAGGTTTTTCTTAAGTTATGAGATTTTATCAACGTAAAAATGTAGTGCCAACAAAGCGGCTAAGCCAACGAGAGCTTTTCTGATCTTACGACCTATTTATTCGAAACTGAAGAAGGCCAGAAAACGATAACTTGGCTCATCCCGAATTCCACCCGAAATATGCATGTTATGCTACTTTGAAATGAGGCATATTAGAAGGAAGAGAAAATTGATTTCGATTTTTGAATTCCACAATCACACAGCTACTAGTTCAAAAGGCAACGGGGTTTTTAAATTATGATATCATTACTTATTGATCACCTGAAAACTTTCTTAAGGCACTAAGTACTCTATCGTATTGATTTATTACTAACGTGCAGAGTACAATGGTAATAAAATCGTTGTAATATTTCAAAAGGCTATGATTTTCGCACAATAATGTTTTCCATTTGTTTCTTATTTAAAACCGGTAATTCTTTATTAAAATATAGAGTACGTTCGCAAACTGCTTACCAAAATAAAATAAAAATATATTACAACACAATTAAAGAACGAATAACGTATATGTGGGTAAAAGAAAATTCTAATTTCATGTCCTGCTCGATTCTTGTTTGTATTTACAATTTACTAGTCTTCACTAGTGTTAATAGAAATAAATTTATCCTTCGGTGATAGTAGTTGTTTGCTGGATGAAAGGTACTCTTTTCTGTGTTTTTATCTTTCGTTTACTGCAACAGTGACATATTACTGTTTTTGAAAAAAAAAAACGAGTTTAGATTGGTCCTTAGTTACGTCATTATTAGTCCTTTCTTTAGTTTTTTTAGTTACGTCATGGGAGCATAACAAACAAACTCAGTTTCGCATTTATATTAGTATTTATATATATATTTTAATTATAATTTTAATAATCTATGATATAAAAACAAAAAAAAACACTTTCTTGTAAATAGCCGAACTAAAAAGTAGAAATTTAGCCATGTATGTTTATTTTTAGTAAAATAGTGTGGTACATTGGTACAGAAAAACATAATGATGGTACAAAAAAAGGTTATTATAATTATTATATATTTATATATGTATTTATGATGATTTTAAAATAAAAATTGAGTCATAAACAAAATAGTTGATATATTGTAACTAGAAGACCTGAGGGGAGGCCTAAATCCAGTAGTGGACCTCTGTGTGCTGAAGGATAGTATAGGTAGGATATTACGTAGGTGTATATAGTAGGTAGGAAATTATTTTATGGTCATTGGTGATAAGTAGTGTGCTAAATTTCAATTAACTCGGACGTTTCGAAAAGCTCAAAGCTTCGGCCTGCTAAAAAAAACATGTATTGACGCGGATGACACCGCATCTCTCAAAACATGAGTTGTTCATTTGTTTATTCATTAATAGATGAACCAACTTAACAGTTAAAGGAAGCAAAGGCTTTCTTTTATATTTATTATGTCTTCCACATAAATATTAAATTTCTATTTTATAGGCAATATTTACTATAAACTATATACATATATACGATTCAATTATTCCTAATATTTAGGGGAGATTAGTCTGTTTACGTTCGCAAAGAAAAAAATAACCAAAGGTCGAATTTGTTCTCACTTTTTATACTAAATAGATTGGATGGTGATTAAAATTATCAAGTTCGCAGCTTCTAAGCAATAAATTTTCAACTTTATTAAAAAATCCAAGAGGCATTTTGTTACGTTTTGACACCATTAATTCAGGAAGAAATGGTTTACTGCGTCCCAATCTTAAGTAAAATATACAGGAGTCTCTAACTGAAGGTATGCCCCAAGATTCCTCAAAAGCCTGGTTATTAAATTTCCTTAATTCTGTGCCAATGTTCTCGGGAAAACTAAATCAATTCTTGAAAATCTATACAGTATCGAACAGAATGCATAAATAATCAGAAACTCTGCTTAATATACTGTCGGATGCAAACGAAGACGACTGACCCTGGGCCAAAATAAAAAAAAACGATTTATTTTCTCAGACCTTGTACAAACGTAAGTACTTCTGCCCGGACCAGTACGACGAGGGTTACTTTGACTTCCACTGCGTCGGCGGCAAGAAGCCTCCAAATGGTGCTACTTGGTACACTATTTGTGGTACGCCATTCGCGTAAGTATCCTATAAAATTATTAAAATAGCCATTTTGATTAATTTTTGTAGTTAACCAAACAAAACGTTCCTAATTCTTTTTTCCTCCTGCGGGCCTACTGGAAGAGATTTCAACATGAAATAAGTAGTACCCTCGTACTCTGTATCCTTATTGTCGTGTTTCTTCTATCAGCTGTGTGTTCAAAATATATTAAATAAATAAATAAATAAATAATACAGAAAGAAATAATTAATACTAATTAATAATATAACGTAAAAAGGAATATCTCCATCTCAGCTTCGGTAAATTGAACCCTACAAGAAAATTCAAAAGTGTTTGAATTAGGATAGAACAGTATTTTAATATGTTTCGAAATAGCCTTCTGTTACGGTTCAGTAACGCGAAAATTTTGAGGTTTTTAAAGTAAGGGGTTGATTATACCCAATGATTGTTACGTTCTATACTAAAAGAGCGAATCAAGTATGTTTCAAAACGCATTTTCACAGGAATCGTGCTGAATATATCGTGCTGCTAACAACGATCCTCTTCCTAGCCGCCGGCGTCTTCTACGGCCTTTACTTCAGAACTATTCAGTCCGTACCAGTACCAACTAAGAAGCAGAAAACCAAATAAAATCTTCCAATAACCAAAACGTCAAATACATTTTTTAATTGAAGTAAAAAATAATAATAAAACATCACACTCGCAACAAATGTTTTTTGGTAATAAGAAATGTAATCTCGACAGTCTACCGTATTTCGCTGCTGTTACTATATAAACACAGATAGTCGTTGTGCACTAAAAGCTTAGCACGAATTGTTCGATAAAAGAAAAATAAATAAATCCAGCTTAAAATTGGTTTCTCAATTTGTCGTGTAGTTCTTGCACATTTATCCTTCGATAGCATCCGATTATCCGATGAATAAAATATCATAAAATTATTTTATTGTACTCACCAATCTTTTCTTGCATATTGTCCCAAGTCATAATCACGGCCTTGAAGGAACTACCAGAGCATTGAGCGGGGCATTTCTGCATTAAAGCTATTTTGAATTTGTTTGGGGGAGAATTTGTTTGATTATGTATATCTCAAAATGCTAAAGTAGGGGTTAGTACATGTTTTTCTTTTTTATTAAATAGTACTGTCATGTGTTTTGCTCATTTTCAAGCTGCAAATCGATTTCTGTTTTTCAAATTCCTTCCATGCACTGAATACACATAAAAATATGTATGTTCTGGGAGAATCTTTATTTTTATCTTATTTAATTATTGTTCTTTCTTTTATTTACTCTGAACTTTTTTAATGAATTCATGTAATAATTTTAATATGACAGTTTTTTTTTGTGTGTGTGTTTTAATGTTTTGTGATTTAATTAGTTTGTGAATTTTTAAAGATATTATCGTTGAATAAATAAATAGACATTGTATTTTACGACCACCAATTTATTTAATATCATCAGATGATATCACGATTTGATATGTTTTAAGACGTACAATCACAAGAACATTGTTCCTCACAAAATCGAATATCGCGATGTTAAGGTATATTCGTACAGTTTTGCTTCCTGAAGCCTACCACGAATGAATACGTTGAAACATATTAAACACGTGAACATGATTATGATAATACATATTAGAATGACATAAACGACAAAATATTGAATACGAAGATTCAAACTATCATGTCCATAGGTGGGTATTATATTAAAATGGATTAATTATACACGTTATAACGTGGAACATGTTACAGTAAGCTCATATTAATACTTGGCTGTACCATACTGTGATTACAAGTCAAATGCGTACCTGCTCATAGTAGCAACTACAATGATGCTTAAATTAAATGTTAAGCAAACGTCAAGAGACTCATTATCTTAATATTTTAATAACCCACACGTTTATATAGAGTATGGTGAAGTGCGACACGATCTAATACACAATGCCGTGTCAAAACGTAGTACAACACATTTATAATAATAATTCTAAAGAGAGATTTTGTGCGACTACCACGCTCAGGGTTTAGTTCTACATAATATATTATAATTTCTAATATTTGGTTACACCAGAGTGCCCGGTGTAGCCAATACATAACTTACGACATAACGTTTATACGCTTGAGATTCAAAAATACCTGTTCCAGAAAATTATTAGGCTTTCGCGTTTCTTAAATAACTAAAATAAACATTAACTTAGTCGTGATGCTCTGTTTAAATGGCGTATCAAAATACATGCGGAGTTTCTTATTATAAAAAAAAAAGTGTACACAAAACACTGTTATTAATATATATAATCCGTAATATTTCTTTTTTATGGAATGGTTATCGATAAATACATTAAAATTAAAACACCAAGTGCTCAATAAATAAAATAGACATCATCAAATGATCGTTCTTTTTTTTTCGCTTTTACGAACTTTACCTGCACCATCGAATAGTGATCACTATCAAATAACACAGCACGAAATTCTTGAATAAGAATTTTTACCAAACGATCTACGAGGATCTTTTTATCCATAATAAAAAGTACATTTGGAAGCAAAAAAATACAAAAAAAAATAGATCATGTTCGTAGGGGACCTGTTACATTATCCATATCAACGTCAGACAATACAATAAAAATATTTGGAAGTACTCGACAAATATCTGATTTGGTATACCGCGGACGGATACTGGAAATGGAAAAAAAAACTATAGTCATGTAAAAATAAATAAATGCCTCAAACGTTATCAGGAACAAAAAACGGCTCTCGTCACGAGCCCGCCTAGCCAGTTTTTGGTTTCGCTTCAGCAGGTCTGTTGTTGAAGAGTTCTTCAACGACACCGGGGTCGGCCAGGGTAGAAATGTCGCCCACCTCGTGGTCACCCACGGCAATCTTCCTTAAAATGCGGCGCATAATCTTTCCAGAACGAGTCTTAGGCAAGCCCGGAGCGTTCTGGATGGTGTCAGGAGCGGCAAATGCTCCAATCTTCTGCCTCACCAGCAAGGTCAATGTTTTAACCAAATCAGCGTCGAATTGCAACCCCTCTTTGAGTACAACGAAACAATACAGTGCTTCGCCCTTAACTTCGTGGGGTTTTGGCACTACTGCTGCTTCGGAGACCCTGGGGTCTGAGGCGAGAACGCCCTCTACTTCAGCAGTAGACATGAGATGTCCAGACACGTTAAGCATATCATCAATACGGCCTGTGATCCACAAGTATCCATCTTCGTCGCGCCTCACGCCTACAAAATAATGGCTATGTAATGACAGAAAAAAAACCAGCAAAGTCCTGGGAATCTTTAAGTGTAAAAAGTTACATTAAATATGTATAGTTTCTCCTAGATCTTACCATCTCCGGTGCAGTAGTAACCAGGAAACTTGCTGAAATAGACCCTTTCAAAGCGATCCTGGTCCTCAAGCAGAGTCCTCATCATGCCGGGCCATGGACGTGCGAACACTAGATAGCCTTCTCCGGGTCCCTCTATTTCGATACCATCTTCATTCAAGATTTTCGGTTCAACACCGAAGAACGGGAAGCCCTTTATAAAAAAATAATAATAATGAAGTACCAAACTCTTTTCTTTTAGGTCTTATGTCTGCTTAATTACAACACCAACTAACTGTTACATAGATGCATTCAACAAACAACTATTTTTTATCTAAACATCCAATATATTGTAATGTCATTATTTATCTTAAATATTAAATTCGAAGAGAAATAAAAGATACCCATCGCATAAATAAATATATCGCCGAATTCATATAAACACAAATCACATTAAAGTGGGGGTATGGAGAGCTCAAACGGAAATTATAGATTCATTTTTGTACGATGACCGTTTTACTGTTGTAATTTTTATAAAAAGGAAACATTCATTTAAATAATATAAATTTCGTTTGATCGAACGAATCAATTGAACATCCCAAACTTTAACTATATGTAAATACATAATAATAAATAAAGCCCAAGGTCAGACGCTAAAAGTTGTGGGTGTAGATCTAAAGCCTTCGTCAAACAGAACGCGTAATTAGCGCGCGTCAGAGCGCTAACTAACGCCGCGCTAAGACGCCGAGACGTGTTTTTTTTTTTTTTTTTTTTTTTTTCCTACCTAAGCTGATAGCCTTGAGAGGCTATGTCAGCGTAACCCTAACTTTAGTAGGTGAGCTCACGGGGCTCAAACCTGACGAAGTTGCTAACACGAATCCTAGCAAGAGCCGTGCTTCGCAGAATCTACCACCGGATCGGAAACGCGACCCACTGAGAAGATCCGGCGAGAAACTCAGTGGGCTGTGTCTAAGAGTTAATTTACTCGTCGAGCCCTTCGTCGCAAGCGACGGGTTCGACGAGAACGGTGACCGGTGCTTGAAGTACCTAAAAGCACCGTTAGTGGATCGGGAGGATCCGAGATGACGGATGTGTTGTAATACTATGGTAACATACCGTCAAACAGAGCCCCAGCGCTATAAATACGCAGCGCTCTGTCGCGGCGTTAGGACGCTTTGACGTCAGGCGTTGTAATTTTTTACAAATTTTATTTTAGCGTCCGAGTGAATGTGTATTAAAATACTAGATAATGCCCGAAAAAATTATATAAATAGTTAGAAAATACCCATGCTTATACAATGCAACATCTGAATCACTCGATTTCTTAATACTTTTAAATTTTCACACTGCTATCGAAAGGCACTATGATTTGGCGAATGCGTTGCGTCAAGGAGCGTTATACTCATCTAGTCAATTTGAAGAGCGCGACGTTAAGTACGCGTTCTGTTTGACGAAGGCTTTAGTGTTAATTGCTTTTCACACGGTCAGCTTTATCTGTCACGTGTTAGCAATCCTAGCAACCTGTATGCTTCGATCCTCGATGGGTATACGTCTAATGTCGTGTATAGAGAAGCATTACTTTAAATTAGATTTTTCTAAATACACAAATGATGGTGTTTATAAACCAAAGATATGTCCAAAAACTCTTGCCCAAAGTCACTATTCCACGCGGACGGAGTCGCGGGCACTGCTAGTTTAAATAATATAAATTTCGTTTGATCCAACGAATCAATTGAACATCTCAAACTTTTACTATATGTAAATACATGGTACAATATAAAATACATTTTATATTTCATACGAAATAAAAATATAGTAACAAATACATAGTATATGTATACAAAGTAACATATTTATAAGAATAATTAAAACAACATTAAAAATTTAAACCAAGGTATTGTTTTCTTAAAGGTATAATATCCGCGAACATTTTTTCCGATTATAGAAGACGGATACAAATAGAATGTCAACGATTAGATAATTTTTGAAAGAAATTTAGTATTATTAGAATTTCGTACACAAATACATATCAGAACTTCAAATAATTATAATTAAAATACTTTGTGTTTTTATAATACTATGAATAAATACATTGTTTATTTAGAGAGTTAAAGTTGTTAGAAAGAATGAAGGCTTTCGTCCAACTAAACATTTATTATTCGTGTGTATTAGTAACATTAGAAATAACATGTTTGTAAACCATATCAAATTAACATTGTCACGAATAAACCTATGGCGTTTTTATAACATTATTTTTTCCGAGCTATAGTATATGTAGATAGAAGACTTAAATTAATTCATTTTAATATAGCAATCGTTTCATGAATGTTCATAATAATATAATATTGCATACACATACTTTCAAAGCACATCTGTAGCACAGTTCACATCAGTTCAGATATAAAGCCGCTATGAAGAAACTAAATTTCAGCCATGACAATTTTGTTGTGGGAGCACTTCAAGAAATACCATGTACAAAAACTTACACGTGTACGATTGGACTTATTCGGTAGATGCACGATCATGACGGTACGATCCCAGCCCTGCTTCGGTCGAAAGGTGTCCATCGAGGAATAGTAGACCGGGTGTTTCTTCTCCTTGTGGATCACAATATCCAACGGTCAGGGGTGATTACATTGTCATTACACTATATTTACAATTAAAAAAAAGTCCTGTAATCGCTTCAAAATTGTAGCTTAGGTAACTTACTGCTGCACCAGGCTTCATGGGAGTGGCGCCAGGCAGTCCGGTGATCACGTGGCCCCCGGTCTCTGTCTGCCAGAAGGTGTCCACGATAGAACAGCGCTCTTTCCCAATCCTGGTGTAGTACCACAGCCAGGCCGCCGGATTTATAGGCTCACCCACACTTCCCAACACACGGAGACTCGACAAATCCGGCCTTTCAATGTACAATTTTATGAGAATAGTGTTTAGGAAAACGAAGAAGACATGGATAGAGCGTGTGAATGACGATATGAGAGAGAGAGAGAGGAGTCAGTGTTAAGATGATGGCTGATAGAAGAGAATGGAATAGAAAAAAAATTATTATAGTTAGTATTTGAATATCAAAAGTGCATAATAATAGTTCTTATCTGCTTCATAGGCAGTGATATAAATACGGAAATCCTACAATACTACATAATATATTTATCTCTTCTGTATGTTTTATAAAAATACAATGGATACATACGTACTTGTGTTACCAAACATTAAATTGTCTTGTAAGAGTGTAGTCGACCTTGAAGTTCGATCAGTATTGATCTAACATACTGCCAAGATTAATTTGATTCTATTTAAAGTTTCTTCTCAAAATTCATTACAATAAACTATATACTTTTTATTTACATTATACATACAATTCGATATTATAGTCGCGTTTTTTAGTTAGTCGCATTTTTCTACGATAAATGATTTTTAATCGAGACGAAAATAAATTCCATATCAACAAGCCTTTGGTTTTAAATATGTTTTATCGAACATTAAAATGCGAAATATAAAGCAAATCTTATATTGCACGAACTTTCGTCAAAGGGTTATCTCTGATCTTACTCACAGAATGATTGACTTAAAATTATAAGTAGTATTATAAAATGATAAAACATATTAAATTAATTCTAAAAGGTCATTGTTACATTTACAACTATCTGATAAGACTTTGGAATACCTACAGAAATATAACTGCTAAAGTGATGGGCGGCAAATGATTCGCGTAAAATAATTACCTATATATTTAGTCAATAATGTTAACTATTTGATAAAATAGATTATTTAAATAATAAATTATTGGTTGTATTCCATAAATTAAATAAAAATAGTTAAATCGCTTAAAAACGTGGTAAGCACACGATCAGAACTTACATGGTCAGATTGCCATCTTCCACGTTGTAATGGGCCATGAGAGCCCGGATTGCAGTGGGCGCAGTATAAAACTGCGTCACTTTGTACTTGTTGATAATACTCCAGTAACGATCGACCTTCGGAAAGTAGGGAGTCCCCTCGAACTATTAAAAAAAGAATAAAAGATGACGTTTTCTTTCCTAGCATACTCCAAAGTTTGTTAGTAATTTGGTTATTTTTTCCTCTCAAAATTCAAAAATCTCCAATCCAGACGTGACTGTAAATAAAAACTCAAACACAAATATTATTACAATAGCTGTGAATACCCAGGATTTTATTTTCGATTTCATATTTTGACGTATGCTGTAAGTTTGGACAAGGTCAATGTAGGTACTATATCCGAGAAAATAGTAGTCGAAGTCGAAGTCGAAGTTCGTTGTCATGTGAAGTTGTCTTGGCCTAAAGTAGGTATAAGACGCCCGTATGATGCGACTGACCAGTGTTCGAATCTCGGCGGCAGGTACCATATTTTTGTATGTACAATATTTGAATGTACTTAACATAGGCCGGCCGTTATATTATACATATTAGAATTATACCTCATGTCTCAAGGAGGCTGTGAGTTGGTTCAATCGTCTATGCAAAAAAAAAAACTTTATTATAATATTTTACGACTAAAATATTTTGGTATTCTACTTCGTTTTAATATTCTAAGTTAATTATTTTGTTTCGTTTTTTATATATGAAATTAATAATATCACAGTATTCATAAGAAATAGTAGTGTTATTTTCATTTAAGATATGTTAAAAAAATCACGATCCTATTTAATAAACTTCGAAATCGTCGTACGATATTTTTGACCAATCTTGCCACGAAGCAATCTTTCTTTTCAGTTTTCACATATAAAAAGCCGTAATTCCAATGCAATTAGACGTAAAAGTCTACTATTCAAAGTGAGTATTCACGTTTTGGTATCTATACAGTCTAGGAGCCGCTCCGAACCTGATATTTTTGAGAATTTTCAAACATCACATCAATCACCTCAAGCCTGATAACATCTCCACGAAACCTATTATGAGATTTAATGACGCGATAACACGAAAATGACATTCACTGCCATAATCAGAACGAAAACATTTGATACATGACCTGTTTTAGTTATGAATGAAAAGATAATGAATTATATGTTACATTTGCATATTCAATCCGTGATAATGGGCTGCCGCACATGTTATCTGTAATATAGATATGATGCATATTATTTTTACCGTGATATACACAGTCAAATATTGCCATATATGCATATTAAATTCATTCACACTCGACATTGCAAACGTGTTTTACCTAAATATTTTAAAAACGTTAGTAACATTTTTATTATCACAATATTTGTTTACGTTTACACATCTCTATAATAGTTCATAATCGAATATATCGTTATGGTTTGCAATTGTACTGAATTCAGTCCAGATATTTACGCAATTTAGCCCAGTATACATACATACACGTTTCATGTGATGCGACTATATGTGCCTTGTATGATTTTTCTAATAAATGTTCACAAATGGTTTCCTCCTCTGCCCATAATCTTAGTACCTACTTTTCCATGCACAAATTATACGATCCCGTATATAGGTATATTGGTAAAACTACAGATCTGATATTTCCCTAATTTGTAGAAAGCCATTGTTTTATTTGTGTCGATGCATTATCTGTTAATGATGTCAATGTTCGATCTATATATAACACCTAAACGAGAACATGGCGCACCTTTATCAGCTGCGACGATGCTATTTTAAGCTATTGCTTTGGTGTGTGGCTGCGGTTTTTTTTTTCTATTTATTACAAATCGATAACGATTTCATTAGACATGAATAGGGTTCCCAGACGGACCTCATCCCTGGGTTGCTTCCAGAATATGAGCTCTCATACTCCAGATTCCTTAGCTTGGCTTTATGATAGTATTTTAATTGCAAGTGAAATTCATTATTTTTTTATTAAAATATTTTTAAGCCGATCTAGACATCACCTGATATAGATCTAGTATAGATTTGAAATAAATAAATAATTAAACTCAATAGGATTTTGTTTCTAATCTATTAATTTCAGGCTACTGTAGATAAACATTGGAAAAAATGATAAATTTCACTTTTTGAAATTTAGCACCAGTATTTTGAAACTTAAAGATGACTTTCCCAATATTGATTTTATCCCTACCTATTCGCTGGTAGGCTAAGAGGTGATTCCAGTTACGCGCGGTCGTGTAGGTGAGGTCACGGGCTCAACCTGAGATAATTTACTAACACTAGCCCAAGCAAGAGCAGTGCTTCACAGAATCTACCACCGGTTCGGAATCGCGACCCACTGAGAAGATCCGGCGAAAACTCAGTGGGCCTGTGTCTATGGTTTAGTTCGCGTGTCGAACTCTTCTCGACGAGTTCGACGAGGACGGTGGCCGATGCCGGACCCTCAATTCTAAAAACACCGAGAGTGAATCCGGGGGATTCGTCAATACATGTTTCTTACTCCGTCGCGGTCGGAAAAGGTTTTTTTTTTCTCAATAATCATCATCCGATGTTAGAACGTGTCATTAAATCCATTCGTTTCATTACTCACCATAACCGAGGTGGCAGCGTTGGCCAGCGGCGCGTACACAACGTATGTGTGTCCGGTGATCCAGCCGACGTCAGCGGTGCACCAATACACATCGCGCCTGTGGTAGTCGAACACGTAACGGAACGTGGCGGCTGCGTACATCAGGTACCCGGCGGTAGTGTGCACAACCCCTTTCGGCTTACCAGTGGAACCGCTTCACCGAAAGAATATTATATTTATTAACACGCTTTTATTAGCTTCAGACGTATGTATGTAACGGAATCTTTGAACATGATTTTGACCCCCTTCAAGACGTCGGATTAACTCAAAATTTGGTATACTTATTAAGGACCGATGACAATTCAATATTTAAAAAAAAGTTGAAAAAAAATATTGAAAAAATTGAAATTCAACTAAAAAATGAAAAATAAATAATAGTTTTAAAAAACTAACAAAATACGCTTTTATACAAAATGCAACTAGAAAATTTAAAATAAATTTAAATTAAAAATAGTGTAATAAAAAATTATTTTATTGTAAAAAAGGCGTGGGGTGCATGGTATCAGTAGTTATAAGCATTTTATGAACAGATAAGAGTAGAAGGGTTATTTTGATAATATCCTGAAAAGCACCCCACGATTTTTGCAATAAAATTATTTTTTCTTACACTATTTTTAATTCAAATTTTTTGGTTGGATTTTCTGTAAAAGCGTATTTTGTTAGTTTTTTTAAACTATTATTTATTTTATTACGAACATTTTCACACGTTCAATATTAAATTTCAATCCTTCACTAATAAAACTACGTTTAAGACCTCGTAGAAAATAATATAATAAGATTAAAATGATATATTAAAGATAAAAACCTTGTGTAGAGCACGAACAATGGATCCTCGGCGGCAACCCATTCCGGAGGGCAAATGTTAGATTCCCCCTCTAACACTTCGTGCCACCAGATATCTGTCTCCTCATTCCAATTATACTAAAAATAAAATGTTTTCTAGGATTACAGCAAAAAAAAAGCATATCAATATATATTGCCAGTCGCAACCGCCATTCGAGAAGCTGAGGACCGGACGAGATGGAAACAGCTCACGAGACAGGCCACGGTCAAGTTTCAGGGACACGACCTTCAGCAATGAAGAAAGCGACGTAGAAGAAAGTGTACTCACGAGATCTTTGATTTCGCTTTTCAAACTACCACCAGGTGTAACTCTATCGAGGTGGTTTACGACCATACACATATCCACTCTGTGCTTGAAGAATGTTCTAGCCTTCTCTATGGCATCGTCGCAGGTTCTCTTGTACACGTACATGCGTTCGCCGCGCCAAGCACCGTCAGCGGTGACCAAAAGTTTAGCTTTAGCGTCGGAAAGGCGCTCCGCTAAAGCGTCCGATGAAAATCCTGCGAACTAAAATACCATTATGAGATTTTTTAATAGCTAAAAACGAATATTCATTTGTTAGTGTTGTATCAAAATGGGTATCGTATTTTTTTTTTTCCCCTATAATTCGAAACTTTGTACAACTATTGTTGGTACTGTTGGCATTTAAGGCGTGGTCTTTGTAATGGTTATTGCTTCTTGTGTTGTGTATTTCATATAATTGACGATAGTAATAGCGAAGCGTGGTCGGGTTATATTAGTATCAAATGATAATCAAAATAATTACATAATATCTTAAGGAACAATACAACAAAAGAATCTACTTTTTTTTTTTGCCAAAATAGTTATTATTAAATATGAATGTATTCTTAAATGCTGAATGATAAATACCACGACTGTGTGTACAGCACCAATTCTAGCGCAGGCTAACATGCAGATTACTGCCTCCAAGATCATGGGCATGTAGACTGCAACGCGATCTCCTTTACGGATTCCTTTGGCCAGCAAACCATTGGCAAACTGGCACACCAAGTCCAGCAGTTTCCGGTATGTAATGCGCGTATAATCATCCGGACTGTTCCCTTCCCTAAAATTGAAAAAGGCGCAAAAGAAAAAACAAAAGAAAAACGTTAGTTATTTATTTTATTTATCTAGGAAACTAAGAGTTTAATACATCCGCACAGCAAAACATATTGAAAATAGGCAACCAACCAAGCTCGCACTATTAAATACCAAAAAAAATAATTAAATAACTGACGTTAATGACATCAATATTCAAAGAACATAAAAAATACTACTCCTATAAATAGGAATTAAACCACATTACAAAGAATTCAAAATTATGCAATTGATTAATAAAACATACCCATATTGAAGAAGTTCGTGTCATATACTCTACATGATCTACGGATCAAAAATATACGATACGAATGTATTAAATTATAAGCATGATTTGTTCTACATAATATACATAATCCCAATATTCAAATACCGAAACGACTAGATTTTGGTATAGAATTAGTGAGTCATTTCATTATCAAACCCCAATTCTAAAATTCTTAACTCTATACTAAACGTATGTACAAGTTTCATTTAAACACTCTTTACTACGAGTATAATATCACTGTACCTAAGAAGAGAATCGGGACGTCAGCTTAGACCTAATCTTTGAACACAAGTTTAAAAAATAGAACTAAAGCAGTGATGATTGTTATGGCCTCAAGCGAATACAATCTCAGTCAACTCACTCTAAGTTTTAGAACTGTCCTTACAGTTTAATTACAATTTATCAAGTGGGTTAGCTCTTTAAGTTAGCTATAAGCACACAATAATGAACTGTTTACTAAATAACAAAACTGAAAATCGGAAACTAACTTTTAATCCAATCCAAATCGAAGATTCCAATTTTTCCACATTAGTTATCAAACATAAAATAAGATTTCAAAATGATAAAAACAAAAAAAAATATATTAGCTTGGTAACTGGCTTAGCACAATACGTACGTAAGTAATACCTTGAAACAAACAGTTTAGGAAGGTCAACAATTACTTGACTATACTAGTCAGTTTGAAGTTTAATTTGTTGTACCTCTAGTTATTACATTTACCAATGACTGCACTATTCGTTATAATCATTATTTAAAAAAAACTCAATTATTTTTAGAATGTATTTTATGTTTTCTTAGCCGTAGATGTACAAGCTCACAGCCTACTTGGAGTTGTGTGATATTGCCGCTGTGAACCTTCAAACAGGAGTTTGAAATTAAATTGTCATAATATATATGATAGTTACACCTAAATCTACTAATCGGGTATTTTTTATAGGGTTGATTGATTATTCGTTCGTGTTGTATGCGTTCGCGCGTTTATATAATTGATTTGAAACGTAGCAGAGCTATTAGTGACTCTACAGAGCAGGTTTCGATATAGCACCATCAACGTATGATAAGTGACGCGTGAGTTGTTTGTGCAAGTGTTCGTCCATCAAATAATGAGCAATAATCATAGCCAGAATTTACTAGTATTTTATTCGGAAAGTATTTGGGAAGATTAATAAGTGATATAACTGAAAGAAATGATTCTAAAAAAATGTTTGCAATACTTGTATTGTTTGGATTTATTTGAGTAAACGCCAAAAATATAATGATAGAATTGTAATTTTTCAGTTTCAATCTTGATACCTTAAGCCTTAAATTAATTTATAAATCTTATCTTATATCTTTAAACGAGCAATTCTTGTTTATAAATATATATAATATAATCTGAATCTCGGAAACGGCTCCAACGATTTTCATAAAATTTAGTATACAGGGGATTTCGGGGGCGATAAATCGATCTAGCTACGATTTATTTTCAGAAAATGTTGTTTTATTCGTGTTTTCAATAATCAACTTTATCTATAATTTTGATTTTTTCTTTAAATAACCAGTTAATTTTTTTTTATTCTGTCGGTAAGAGCGAAAAAAAATATTATTCATATTTCATCATTTTATCAATATGTAATTCGTATTTAAATATGATTTCTAAAAAACAAAATCTATATAAAAATAAGAATACCATTATCTACTACATGTTTATAAGCCGCTCAAAGTTCAAAATTCATTTTCTTAAGATTTTTAGTTACGACACTTTAATTCTCAAGGTGCGGCGATATTCTTTTTTAAGTAGGAACTTATTATAATAGCATATTCCCCGAGAGTTCAAACTGAGACAAGACATAAGTCTTGTATCATTTTTTTAAAAGTTCTGGACCTTAAATTTGTGGCATATTTTAACATTAGCATTCTTTACAATGCTCCAGATACCTATGTGATTTCCTTTTGAGATCGCTGGTCACAAAGACATAAAATATCTTTGTGTTTTAACTTTGGCGTCTATCCATGTTTGTACTTCGCAGTACATTGTATAGCCTTTGTAATCTTTAAATTTTGTCGGTAAAATAGGTCCGGCGTACGTCTGGTGCAGTTGATACGGAATTTAATTTTGGTGGAGGGTTGGATCGCCTGATCATCACCCTATATGTCGGGCTGTGGGGTGAAATAAGGAATTCACACCCACGAAACAAACCTTCCGTTGCTTTTACACCCGAGCGCCCGATCTCTACGCCAAACAGAACTCGGAAATTGTTCAGAACTGAGTCGCGTAAAGCTATCTCGCGCAGATTAACCCTCTCCTCCACAGAAAGCCGTCGGCTACACGACTAATGAGCCAGGAATGCGAACTGAATACAGATCTATTAGAAAACCAGACCCGTGTACCGCACATCGATAGCATAAATTAAAGTAACCGACAATTTTAGTAAATGAAATTTGGCGTTGTTAAATATACGGTCACAGGTGTACAGAGAGGTGAAGTTGTAAACTTTTAATACTTACAACTTAAGTAGTGTGGTTCTAAAATTTATTTGTGAATCTGAGACCTATGAGAATTTGGGAGTAACGCTAAAGGGAAGATCTTACACCGCGCAGATCAAATTGATCTGTAAGCCGGCTCCAGTGTTCTTTTTCGGAACTTGCTTTGTCTCAAACTTATCTTGAAAATGTCGTTAGCAAGATTCAGGCAGCTGTCAAATATTTTATGTTCTGTTATAGCTACCCGTTACAAGTACCATGGTTGTTTTTTCTTCCTACCTATGCTCAATATACCAGCCTTACCCTAGTGTGTAGGTGAGGTCTCGGGGCTCAAACCGGAGGTGTTGCTAACACTGGCTCTAGCAAGAGTAGTGCTTCGCAGAATCTACCACCAGATCGAAAACGCGACCTACTGAGAAGATCTGGCGAGAAGCTCAGTGGGCTGTTTCTATGGGTTCATTTACTCGCCGAGCCTTTCGTCGCAAGCGACGGGTTCGACGGGGACGCTGACCGGTGCTTGAGGTACCTAAAAGCACCGTTAATGGATCGGGAGGATCCGTGTTTAGGGCTACGTTGACTGTTTACAATCTTGGTACGTTTAAAGCTTTTAATATTGTAGACACGGGTGTTATACGGTCAGTAGGATCGATCGAGACAAACCACATTTATCGGGCGAAATCAAGATCTGAGCATTTTATATTTGAGTTGTTCCCGTGCTGAATGTGGACATGCATCGGGATATCGTTGCAACTGATAAACAGCAGGAATTAGCACAAACCGACGATGTTAAGTATTTAGGAAGTATTTCATGGCGCTCGGGCAGTTGTTAAAAACGTCTTTCCTTCTGGCTGAGCCCTCGACAGGTTAAAAAAGAATTCTGTCGAGCGAATCGCTATCATATTATCAAAAAAAGGGTGCGTTCACAAGCTCCTCTACTGAGAGGAGGGAAAAGCCAACAAGATGCGGCAAATATTACATGTGTTAATTTGAGATGATGTGCAAGAGACGTAATAAAAAATAATTGTGACCTCTCTGAATCAAAAAATAATCATTCGTTGTAACTATTTGTAAATTAGGTTAGGCAGAATGAGCTGAATTCTCTCACGAAACCAGATCAGACTGTACTAAGTCCGTAGCTAAAGTATAATTCTAAAAATATATGGTTCCTAAGCGCATTTCTTGCAAATAAATTGAATCTATATCAGGTCATATTGATTTAAATATTCAATGAATACGTTACCCGTTACATTGATCTTTAACCCCTTTTTTTCGATTCAATGAACTTAAATTACCAAGAAATAAAAAGGATGCACTGTGTTTTTATCTCAAATGCAAAACATCTCTTAGATGGTTGCTTATAAGTTGTTTTCGTGATAAGATAAATATTCGTTTTGATGTAATAACTCTAGTCATTTGTATCATCATTTTTGTTTCATTTACGTCTAAGCAAACAGCATAATATTATGAGTTAGTAGCCAATTCACAATGTTTGTTTTAATTCAATACAAATGAAAATTTCAAGAGAATAATTTAAAAAATATGCCGCAAATACTTTCATAAACTAAGATTTCAATAAATTAAACCAAACACATTTATATTTGCTTAATTAACAATCTAAAAGTTTAACTTGTTGTTGATTTAAATCAACCAAATTGCGAAAGTCTAATGTGACCGTGTAGTCAATGTTGTTATCGTACTTTCCATATGTTAATTTGAAATTCATTACTGCGAAATTGTGTATTTCATTTAGCGTACATATGTTTGATGTTCGTTAATTTTTTTAAATTATTAAATTTCCTTAATTTAACATTCTGAATAGGTACCTACCTATAATATCTTTGTGAGATAATTTCTTATTATTCTTATTTTTTTTAAATCCGTTTTATGTACAACATAACATTGTGATAAAAATATAAATTCAAGTATTGTTTACAATATAGAATAAGAAAGTAAAATTTGAAAAATTTCTTACCTACATTTAGAACTATGGCATTTATTGTCAAGTATTAAAGTTTTTTTTTGCCAATGTTTGTCATTAATTTTTTTCTTTAAGATTTACGGTAAAGATTTTTTCTTACCATAAATAATATAATATGCTAAGAAACTGTTACTCAATATAAAAGTCCCGATACTTGAGATCTTTTATCGATCGATCGACTTATATCATAAAGCAAAATAATTTCCAATGTAAACCTTCTAATGAAACCAACAAAAGCTTCTTCAATACAATTTAAATATTAAAGTAGTAAATTATTTATGAGTGTGATTCTAATTTTTATTCAAATATTCCGATTAAAATATTAAAAAAACAGCGGTGGTTGCATATTTTTCAGCAATACGTGTAAAGTACACATTACATACAAATAAAAATGGCAGACTGTGAGCTTTAAGCGTCAATTCATACTGCGTATACGAATTGATCAACTGAAAAAGCTCCACGACGAAGACCTGCAACTAAAAACCTATAAAAGTTATTAAAGCTTTTGCAAACTCGCTGTGCGCAAACAATGACGGGAGCTGCATCGGTGCACATTATGTAATAATAGATACTGTTTGTATCAAAATCAATAGACCTGCGCATCTTGTCGTTGCATTCGCACAGCATACATACACATACACAATATATGTATAGATGAGTATTTTATTTAACACTTACCAGAAAAAGGCAATTTTATCCCCGAAACCATTCTTGACATTGCGATCGAGCAAATTGTAACACACATTCAGCTCGGCTTCCTCCATAAATTTTACAAAGACCCTTCCTTTGGTAATGTCAAAGTTGTATTTCATGAAGCCACCCGGCTTCGGTGCTACATGCCACTGAAATTCTTGGGCGACCTCGGTCCAGAACAGTTCCGATTCAGTGAGTGATCTTTCATACATTTCTTTGTATTTTTGGATCGATGGTAAATACGATTTCTTGATGACATGATCAGTGGGCTTGTACATGCGCGACGACATCGCGAACGCTGATTTTTAACGAATAGTGCTAACTCGACGATTCACGCGCGCTAACTGAGCGATAAAGCCGGCTAACTGACGGCTGTGGCAGTGAGTGAACGCTGGGCAACGATCGCTTGGGCGATGGCTTACGCATGTAGAGCGCGTGCGCGCCGACCTGGCCACCGTAGTACCGGACGCGATGCAGCAGGACTGCACCGACGCACCGCCATTGATTTTCATCCCCTTATGTAACATCACAGTATATTATGTGTCTGGATCTATTCCCTCAAGTCTCTTATAAATACATACGTGGGTAAATTACGTACTGTCTGCGTTCTTTCTATCAAAATGTATAGTTACTCTTTATTATTCTACATAATAATAATTATAAATCTAACAGCCTGTCAGTCCGGGAAATTTGGGATGCTTTTTAATAAGATGATTTTTTAAAAAAAAGTCTAATCTCACAATCTGATCGGAGCGTAGTGTAAAGGGTATGACAGGTTTAAGTCTTAATAGATATTTATTTAATTCATAATCTGTATCGGTACTCTAAAGAAGCTACACATTAACTGGGTTATGTACACGACATTCTGCAACAGAATTCCTTGCCCGAACAGAAAGTTCGTTAGAGACATGTTTTTTTAACTATTATTCTGGTTGCGAAGTCAAGATTTTGTATAAATTGTATCACTTGTACGTCAAATATAATGGCACTATATAGTACAATTCTCTTTTTCTTATACCTATTGTTTTTTGGTGGGTAAGCATTTCGTCATTCATTCACTGAAGGTTTCCTGAATTTGTTTGTGTAGCGTAAATACTTGAGAACAGACAGTAAATTTATTTGAGAAGTACAAACAAATATTACAATCGCTTTTTATTATAATATAATGGACATGTTATTATTAGATTTTATTGCGATTGCAACAAATGTGCAACTTGAAAATGACCTCGTCGCCTTAGCGAGGCCTTTCGAAGCGTTTTGTAGTTCAAAGACGTCTACTCAAATGAGACATTAGCTATTACGCTGTTGAACAATATGGAAAAGATTATTAAAATGAAATTCTTCATTGCATTAATAATATATGGGCTTGAAGTTTTATTAAAGAGACAGTCTTTCACCGCCCGCCACCGGAGTAGAGTTCATCCATACTACCTGGAGCCACTGCGTTCATCCACAGTGCGTTTCCAGAGGTCTTTTTTGCCACGTACCATCTGGCTTTGGAATGAGCTCCCCTCCACGGTGTTTCCCGAGCGCTATGACTTGTTCTTCTTCAAACAAGGCTTGTAGAGAGTACTCAACGGTAGGCAGTGGCTTGGCTCAGCCCCTGGCATTGCTGAAGTCCATGGGCGACGGTAACCACTCACCATCAGGTGGGCCGTATTCTCGTCTGCCTACAAGGGCAATAAAAAAAAGAATCTATTTTGTCGAAAGGCTATGAAAACAAAGCGCGCTCTAACTGTTACTGAATAAAAAATCACTAAGTATCGTAATAGCCTCGACTGAAAACGAGGTCATTGGCAACTATTGACCTTAATACATTTCTCTTAATTATCAATGCGAAATTTAAAATTGTATTTTACAAATATACATTATTTTATACATGTCTTATGCGTTGTGGGAAATTTTAATAACAAAAGACGCCGCCCATAAACCATGTTCATTAAAATATTATTGTAAAATTTTGTAGCGCTGCAGGAAGCGATCTTGAAAGAAAATTGAATTTGCCGCTCGTGATTTGTGCGTTTTGATATGCGTTATGATAAAATATTAGCAGTTTCCATTGCACGCGCATGATCCAAAATACAAAATAAATTGGACACTATGAAGTTGGGCAAGTTTTAAACACGAATTATTACGATAGCGCTAAATACAAAAATGGTCGTTCAAAAACGAAGTTTTTGTTACCTAATAATCATTAATTACTATTAATATAATAATCAACATTACTAGTATAGACAAACCGATGATTGTTAAAAATGTTTATATTTTTTTACTAAATGATTGTTGATTTAAAAATTAAACTACTAAACACATTTTATTGAAATTTCTATGTAACCAATCTGAAAGTATATTACTTTCCTAACTCTTAAAAGTTTCAACTAACAAACAAAAATAATTTCTAAATCGATTTTGAAACTTTAATAAGCTAAGTCAAGAAACATCAAAACACGAAATCAAAATGACAACGACGACGACATCAAAAACGAATTGAGAACCTCATCCTTTTTTGAAGTCTGTTAATAAACCGTACAAAGTCTAATATTCGCACAGTTGATATGCAATTGCATCGTTGCATACTTTATATTTATACGCGTAAGACTGCTTTTCGACTTTCACAGCTCTCGATTATTTGAGCACATTTGAATTGAGTCAATAAAGCGTAATAACGCCCCAAGCGAACACAATTGTTAGGGCTCGATTGAAGTCTGAATCTGTCGCATAGGAACCGTCTCGTTATTATGAAGCATTATTGTGTTCCACTTAAAATTCATACCAGCTTTATTGCGATATCCTTTTGAGATGCAATTTTAGTTCACATCGACATAAATCATTACAAAAAACGCAGTATGATAAACATTAGACGTTTTCAGTAATAGTAAAGAAACGTTTGTGGACGAATGGCTCCTACCGATAGCTCCAACTGTGCTGAAGTATAAATACAACAGTCAGATATTAATTTTTATTAACTTGGAAAAATTAATAGTTGTAGGTCACGTGGAAGGAAAGAGAAGTCGAGGAAGATTGCCAACCAGGTGGACGGACATTGTCAAGGAGGCCACAAACACCAGTGTCCCGGGCGCCATTAAGCAGGCCGAATGCAGGCAACATTGGAGGAAGCTGGTGGAAAAACTGGACCAAGGCGGTCACGACACTCAGTAATGAGGAAACGACAAAGAAAAAGAAGAACATACTTAACACGTGTTTGCGAACGAATTCCACGATGAAGGAACATTAAGGAAAAACTTGATCAAACTATTATTGGCGATCTAAAAAGTATTAATTAATAAATAAATAAAAAACTTTAAGAATTTAAAAAAGACACGTAGATATAACTTTATTAATTTAATACATTTATTAAACAAAATTATATTGCACAATTCTAGTGATGACAATGTTAAAGTTTATTTATTACGCGAGAAATAGTGATGTGTACGTATTTTGATACATAATATATTATTTAAAAAAAAACGTGAATTAATAAAAATTTTAATAAAATTATTCTTATTACAATACCAGTTTTTTGAAACAGTTCAGATGGAAGTATTGGTGAACCCTGATACAATAAGATTGTGCTACGAAAGTTTTTACAAATATTTTCGTAGGCGACGCGCGGTTTCCGTAGTCACAACTTATGAAGAAGTACTTTTCTAAACGATTACATATTAATTTATGCTTAATTTGAAAACAAATAAGTGTTGTTGTTCGCTTAAGTTAGTAATTTATTAATATTTTCAATACGGAAGCGACCTCCTTATTTTGTCTTCAAATAATAGATTCAAAACTATTTTTGTGATATAAGTATATGTGTGTTTGTATATGTGCCAGTTTCATTCTAAAGGTGCGAATGTATTAAGCATTGCAATACTAAGTGTTTGATTTCGGAACGTCAAAGTGTCAACGAGCGACGCCGCTATGACACTTTTTTAATACGCTTTTATTAGCTTCAGACGTATGTACGTATGTTTGTAACGGAATCTTTGAACATGATTGTGACCCCCTTCAAAACGTCAGATTAACTCGAAATTTGGTATACTTATTAAGGACTGATGACAATTCAACAGTAAAAAAAAAGTTAAAAAACAAATAATAGTTTAAGTAGATTTTTTAGTTGATTTATAAAAGCGTATTTTGTTAGTTTTTTTAAACTATTATCATTTCCTTTCAATTCTAGCCGCCAAGAGCAACGCATCGGTTTCATATTTCTGTTATATTCAATCTTTAAATTTTCATAAATATCTCAAAAGCAATAAATACAGTCCAAGCTTATTTACCACAACGCAACATGTGGTCCTTCTCCGGTGAAACAATCGGATCGACGACCTGCGAAAAATACAATTTGAAAACCGACGCTTGGCCGCCATCTTCAAATCGACGGCGCTTCATCGGCTGGTATTGATAGGGAATAAATAATAGTATAAAAAACTAACAAAATGCGCTTTTATAGATAATCAAAGTAAAAAAATAAAAAATAAATTTTAATAAATTTGAATTAAAAATAGTCGTGGAGTGCTTTTCAGGGTATTATCAAAATAACCCTTCCACTCATATCTGTTCATAAAATATTTATAACTAGTGATACCGTGCACCCCACGCTTTTTTTTTTACAACCAAATCATTTTTTCTTGCAATATTTTTAATTCAAATTTATTTTCTATTTTTTTATTGGATTTTTTATAAATGTGTATATTGTTAGTTTTTTTAATCTATTATTTATTTTTTAGTTCAATTTAAATTTTTTTCAATATTTTTACTATTGAATTGTCATCAGTCCTTAATAAGTATACCAAATTTCGAGTTAATCCGACGTTTTGAAGGGGGTCAAAATCATGTTCAAAGATTCCGTTACAAACATACATACATATTAGTTATGCCTGAAGCTAATAAAAGCGTATTAAAAAGTGTCATAGCGGACGTCGCTCGTTGACACTTTGATGTTCCGAAATCAAACACTAGGTACATATACCATTTCCTCACAGCTAAGTAGTATCGTCTTTAACATATTCTCAAAGCATTATAATTAATTAATTATAATTACATTTACAGCTTTTACACTAAGCATTTGAAAGCTTCAGACGCCTCTTTCTTTAAGTCACTAAATTATTACCGTTATCAATAAATACTACTAAACGTAAAGATGAAATGAGTCGACTATTATCAAAGCCGGCAATGTGACTTTTGGACAATTATTGGTAAATCAGAAAAACGAATTATTGACTTTGTATTCCATTGGCAGTCACAAAACTCTTCTGAACGACATCTTAGATAAATAACAGGTTAAGTATTAACCTTTATTTAATGCAGGTTTTGAACCGTATTCTTTGAAGGAGACGATTATATTCAAATCAATCTGTATTGACATATCAATAACATTTTTTTCTTCAAATGCACAGATTGCCACCTTTGATAATAGACGACTCAAATATAATAACGCTATTTGTTTATAAGTACATGTGATTACGTAACGTACAATGGCCGAAAATCTCTACAAGAACTTACGTGACAGCGTCATTTAAAAATTTTGATCGAGAATTTCATAAACATAATTTACCTAAATCAAACAACTTCAAAATAAGTTGTTGGATATGTTTACTTGTTACGTTACGTGAAAATGTTTATATCTTATTTATAACAAACTGGATCGGGGATAGGTTGAAAGAATTTTATGAATTAAATACTATCGAGTTATAAATATTGCATTAAAATTATATCTACTTATGTATATACTAGATTAATATGTAAGGTTATTTATTTTGTATGTAATTAATGACTAACACATTTAAGAATTTTTAATTAATGGAATGTTAAATTTATTTATGACATATGTATACCTATATTTTTGAATATATTTGAAATAATATTGTTCACTACACCTTAATAATATTATGCTCTCGATATCATGACCTTATAATAATCATTTATAAAACTAATAATATTCAAATAATAACTATCGCAATTAAATTACGTATTATAATTACACATTAAGTACTTACGAAGTATAGCATTTTAGGCAATATTTTATACAGTGAAAAACACGTAAGACCCTCCTACGAAAGCTCTTCGAAATAATACAACAATATAAGATGTATATGCCGCATCTTCCTGACGAGTTTTAATATATCGAGTGAAATTCAGTCCTTCCTTGATACGATTTTATTGTATTCATATCGCCTGCCAGCGCTCGAGTCCACACGGGTAGGTACCACCACCCTACCTATTTCTGCCGTGAAGCAGTAATGCGTTTCGGTTTGAAGGGTGGTGCAGCCGTTGTAACTATACTGAGACCTTAGAACTTATATCTCAAGATGGGTGTCGCATTTACGTTGCATATGTCTATGGGCACCAGTAACCACTTAACACCAGGTGGGCTGTGAGATCGTCCGCCCATTTAAGTAATAAAAAAGAAACCGAGCCGACAAATTGCAAATGAAACGTAAATATTTTCATCTAAAAGTGCACCTAAAATATTTTAATTACTATACTGTACATTATTATTAATTTATATTATGTTAAATAATTTAGTGTTATTTAAATATAATAATAAATACTAAATTTAAATATATAGTATAATGCCACTAACAAGGAACTCGAAGTAAATGAATGAGTTTTGTTCTGACAACGAACATTATTATATATTCTTATTGCGAATTCATACATCAATGCAGTTACTACCACTGTATTAACTTCTACGTAATTAACAGTAAAACCAAGATTACGATATTCCTTTCGATTTCTTAACTTCTGTTTCCAAAGTTTCTACAGCTTAAGGTGCATGGATAAACAAAAAAGTTGCCATGGTAACCGTTACTATGGTAACCTGTTAAAAACGTTTTTTCATTCGATACGTAGGTGAAAAATCCATTCCGCATTACTTCTCGATAAATGGTATTTCCATTATAATTTCATATTAATTATTATCGTAATAATCGTATTTCCTTTATATAATGCTCGGTGCGTGACTTAAATTATATTTTCCTAGACAGAATTCCATAGATAATTTATTTATTTATTACACTTCATGTAAAATTTACATTGGCGGACTTAATGCCTAAGGCATTCTCTACCAGTCAACCAAAGGTAGTGCAGAGTAAATAGTGGTAGGTAATAATACTAGACATAATAAAAATTTTTGGTCTATACTTTTTCGTATCATCCGATAGTGTGTTGTTGATCGCGATTTCGATTCGGTAGTAGATGCTAAGATAGATAGAGGCGCTAGGGGCAGCTGTTAGCAAATCCCACCCCTAAAGGCCTTACCCCCTCTGCCCCGGTGAAACTGGAAACTGGAACCAAAATATGAATACACATTCCCTTTCATTCGACGAGGTGTACTTTCTAATAGGCCAAGACGTACACTGACTTGAATAAAAAAGGGATATTCTTCATTCGAAACGTATTGTTTTAAGTACAGAGCGTTTGGTCTGATCACGATACTTTTTAAAACTTATGATTCCTTATCTCGCCTCGTTGTAAAATAGATGGTGTAAAATTATAAAATAAATATTTTATTCTTATTTGTCTTTGATACGTGGTTGAAATTTTCAAATTAGTCATGCATCTTGAAGTTGATCAAAGTTGCAATGAAATATTCCATTACACGTAGATGGATAAAGATGAAGCTAATAATTAAAAAAAAATGTTAAGAATACAGAGATGATTCGGATGAATCTGACCATGTTAATGTGGACTATATGAGTCGACTATTATCAAAGCCGGCAATGTGACTTTTGGACAATTATTGGTAAATCAGAAAAACGAATTATTGACTTTGTATTCCATTGACAGTCACAAAACTCTTCTGAACGACATCTTAGACAAATAACAGGTTAAGCATTAACCTTTATTTAATGCAGTTTTTGAACCGTATTCTTTGAAGGAGACGATTATATTCAAATCAATCTGTATTGACATATCAATAACATTTTTTTGTCCAAATGCACAGATTGCCCTTTGTTAATAGACGACTCATATATAGATAGCCCATTTGGACACGACAAAGATAAAAATATGATACACAGTGTGAAGATCTAGTGGACCCGTTACCTTGGATATATTAATTTGTATTTCTATAGTACAATTGAGATAATTATAATAGCTCAAGTAAATGGTCAAGGTTAGTTGTTTTGAAGTCGTGAGATAACATAGTCTAGATAAGAAATATGTAGTTTTTATTTTGTTTTCATTACCTGATATTGTTAGTTGTTTACTAAACTGATAAATATATAAAGATACAATATAGAGAATGGTTCGCTTAAGGAAAGCCTCAGCGCCCCTTTCAATTTCAATTTAATTTTTAACATGTCAAATTTAAACGTATTTTTCTCCACTAAAATGAATTTCATATCTTGGTCGGTCATTAATGCAAATAATATTAAAATATAACGTGATTACACACTAACTAAACAAAAAACACACACTCATTAATTATTTCAAAAAATAATAATTATTCATTTTAAGTAAATTTAAATAAATTATTTTAATATGAACACCGCATATTCCGTTACAATAAATATTGTAAAAGTATGTAAAAAAAGGCCATTTAATATTAATTAGGTAAATGTAAATATACAATTCGATTTTGGCATTTGCTACATTAATCACTGTTACAAGTACGTGGATACGTAACTCTATCTATATCATTATACAATAACACTTACTATCACATATCAATATGGGAATCGTGATGTGTTCGGCACCAGATTGTCACTGTGGCGAATAATGACGTCACTATACATTTATTTTGGCCCCGGTGATAGTCTCTGACGACTTCGTCAGGCGTGATTTCTCTGTTTGCCTTCAGCAGGCTTGGCCTTGTGCTAGGTGGCTAGAGAGATGATTCTGCGTCTCCGGATCCTGCGGCCCCACCGCTTCCACAGCTGAGCGACAGTGTATATAGCAGTTACGATCGCTAGTAGTGTGATAGCTCGGTTCGTTAGACTAGTGGGTGTCGTTTCCGACTGCGGGTGAACTCTGGAAGGCGCGGCGCCTGCTCCTCGCCACGCTCTGGGCGCTGGTTCGGTGCCTTCTATTTCTGGAGGACCTGCAAGTATTAGACTCCTGGGTAGTAGGTTACCTACAATCTCACGAATCTTACTGGTGGTAGGACCACTTGTGAGTCCGCGCGGATAGGTACCACCACCCCGTCTATTTCTGCCGTAAAGCAGTAATGCGTTTCGGTTTGAAGGGTGGGGCAGCCGTTGTAACTATAGTTGAGACCTTAGAACTTGTATCTCAAGGTGGGTGGCGCGTTTACGTTGTAGATGTCTATGGGCTCCAGTAACCACTTAACACCAGGTGGGCTGTGAGCTCGTCCATCCATCTAAGTAATAAAAAAAAATCTATTGCTATTTCAAAATTATTTCAAAATGAAAATATAAAGATATAATATGATCAAAGCAAAAAAAAAATCCGGACTAGTGACAAGTAACGCTTGTCAGAAGCATCTGGTTTCATACATCTTACGTTCATAATGATTTCAATATTGGCCCAACAAACACCATGGAACTTTTAATTCATTTCAAAATAGAACACTCAACGGTGACTTTAATTATTAAAAGTTTGACAAGCAGCGTTTTGGCGCGCAATTTCAAACTTTGTTGTATTGCATTGGCAGAATTTCAAAGAATAATATTATATATTTAAGAAGTGATGTCATGTTAACTTTGTGGTATACCATCTCTTTGACAACACAGTCATTGTGCGTAGACTAAAGCTTTATGAGTTAGTGTAGTGTGTGACAGTTGGAAATACTTAACTGAGTGCTTTTGTAACACACATATATAAACTATGTTACCTTCGAATTGTCAGAGAATAAACGAATACTGTTCTTGAAAGCCTTTTTAAAACGAAATACTTTCCTTTCAAGTTTACTAATAATAAGTCGTGACCTAGTGTTTTGTCTAACTAGAATAGATTGTTAGAAATATACCAATATCTATATTCGTTAAATTCAAACAAATCAAATAATATTATAATAATATGTAATGTTTACAAATATTATATGTAATGTTTACTGTATGCACTAGGTTTGTGTTCCTAATTCTTCTTTCATTTTGCGGGCCTACTGGAAGAGATTTCAACATGAAATAAGAAGTGCCCTTGTATTCTGTATCTTTATTGTCGTGTTTCTTCTAACAGCTGTGTGTACAAAATATATTAAATAATAAATAAAATACTCACCGATACTCTTAGGATCTGTAGGCTGATGTCTAGGAGCCAATGTCCTGGCAGATGGAGCAGCGTGTACTGGCTGGGACGGTAGCGGGGTGGGACTGAAGCATTCTGGTATTGGACGTGGTCCACTTCCATCGGGCGATAGGACGCGAGAGTAGACATGGAGACGTCCCCCTTCGGCACGTCGAGGCAGTTCTATGGATTTACGTTCATGCAACAATTACAGCGGGTACTCATTGCGTGCTTTGGACGCTTTTGGATTTAATCTATAAATAAATCTGTATCGAAGTGTTCGATCTTCATTATACACGTGCACCGTAAACGATAGCACGCGATCAAATGTACAGCAAAATGGCGGCGTATGTATCTACAAGCACGCAGCTGACGCCCGCGCAACGTGCGTTCTAATCAATTTCACAGAAGCGCGCGTTTCCATGTGTACACGTCAATAAATACTTTTGGATATTAAAACGCGCGTTAGTAAATCGCGCATTTTGAGATCCAAAAGTTCTTTCGCGTTCTCAGAAATTGGTTGGAACGTACGTTGCGCGGGCACCAGCTGCGCGCTTTTAGATACATGCGCCCCCATTTTGTTGTACATGTGATCGCGCGCTTTCGTATAGGTGCACGTGTATAATGGAGATCGAACACTTCAATACAGATTTATTTTTAGACTAGCCGTACGCGCCCGCTTCGCTGCGCATTTAAAATTGTATTATTTATTGTCATTATTATTAGAGAGTCCAACACTCATATAGATATTATTCTATCCATTATGTACATGTATTTTCTATGTGGATATCAAGTTTCAAGTCAATCGGATGCATGGTTCAGTAGTTATAACGGAACATCCGTAAAAACCACTGTAGATTTATATATTAGTATAGATGAAATCCTAAAGCGTCCGGCTATATGGGACATGCAAAGTCCAGATTATAAAAATAAAATATTAGTTAGTAGTATGAACACTTAGTAGTATGAACGCTCGTTTTAATGAGCGTTACCAAAGTATATGCATACATACAGCGCGCTTAGCACGTGCTAAGCACGTTCTTCAAGCGCGCGCCAAAACCAACTCCGAGCGCCTAATGTGTATGTACTCGGTCTTATTTATCCAATTTTATCGCTTTGATATACAAACGCCACGGCCTACTTGATGTGAAATGGTCAAAACATACACCGCGAATACAGACTTTAAAGCAAGAGTTCGAAATCACAATTTTCTTGTATGACTGTTATCTCAAATACCCAAATTAGGACACGTAGCTGATTCGCGACAGAAATGAATAAAATTATCTTGGTTTTTTTTAACTGACCGCTTTCACGCAGTTTACTGTTTAATTTAATTCACTATCCATTTACTTTATTGTCGAATAGATATGTGCGCGTTTCTATTAAAAAAACTTATCGAAACGAAATCTTCGCGATTAATATTAAGCTGGAGAAAGTTGATCTTTTGGTGTTCTTTTGGTTCCGATGCCAACACCAAAATGAAAGTCCTAGCTTAACGAGCTATATTGACTACTACACTTAGAATATTATAAGAGTACAATGATAGCAAGAGAAGACCTGGTCGCCCTGTACACACTTGGCATGCACTGCGGAGAGCGACATCTGCCGGTCTGATCTAGAGTAACGTAATGGAGCAAGCGCAAGACAGGGTGAAGTTGAGACAACTTGTGAGGGCCATATGTACCAGCGGGGTACTCTAGAAATACAACAACGACAGCAACAACAATGACGTCAGAGACGACGCAATCAATGCCACTATTAAGGCTTCGTCAAACAGAACGCGTACTTAGCGCCGCGTTTTAACGTCGCGCTCTTTTCATGTCACACCAATTGACTAGATGAGCCCAACGCTCCTTGATGCAACGTAACATCCGCCAAATCATAGTGCCTTTCTAGAGCAGTCTGAAAATGTAAAAGTACTAAGATGTCGAGTGATTCAGATGTGGCATTGTATAAGCATGGATATTTTTGAAGTGAAACTTCTTTAGGCGCATGAGGGTAAAATTTTTACAAATGTAACGTCACGCAGGTATGCAATGGAATTGTCGAAAAAGAGAAAGAGAGCGATCGAGACCGATTAAGAGAGAGTAAGACAGGGCGAACGTAGCATGAAGCAACTAGCCATGGAGTGAGAGTAGGGAGCAAGCAAGTGAGAAAGATCGAGAGAAAAAATAAGACACAATGCTCAGTTCCTATATACTTTAAAACATACGTATAAAGTATTTTATTTTTAATACAGCGTCATCTGTGAGATGTTTTAATACTAACGTGTGTATGAAACCTCTTGTAGTGAATTTTAATTTAGGATACACGTGAAGTTAAAATATCAATCCACAGAGGGCGCTACCTCATACTATAAAAGGTGATGTACAATTATTTACTAATGACAAAATTTTACTAATAATATACTTAGACATTTAGGATAATTGTATTTTAACTTTTGAAGGTTTCACTTCTAACATTTGTGAATTGCACACATGTAATTTTTTTTAACTAGTTCTATCAATTTTTCGGTCATTATCCAGTGTTCTAATACACATTCACTCGGACGAAAAAATAAAATTTGTAAAAAATTACAACGCCTGACGTCGAAGCGTCCTAACGCCGCGACAGAGCGTTGCGTATCGCTAGCGCTAGCACTCTGTTTGACAGTATATTAACATAGTAGTACAACACATTTCGGCGTCATAGCGCGCCGTCAGTTTAGCGCTCTGACGGGCTCTGAGTACGCGTTTTGTTTGACGAAGCCTTTACGTACAGATGCGATCTACCCATCGTAGACCGAATGATTGTTAAGGCGTCATTGGTTTCATGGCTACTAGGAGTACAAATCTGACAGTATTTTGTTACACAAGAAAGGTTTTTTCTTCTTGATCTCGTAGGATAATTAAACTTGGGTAAATAATGTGTCGAGTTTGAAGTTATGCACCTGAAGGGATTATATGCACATCTCTGACGCGTTTCTCTTGCGGCGTTGCGGCTTCTTTGAGAGCTGGAGGCACGTGACCCACTATTGCGTATTGTAAAGCGGCCAAAAGCAACCAGTGACAGTTCCGGGCAGTTCCACCTTCCAGACAAGATGAATCTCCGTAAACGACCAGACGGCCAGACTGCAATTTAAAAAATGAAACATTTCGTATAGATAAACCATCACTTCCGCCTAACGATAAATTTTTGAAATCCACTCTTCTATTAAATTAGTTTTTTTTTTGTCTATGGACATGATAAAAACTTTTTCAAACCCAAGCTCTCATGCGTTTAAAGCTCATCAATATTTATTTATTTATTTAAAAGAGTACAGCCACATCACAAACATTTAACATAGGAAAATAACCTAAACTATTTAATTCATGGCCTGATGCATGTGACAATAATGGCGTACATAACATTGGCAATTCATCAGCTCGAAGATGGAATACAATAATTAAAGAAATGAAGCATACCTAATGAAAATATAAATATATATGTCGACGCAAGTCCATGATAATTAACAAATGTAATTGTTCTGATTATGAAATCAATCATTGTGTCGAATAAATTGGTTGTCTTATGTGTTTTGCGTTAGAATAAAACCGAAAATGAATTGATGAAATTATTATGAGTTGTTTAACAGTTGAAACATTCGTCGCCATTTGTAGACCGGATGTTTCAACTTTGATTAAGATTTAAAAATTAATTCAATTGTTCATAATTACTTTCAAAATGTTTAATTAAGTTACGAATTATTTTTGTAATTAAAATTAATCATTTAGAGAAGTTGCAATTTAAATAGTGCGTTGACGTTTTGCCGCCCGACGCCATCTTTTAGTGTTTAATTTCGCTGGCGCACGAAACTACGATAGACGAATGTTAAAACACTTTTTTTTTTCGAGCGCCGGGCGGTGAAGACGTGGTCAGCTGGTGTATTATATCTTGTGAGTACCTACCTATTGTTTTATTATAATTGTGATTATAAAACTATTACTTTGAGAACCCTCTGGTGTCTTGTAAAATAAATTGTTTAGTGTGTTTCTGGTTGTTTTATTGTTTGCGATGAGTGCGCTGAATAGTGAAGGCAGTGACGTTAGCAATGCTGACGTCACTCCTTTTAAAAGTTCCTCTGGACCAAACCCCACGTCATATAAATATCTACTAAGCAAAGAGAAAATCGGTTAAAGAGGACGAAACGATAGTTAACTATTTTTGTCTGTGCCTAATTTTATATAGATATGTCAAGTCTTTTTCTATGGCCTTAAAGGCAGAAGACGGTCATGCCGGCTCATTGATTGGGAGGAGGCATCGTTCCCATAGGAGTAGCTGCGCTTTAATTCTGCCTGGCGCTTGATAGAACGTTCAGAGAACACACGGTTCAAAATCGATAACTGATAGTGACGGGAAATTAACTCCGAAATGTAAAGATGAAAATATTATAGAATTCTTTTTTATTTAAATACTATATTATTTTAGAGATTTAGGTTGTAAGTCGAACAGACTATAGTATCCCAAATTTTATGTTTAACCGTATTAGAATCAAATGTGTTTACCTTAGGTACTTTATCCACGGTATCGTTTGAATAGTCATGAATATCTCCATCAGTTTGTAGGAGACCTAGGATCGGGACTTGCAACGGTTGTGTGACTTCCGTTTTGCCGTTCGCGGCCCCCGGCTTTTCACCTGATATTATCTGAGAGAACAAAAAGTTTAATTTAAAAAAACACTGTACAGTGCCAGGCAATAAATATTGCACATCGATACTTAGAAAGAGACAGTCGTCTAATTTTGTTTTTGTTGTAGATCGTTACCTGTGTGCGACGAAACACTAACGATCCGGTATCTATAGAGACTAAATGTCAATTAAGTAATGTGCGACAGATATAATGCTCTACGAAGCAAAAATTAACCGTCTCTTTCCCATGGTCGATGTGCAATATTTATCGCCGGGTACTGTAACACGTTATGAAGTGATTTTTTTTATTGCCCTTGTAGGCAGACTAGCATACGGCCCACCTGATGGTGAGTGGTTACCATCGCCCATGGACTTCAGTAATGCCAGGGGCAGAGCCAAGCCGCTGCCTACCAATAATAAACTAGTCGGTATTAAGATATTCAAAACTGTCAAATCATCGATAAAATTGGTGAGGTTCAGCATATTATTATGTTATTGACCTACACGAGTTGCTCATTTATTATATATATCATCGTCCTATGTGACTGTATGTACTGCTCTTACCTGTTGCCCTTGATCGTTGAGAGGGGCCGTGATCAGTACACCGTGTTCAGGGAAGCTGTGTATGTGAGTTCCGCTCGCGTAATACATCGGGTGTCCGCCCAGTTTGAATGAACCTTCAAATACTCTATCGCCTAGCGCCACCTATTAGGTAAAAATACAAATTAACACAATTACTATACTGAGACCTTAGAACTCATATCTCAAAGTGGGTGGCGTCATTTACGTTGTATATGCCTATAGGCTCCAGTGAATACTTAACACCAGGTGGGCTGTGAGCTCGTCCACCCATCTATGCAATAAGAATAAATGTGGCGTGTGATGACCTAGACCGGCACCATCTATTCCCGTGGGTGTCACACAGGACACGGAATTCAACACTGATATCCTTCTCCAGAGCAGTAAGTATTATAATACTATGCATTCTGCCAAAGTACAGTGCCAACAGAACATTTTCTGTTTTATTGTTTTTATTGAAGATTTAGTTAATAGTTACCACACCTGATACATGCTGAGTAAATCGTTCAGAGCGGGAACGTTTGATCCTCCCGTCTCAGGAATCCACCTGAAAATAAATACAATAAAAATATATTACAAATCCTTAAAATGTTTGTGTTAGCTATCCTTAATAAAACCTCAATACATAATTATATATATCCTAAATCATTTTTTCAGGTCATAGTTTAACATTTGAAAGTAAATCATGATGATTTCTTGTAATAACTGTATTATAAACACATTAGATAGTTGTTTTTTGTCATGCTCAAATACATAGTAGGTACTGACCATTGCCTTGTGTTTTCGTCGTAAAACTTCACGTGCCGCAGAAGGGAAGCGTTGTACCAATCGGCGAAAACAATTAACGATAGTCCAGCGTCAACGGCTTTCTTCAATGTTGCCATCTCTTCGGGGAAATATTCATCTTCGGGGTCAACGAGTAACAGGGCGCCGTAGAGCGACGTGTCGATACATGTTAAGGGTGTACCTATTAAATCACAATTAAGGTCATGGCACACTGGAAGGGCACAGCTGCAGTACGGCTCTGTATTTGAATTTTGGCTACCGCTAGCTACCGTTGTTGGCTTTAAATATTGACTTTATGAACATATTTTAAGAGTAACGCCATCTATCGCCGAATAGTCGAACGAATATCGAAGGATCTAGTAGCACCTAGAACGCTCGAGAAGTACAACGCCATCTATTGTCAGATAGCGGAAACACAACACTAGAGATGTGTGGAATATTCTCGATAATTCTAGGGATGTGGTACCGACTATAAAAACGTTGCAGGGATGGCACGCACGCAGTCAGTAATCGGAACTACTCGAAGCAAAACAGCGAACGGATCACTTGAAGCGAAGCAGAAGAAGCGAATTGAGAATTTTAAAGTGTAGTGAAGTGTTTTAAATGTTCAGTGTTAACTTGTAATTCGGTAGAATTTTATTTATCCCGAACCCCAGCGCGTAACAATATTATACGACATACGATTTTAGGGTCAAATTCAAATGACAAGCTAATCGCTGGGTTGGAGCGGTGACGTGCTTGCATAACGTACCACGACCCTTAATCTTAAGTCGTCGTGGCTTAAAGGATAAGACGCTCGGTATACTCGTATCAGGCGATGCCACTGTGCCAGCGTTCGGATCCTACAGGCAGGTACCAATTTTTCTAATGAATTATGCACTAAGCACATTGTCTACGAATGATTTCCACGGTGAAAGAATATAAAATCGTATCGACAAAATTTTTAATTTGTTTAATAAGCATAGTAGGTACTAGCACTCTTTCTGGTGCTACCCATGCGTTTGAAGGGTGAGATAACCGTTATACTAAACAATTGAGATTTAGACCTCATGTTTTGAGGAGGGCGGTGGCATCCACTTTATTATGTCTATGGGCTAATCTACATATTAATACGTGAAGCAAAAACTTTGTATCCCTTTTTACGCAAATTGCGCGGACGGAGGAGTATAAAATTTCCCACACTTATAGAGAATATAGAGAAGGAGCGCATGTATATTATTTGTTTATTGTCAAACTTTTCTTATTGCCTACAGTCTGTAGTCAAATTGAGAATAGATTAAATATTGTTTGTTTGTGTTATTGTGTATTGCAATTAATATTTGTCTAAGTGTAGTCTTGGAGAAATCTGTCAATAAAAAAGTATAATAATAATCTTTGACAATAGAACCTTAATAATGTTCAAACTTATAATTTTAGTTAATTATAGTCGAATTTCGACCACCGCGGGATCGCTAGTACTCACTAATACTCCTTATTTATATCGCGGCCCAGTACTCACCCATGACTTCAACGTAGAATCCGTGTTCGCGCAATCTCCTGTACATGTCCCTAAAATTGGTGTGTATATGATCGGCGTGCCAGTCGAGGGGATCGTGTTTGGCTCGTAGATCGTCCCTAGGGAAGTAGCCGCCGGGGTAACGTAGACTGTGGAACTGGTCCCAGAGGAGACGCCGGGATCGCACCGGAACTGGGATCACTCGAGCTCTATGATGTAAACAAACATTGGCATTATGGTTTTTATTATTCCTTTTTTTTTATTATTTAAACTGAGAAATTTTCTACAGTGTCATTATCTTTAGCTAAGCGTTTAGAGTTCAATATCGGTATTCGAAGCATGTTCATTTGGCAGTTACGTCTTTTTCAATAAAATCGATTTTCTATTTACTACAATTAATTAATCTTATTTTAAAATAATGACATTTGATACCGTGTCGTCTATACATACTAGAAGAAGAAAGAAACGCTTTATCTGCAGTATTGACCACATCGATTGTCAGCGTCGAGTTTAAAATGTAATAAATTGGTACTTTATATTTTTTTGAAAATTATAAGTGCGTATAGACTCGAGTTCTATGATGAAAACAAACATGGTGGTTTTCTTAATTCATTTTTTTTTTAATATTATACCGAGAAATTTTCGATAGTGTAATTAATTATCTTCCACTAAGCGTTTAGAGTTCAATATCGCTAATCGAAGCGTGTTCATTTGGCAGTTACGTCATTTTCAACAAAACCAATTTTCTATTTACTACTTGACATTGATTGATTGTATGACATTTGAAACCGTGTCGTATAATATACTAGAAGAAAAAAGAAAGGCATCTACAGTACTGAACACATCGATTGCTACTTTTATTATTTTATTTTTAGGACGTATTGAAACAAACAAAGCATATATAGTTTAGTTCAAACACACGTAAATGTAGATAATTTTCAAGGCAAACATTTTTGAGATGTAATTAATTATATTAACTTATTATAATTATTAGAACACAGAGTGTGAACTCACCGTATCGGCAATGTGAGTGTGGCGTTCTTTATTGTTCTATCACCTGTATCGTCGTGACTTTCAATCGTTACGTTCACGTGACCCTGTTCGAACACAGTTACGATGATGATAAACAGATTTTGAAGACAACTAACTATACATGTACATTTTCGACACTAACACAAGACGATTAATAGATAATTTTGATACTTTAAGATTTAATCGAGAACAGACATTTCATCTATGGTTTTGCAGTCTGTTTTTTTAAAAATATGTAATGTTCTTTTGTACACTTTTTTTTATTGCCCTTGTGGGCAGACGAGCATACGGCCCACCTGATGGTGAGTGGTTACCGTCGCCCATGGACTTCAGCAATGCCAGGGGCAAAGCCAAGCCGCTGCGTACCAAATCACTGCCTACCACGTATCAAAGACCTATAACAACACAATATATTTATTACTTTAGCCTAATATCCTGACCGGGAGCGGTACGATATAAAGGCGGGTAGGCTTAATATTGGTTTTTTATATTATAGTTTTATATGTACATACCTCGATGATACCATCAAAGTTAGCCCCTTCTTCCCGGACTGTGAAGCTGAGGGCCAGCCAGCCAGACCAAGGCCAGAGGACATCGCTGTAATCTGAAGACACCGAGAGTAGAACGCCATGGGGCAGATGTGGATGCCACGAGACTTCTTTCTGATATACAAATGTACATTTTTTTTATTGTTTAGATGGGTGGACGAACGACGATAGACATCTACAACGTGAATTCCACCACCCACCTTGAGATATCAGTTCTAAGGTCTCAGTATACTTTCGTCTAAGGCAGGGTCTCCCAAACTTATTTTGTCTACTGCCCACTTTGAAAATAAACAATTTTTTAGCGCCCCCATTTTTTCAGCTACTCAAAAACCACTATAGCGAGAGCTCAGTCGGTGTCTAAGAGTCCTTCTAGATGAAATAACAAATCGCCGCCCAAGCCTCTACAAAACGCCCCCCTTTTTTTGGCTCTCTTACCGCCCCCCTTTAGGCCTACAGCGCCCACAAGGGGGCGTTATCGCCCACTTTGGGAAAGACTGGTCTAAGGTGAACTTCCTCGAGGATCTGGAGTGGCGAAAATGAAATCCGATCTCATGCAAAAAAAAATCGCAATGTCGGATTGCAATAAACTACCCGCCTTTCTATATTCGATATTCAGTCCAAACTTCAAAACAGAACCAAGCGGTTTTTTTCCCCTTCCTATGCTGATAGCCTTGAGAGGCTATTTCAGCTTCACCCTAACGTGTGTAGGTGAGCTCACGGGGCTCAAACCGGAGTGTTGCTAACACTGACCCTAGCAAGAGCAGTGCTTCGCAGAATCTACCACCGGATCGGAAACGCGACCCACTAAGAAGATTCGGCGAGAAACTCAGTGGGCTGTGTCTATGGGTTTTTTTTTTTTTTTTTTTTTTTTTTTTTTTTTTTTTTTTTTTTTTTTTTTTTTTTTTTTNAGTTCGTAAAGAACTTGTGTTACAGGTACCAGATAACGGAAATAAATGTAAGATTTTTATTATACACATACATATATTTAATATACATCCATAACCCTGGAAAAGACATTCATATTTATCATACAAATATCTTCCCTTGGCGGGATTCGAACCCGCGACCCCCTTGTGTAGTGACCATGTCACTTACCACTACACCAGACGGCCGTTAAATCGCTCGTTTATTCGCTATATCGAGCCCTTCGTCGCAAGCGACGGGTTCGACGAGGACGGTGACCGGTGCTTGTGGTGCCTAAAAGCACCGTTAATGGATGCAAGCGGATAGTAATTTATCAGTCATTATACGGTTTTAAACGTAACATATTATAGGCTTACCACATTCCCAACGACGCTCAGTCCATTAATGACGGTCACGTTCGCGATCGTTGGCTGCGAGCTGTAATACAGCGGCTGAGTGCAGTACGGCCACATGTACTGACATTCAGTGAGGTCAATGTAATTCGGGCTTAATGTAGCTTGCGGCTCGTACTTCCTGAGGAACTGACCGAGAACAAAGGATAATTTTAATAAATAACACTCTGACATTTTGTTATGGTAACAAGTGTTCGCTGAACGATCGAAATTCGATCTTATTCATTGAAGCTTCAAGATTTAGATTCATTTATGTATTTTTTGCTTCACTGAAGTTACATTTTTATTAATAAAACGACCTAAGCGACCGGCTGGCTTGGCCAGTAAGCCCAAAAAAACTGGGTAGAATACAGATAAGAAAATAGTACGTTGCCGGAATTATCATATAATTAATGTCACTTATAGTATCAAGAAAAGTAAGTGAAGTAATAATATGTAGTATTTCACCTTCACCATCCACCGAATTAAGTAGGAAGGAGATAATGACGATGAACAGCGCCAAAATTTATATTCCCGGTCCAAAACTGACCAAGTCGACATTCTGGTTATTCTTATTGCAAGCCTTAAGGCAAAGGAGTTTGTTAAGGAACCCTATTAAGGAACCAGTTCATACCTGATAAGCGCTGATAAGGTCCAATTTCCCGTGTCCCTGTTCGAACATGTTAGGCCCTTGTAGTCTTAGCGCTGTGCTGCATAAGGCTTGTTTAACAGATGCCGGAGTTAAATTCTGACGTGGAACACCGCTCGCTAGTAACGCTATGGCGCCAGCTACAACCGGCGACGCTACCGATGTACCTGTTTTTTGGAAAGACTCTTTTTTTAACATAATTAAGCCGACAGATTTATTTACATATATCTATTAGTGGTATATATAGTAAAAGCTCTTTATTCTCGGGGTATATGTTCTGTAAATATGCCGCGTATGTAGAAATGAATATGGAAAAACGCGTTTACACAGGATATTCCAGCCCACTGAGTTTCTCGCCGGATCTTCTCAGTGGGTCGCGTTTCCGATCCGGTGGTAGATTCTGCGAAGCACTGCTCTTGCTAGGGTCAGTGTTAGCAACTCTCCGGTTGAGCCCCGCGAGCTCACCTACTAACGTTAGGGCGAAGCTGAAATAGCCTCTCAAGGCTATCAACATAGGTAGGAAAAAAAAAAAAAAAAAACAGGATATTCCGTTGGAGACTTTAGGAGACTCCAGTGTAAAAATGGATTGGGTGACATATAAATCGTGATGTATATGGTCTTTGGTAACTTCTTAACATCATGTGAGCCGCTAGTTTAATCTTTAACCTAGCATTATCTTGTTACATTATGTTCGAGTGACAATTTTTTCAGATATAGCGGTTTTTCCTTCTACGACGTTTATCATAATCATCTCAACCTGCCATTTTTTTATTTTATATTACATAAATGGATGGACGAGCTCACAGCTCACCTGGTGTTAAGTGGTTACCAGAGTCCATAGACATCTATAACGGAAATGCCATCACCCACCTTGGAATATGAGTTCTGAGGTCTCCGTATAATTACAATGGCTACCCCACCCTTCAAACAGAAACGCATTACCGCTTCGCGACAGGTGCCGGTGGTGGTACCTACCCTTGCGGATTCCCTCTTGTGAATCCCTATCACCACTGCTGAACATAGCCTCTCCAATTGAAGTCCAGTGCGGTAGGTCCGATGTCACCTGGATCTAACGTGACCCAGCGAATTTCACTGGATCTTCGGTCCATCTGGTACGTGGCCGTGCCATACTACGTTAATATTAATATATAAATCATTCTTAGGTACGCAGCGGCTTGGCTCTGCCCCTGGCATTCCTGAGGTCCATGTGCGACGGTAACCACTCACCATCAGGTGGGCCGTATGCTCTCGTCTGCCTACAAGAGCTATAAAAAAAATATATTAGGGTCATACCGCTAAGTGATTTACATCCACCATTCACGCTCGATCCACGGACTCCACTGCCGTACGTTACAATGTCGGGCTTCATACGACCGTAACCCTAAGACAAACAAAAAAACCTATGTTTTTAATTTATGTATATTTTAGAAAAGACTTCCCGCGCATATAGACGTGTGACTGACTCGCTCGTACAGTAATTAGTGCCCGACTGCTGGACCGATTCGATTGTCGTGAGTTCGATTCCCGCATTGCTTTTTCGTCTTAGCGATTATTATCTATATATATTTAGACGTATACAAGTGTGTTTATCAATCTCAGATTTCCATAGTATAGGGGATCCTAGTTTGAGGTCGGATGACCGTGCATGAGTTACCCCTCTATTATTATTATTATTATCCACTGACTTCAAGACTGTGGTTAATCAAACTTCGCCGTACATTAAGGGGGCTCCTGTAGACGATACACCTACGTTTATTTATGAATGTTTTTTAATTATTGCTTAGATGGGTGGGCGAGCTCACAGCCCAACTGCTGTTAAGTGGTTACTGAAGCTCATAGACATCTACAACGTTAATGCGCCACCTACCTTGAGATATAAGTTCTAAGGTTTCAAATATAGTTACAACGGCTGCCCCACCCTTCAAACCGAAACCCATTACTGCTTCACGGCAGAAATAGGCGGGGCGGTGGCACCTACCCGTGCGGACTCACAAGAGGTCCTACCGCCAGTAAGCACCAGTGGTGCAAGCATTACTGCCCCGAAAGCTGCAGAATGAGATTGGATGACCTGGAGAGATTTTATGTGCATGCAGTCAATGCGAGCGAATACTAACTAGTTATATAGGTAAAGACAAAACGTATGCAAGTTTTGTAGAGCATCACCCTGTTACAATGAGACAATTTGCATACTCGGAAATGTTGCACGGTAATCTACACTAGCTCTAAAGTGCTACAAAACGTTAACTATAAATTATTTATTTTTTCAAATCTTTTTTTTTTCTTTAATGACATTAAACTCACTTGTGGTAACTCCCATGTTGTCATTCCTCTCGACGAAAATTTCGCGATGCGGTCATCGAACCCTATACCGCCGACACCTATGACGTCCATCTGATCAGCGGGGTTGTTCAGTGTGCCGTACAGAGGACCGTCGTTACCGATCGCCGATACCATAATTACCTGGTATAAACAAATAAATAAGTCATTTACTTTTATTTTTTTCCTACCTAAGCTGAGAGCATTGAGAGGCTATTTCAGCGTAACCGTAACTAGTAGGTGAGCTCACGGAGCTCAAACCTGACGACGTTGCTAACACGAACCCTAGCAAGAGCAGTGCTTCGCAGAATCTACCACCGGATCGGAAACGCGACCCACTGAGAAGATCCGGCGAGAAACTCAGTGGGCTGTGTCTGTGGGTTTATTCGCTAGTCGAGCCCTTCGTCGCAAGCGACGGGTTCGACGAGAACGATGACCGGTGCTTGAGGTACCTAAAAGCACCAATCAATAACATAAAGCGTAGTAAACTTTATAAAAACGTTAACAAATTTTTGTTAACAGCATTTAGACAAAGACGAACATGGTGCGTCTTTGTCTTAACTAGCCCGTTCGATATCTGTTTGTGTTACTTGCATCTTGGTCACAATTTGCTTTGTGAGCGTCCGTTTCTCGGCCCCATATACCATCACAGGGAGAACTGGTGATAGGACCTCTTGTGAATCCGCACGGGTAGGTACCACCACCTTGCCTATTTCTGCCGTGTAGCAGTAATGCGTTTCGGTTTGAAAGGTGGGGTCTTTGTAACTATACTGACGGGTGGACGAGCTTACAGCCCACCTGGTGTTAAGTGGTTACTGGAACCCATAGACATCTACGACGTAAATGCGCAACCTACCTCGAGATATAAGTTCTAAGGTTTCAGTATAGTTACAACGGCTGCCCCACCCTTCAAACCGAAACGCAACACTGCTTCACGGCAGAAATAGGCAGGGTAGTGGTACCTACCCATGCGGACTCACAAGAGGTCCTACCACCTCTCATTACTATGATTTAACAACGTATGATAAATATGAATACGATTAAAAATTTTGAAGTATTCTTTGCTTCGAAATACCTTATTAGCACTGAGTTCCCAGACTTTGTCGACAAACGGATGATCCATAAAATCCGGTCCCCCGATGCTGAGATTGAGAACGTCTATTTTGCGCATTATTGCGTAGTTGAACGCGTCCAGGAACCACGAAGTGTATGAAACCTGTTGAGATTTATAAATAGCGATCTTTACGAAACAAAATTTAGGAAATCGATTTCGATTGTGGAATTCTCTGCTGGAAGCGGTGAGAAGTGCTCCAACTTTAAACTGTTTTAAAAGAATGGTGAAGGAACACTACTTATCTGTTTAGTGCTGTTTGTTTGCATCACCATTTATTATTTCCATACTGTTGATGCATTATGTGTATGTAAGTATATTAGTATGTATTGTATGTATGTATATTGGTATATATTTCACATTATATGTTAAGGATATATATTTTGTTTATTGTATGTATATATTTTCTATATTAATGTATTATCTATAGTACACCGCAACATACCTGCTACATATATTTTTATATTTTCCAGAATTTCTGAAATTAAGCGGTTGTCTGTAAGGGATCGCTTTTAGCGATAAGACCGCCTATTGTACAAATGTATCTGCTTTTTTGATTGTTTTTTAAATGTAAATTGTGTTTTTGTGTGCAATAAAGTGTATTCTCTCTCTCTCTCTCTAAAGCGTGCGCGTAAAAAAATAAATATTTCGTATTTAAATACCTGATTATCAGTGAATACTCGGAATATGTGCAAATCGGCGTCGGGAGCGAATCCCAAACAGTCGGCCTTCGAAGCTATTACTCCGGCAACGAACGTTCCGTGGCCTAAGGCGTCGTCCAATGTGTCTTCTCCCGTCCAGTCGGTACGTTCACGGATCCGCCCAAAGTGAGGATGGTTACGAGCTAAGCCGGTATCAAACACGGCGACCTTTATACCTTCACCTGTAATGGACATGTGGCGGAAAACAGAGTCAATATATTGCTAATAGTTGAAGCAAAAGTTACTCTGTAAAGTAGCATCTTCGTTTAAGTCAACACTCTACCTAAAAAAATATAATACGCGGGCCAATAGCAGTGTTTTTGGTGGTAGGACCTCTTGTGGTTCCGCGCGGATAGGTATCACCGCCCTGCCTATTTCTGCCGTGAAGCAGTAATGCGTTTCGGTTTGAAGGGTGGGGCAGCCGTTGTAACTATACTGAGATCTTAGAACTTATACCTCAAGGTGTGTGGCGCATTTGCGTTGTAGATGTCCATGGACTCCAGTAACAACTTAACACCAGGTGGGCTGTGAGCTCGTCCAGTCAGCTAAGCAATAAAAAAAAAGAGTAAATCATTCAATTTAAAAACATCTTTTAAGATCGAATCTCACAGTTGATTCCAATACTTGGCAGGCGGCCGTTCATAGTATCATCATTCATATAATTCATGTTATCGTGTAGTTGCAGGGTGCTAATGTAAGATGAAGGCAAAATGAGGTCTTCAAATTCGAACGCAAGCCGACAGTTTTGAACTGTCGGGACTTCAGGCTTATTGTTAGAACAAATAGATACTTTAAATTCAATTGTTATCTTTCTTTTAAAATATCATAATCTTCAAAAAAAATGATAAATAATATCGGAGCATAATTTTATAATCAAACCATTTTACATTTCCACGATGTGATTTAGTTGGTTGATATTTTAATTAGGGAAAGATTATTTTGTTTTAGCAAGTTTTTTAAATTATTTTTCTCGCAAACATCGCCTTGTGGCGAGAATACGAATATCACAACCGGAATTAGAAATTCAATAAATAAACATCTGAAAGGATCATGTATAAGAAACAATGTGTGAAATACTACACCTATTTATACGCAAAGGCGTTATTTAAAAAAAAATCATACCACGAAATCGATGGTGCAGATGCAATTTTTTTTTCGCAAGATGAAGATTATATTGGTCATTATGTAGAATTTCATCAATTATTTGAGTTTAATAAAGTTTTAAAGTTCTAGTGATACCTTTACATCATGCCTACTTTAACTGTTTGCTACATTAAATGCAGTACCTACTTAAGGTGATTAAATAAAAGTAGGTCGTGTGGTCGGTTGGTTTTAAAACCTGCTGAATAATGTGACCACGCTGCATAAATGAATATGAAATTTCTAAATATATATTGTATATATATTTCCGAAAACTTTTTTTTAATTTTTTAATGCGGATTAGTAGTACGCCTGACAAGTTTCTTACTAACCCATAGGGCCATGCGCTTGCACGCATCCCATTCCGCGTTGCGTCTGACCAAGTTTTGGTGTGTTTGTTGCCTTAAGATATAATTATACACAGTTCATATTTTATCTATACTAATATATAAATCTACAGTGGTTTTTACGGATTTTCCGTTATAACTACTGAACCATGCATCCGATTGACTTGAAACTTGGTATTCATGTAGAAACTACATGTACTTAATGGATAGGCTAATATTTATATGAGTGTTGGACTTCCTACTAATAATGACAATAAATAATAAGGTTAATTTTAAATGCCCAACGAAGCGGGCGATTATATACGGCTAGTTTCTAAATAAAATTAACTTAATACTAATAAACAATAGTACCTGTGACACCAAGAGACCAAAGAACGTCTGCTTTCAACACAGAGGTGATCTGGCGCGGGACAGTCCGTAATAGTTTGCGTGACGTGTATCCATTCTACAACAATATCAATTGACGTAAATTAACTGTAATCGTAGGCAATTGTACGAATACATCTGTAATGAAACCCAATCAATGATACATTTTAAAAGACTGCTATTCTGAAATTTTTAAAATCGATTGTAGACTTACTGGTGGTAGGACGTCTTGTAAGTCCGCACGGGTAGGTACTACCACCCTGCCTATTTCTGCCGTGAAGCAGTAATGCGTTTCGGTTTGAAGGGTAGGGCAGCCGTTGTAACTATACTGACACCTTAGAACTCATACCTCAAGGTGGGTGGCGGCGTTTACGTTGTAGATATTTTTATTGGTTAGATGGATGGACGAGATCACAGCCCACCTGGTGCTAAGCGGTTACTGGAGCCCGTAAACATATATAAAGTAGATACCGCTACCCACCTTGAGATATGAGTTCTAAGGTCTCGAATTAGTTACAACGGCTGCCCCACCCTTCAAACCGAAACGAATTACTGCTTCACGGTAGAAATAGGCATGGTGGTGGTACCTACCCGGGCGGACTCACGAGAGGTCCTATGGGCTCCGGTTTACCGGAGGCGTTACTCTGTATTTAGTCAAAAATTTTCAGAACATAGCCGCTCGCTGGAGAGATCACGAAGTTGAAAATGACTTTAGAATAACCTTCGATATCGTTTTGTGAAAGAAACGCGAAGTTCTCAGGAGGATGCTAAAATAAACAATAAGTCAATGGTCAGCCTACTGAGTGTCTGTCTCGTTGGATCTGCTCAGTGGATCGAGACTCCGATCCGGCGGTAGGTTCTGCGAAGAACTGCTCTTGCTAGGGCTAGTGTCAGCAATTTTGTCAGGTTGAGCCCGAAAGCTAACCTACCCGTCCGGACGTAGCTGGAAAAGCCCATTCGGCTACAAGATTGGGGATAACGTCAATGCTGGTGAGTTATTGATATCAAACGCGGCCCTAATGTAGCGTTGGCGATAAATGAATGACAAAAGCTTAGAATTAGCGGCGGGCCTTGAACGAAGTTTAATCATGGTAAAGCGTTCATAAGCCCCAATTATATTATTATGCGTGTACCAAACTTCGGAATGACGTAATTCATGAAACGTAAACGAATTTACAACTTCTCGGTATCATCGACCAGCGCGTATGGCGTATAAACCAAGAGTATAATAGCTATTATTTTTTTAACACATCTTTATTGGTCTGGTCTTATCAACGTAGCTATGTAAAGGAATACTTCATACGTAATTGATACAAATTTCAAGACGTTCGATTATGTTGAAAGTTTGCCACGTATCAAGGACCGTGGATAATAGAATAGGATAAAAAAAGTAATATATATCACTATATATTAGGAGTGGGTGATATAAATCGTATATAGATTCAATATCTATATATCGCAGCAATATCGTTGAATCCGATATCGCCCCGCACGAAATCTATATATCGATATCAGCCGATACACGATATTGCTCGATGTGATGCGCATCGCCATATCGGACCGATTCGTGAATCGAAATCTATATTTCGATATCAGCCGATACACGATATTGCTCGATGTGATGCGCATCGGCATATCGTACCGATTCGTTAATATCAGCAATATTCGTTTGGTTCGTATCGAATCGGCCAGAGTGAGTGAGCGCACGATAGGGATATCATGTGATGAATGAAACAGAAACAGGCATTATCCATACAATTGTAAACCTTATATTTAAGTCCATATGTCTGTAGATTATTCTTAGCGTATCAGCAGGATACAATTAAGGAAAGAAGTTTCAACTTTCGACCCTAACTTGAATGCAGTATAGCCTATTTGCATCGTTGAATTTAATTTCACGCGCTTTGACCTTGAACTAGAATTTTTGGACAAGTGTTTATAAATACTTAAAAGTTTTTTGTGTTTGATTTTTAAAGTACACATTTTTCTATTTTTAGTTGAATCCAAATAATTGAGTTTATTTCTTGTGTTTGTATTAAACTTTTGAAATCTACACTCTTTTGGTATATTTTGTAATTTTAAATTAAGACACAAAATACTAAAAACTGAAAATAATGTAGCCATTCCTAAGCCTGGTAAAAGCATGAAGGAAAGTTTTTTTGATATTTTTATTTTCATGTTCTTTTTATTACTTTAAGATGATATTATAAATTGATATCAGAAAACCAACCGTATAACGTTGACTTAAATCTATATCTACTACGATATTATATCAGCGTATCGTTTCAAATCTCAAATATCATGAATCGAGAAAATCTACTAGCATCCATCAATGTATAGATTCAGAAAATATATAGATTCAATATCCGATATTGATCCTCGATATATAGATACGATTCGATACGCGGCAAAACCGATATTACCCACTCCTACTATATATTACGATCATACTATGTGTGCCATGAAATCGATAAAATAAAATTTAGAATAGAATAGAATGGAAATAATAAGATTTGGATGGTCCTGGGTACAATAATAATGATGCCCTATATATTAATAACGTTGAAGTTATCTTGGCCTAAAGGATAAGACGCTTCGAGTAATCGTATCGAAGCAACTTGCCCGTGTTCGAATTCCACAGGCAGGTACATATTTTTATAGGCGAATAGGATATACAAATTTTAGCACGTGTCCACTAGAAAGAAATAACATCTTTTAAGAAAATTATAATCAGCATAGTTCATAAACTTGCGTAATCTCTCGAAGTAGCGCGCGTCAGCCCGCACGGGTAGGTACCACCCACCAGCCTATTTCTGTCACGAAGCAGACATGCGTTCCAGTTTGAACAGCCATTATACAATACAATTGAAACTACGATCTCATTTTAAAATGGATTAGTGGTAGGACCTCTTGTGAGTCCGCGCGGGTGAGTACCACCACCCTGCCTATTTCTGCCGTGAAGCAGTAATGCGTTTCGGTTTGAAGGGTGGGGCAGCCGTTGTAACTATACTTGAGACCCTTAGAACTTATATCTCAAGGTGGGTGGCGCATTTACGTTTTGTATGTCTATGGGCTCCAGTAACCAATTAACACCAGGTGGGCTGTGAGCTAGCCACTATAAGCAATAAATAAAGAAATTACTTACGTCACGAGTTTTTCGAAGAGAGTGCAGTCCTCTTCCGCGATAATTCCGCCACCCAGAATACAAACAGCCCCCTGATCCACACTCATCCTAAACAAAGAGAACATACAGTGTCATAGAAAGATTCCCAATCTGAGATGTCCTCGTGTATTTGCTGTGGAGAATTTTGTTAAATTGGTTAATAAATAATACTAAATCCCGCCAAAAGCTTTTTTCAACTTTTCAATTTGTATTTTATTACGAAATCAGATCTGTTATTCTAGTTTTTGTTATATATAATTCTATTTTTGAATTATATCGTCGACAGAAACAATGATATATTATGATGACTACTAAGATACTAAACAATGTTAGAAAACTTGTACTGTAATTGTAATATTTTTGGTGCAATGAAGTAGTTCTATTTGTAAGCCATGTATTAAAATTGAGATGCTTTCTTAAGAATAAACGTAATTTCCGTAATAAAGTAAGTGTCTTCGGATGAAATTCAAATTATTTATTTCAAATTTTTTTATCGCTTAAATGGATGGTCGAGCTCACGGCTCACCTGGTGTTAAATGGTTACCGGAGCCCATAGACGTTTACAACGTAAATGCCGCCACTCACCTTGCGACATGAGTTCTATAGTCGCAGTTTTTACAATATAACTTCTTCCCCGCTCTACAAATCGAAACGCATCACTTCACGGCAGAAATAGGCAGGATACGGTACCTACCCGTGCGGACTCAAAAGACGTTAATCAGTCTTTACCATCAGCAATTACGCAAATCACAATTTTGCGGTTTTAATTTTTATTACACGATGTTATTCCTTTCATCGTGGAAGTTAATCTTGAACATTTGTTAAGTACGCATTTTATTAGAAAAATTAGCACCTGTTTGAGTGATTCAAACATGATGCATACACCGAGCGTCTGATTCTTTAGGCCACGATGACTTCTCGGAAAAATATATTTGTTGAATTTCGAAACAAATAATCAGTTGAGTTTTTAATGTTACATGAAATTGTTTGTTTAATGCTGTTGATAAGTCATAATACTATTTACTGCTAGAGGCCAAACTGTATTGCTACTACAAAACAAATTTCAGTCATCTTCATTTTTAACACAACCTGCTATCGGAGCATAGTTTATCAATCTCTCCTGCCTGCAATCACTCTGCGTAAATCTAGTGTATTCGCAGATATAAATTTTAACCATGTACATGGTTTTCAAATGAACTTTCCACCGATTTTACTCTAGTACTCTGACATTTATGTACAAAAGTGACTCAAAAGGGTATTTGGTGGTTTGACGATGCCAACTGCATGGCACTGGTGATGTTCATAAGACATCAAATTACTATCCAGTGGCCTGTGTATTTGTCGTCTTCTTTAGCAATAGAAAATTTTGAATGAATCAAATGTAATTATAATTCATATCGTATAAACAATAAAGTAAATATTTGGATCTGGTTTGGGAAAAACATATCTAATAACAAATACTTAATGATAGATATTGCACAATTTTTTTTACAAATTAGCAAACTGTGACCAGAATGGACCAGGATTTTTCATTCATTCATTTATCACAGCCTGTCCACTGTCCACTTCTGAACATAAGCTGGAATTTGCTGAAGTCCATGGGCGACGGTAACCATCACCATCAGGAGGGCCGTATGCTCTTATGCCTACAAGGGCAATAAAAAAAAAATGCCTGTCCAAGTGATCTCGAGTGCGGACAGTCCAATGCCAGTTGCATCCAACGTGATCCAGTAATTCTCACTATGTCATCGATTCATCTGGTACATTTAAAATCAATGCTATAAATAATATAAAGTCAACAAAATACTTTCATCTTGAAATTTAGTTTTATAAATTTTAAAGATGTTCATTGGAAATACATCGCACTAGCTTTTGCCCGCAACTTGGGCCGCGTGGAAGTTACTTTGGCATAACACTCAATTTTATCCGTCTCTGCAAATTACGTAGAAATTGAAAATATTTTGATGAATAATAGAATGTTAAAGAGCTCTATTCAAGGTACCAAATCACGCTTATTAACCAACTTCAAAAGAGGAAGTTATCAATTCGACCATAATTTTTTTATCTATGAATGTTCACCGATTTGTCGAAAATGCTTGAACCGATTGGGATAATTCTTTTTTTGTTCGAAAGGATAGACTTCCCAAATGGTCCTGTAATCATCAAGATCTGATGAACAGATCCTGGAGAAATCCAGAAAAATCTATAATGGCGTTCCTCAATAAATGGTTACCTAACAGTCCTAACACTGAAATAATTGTTCAAATTGGACAAGTAGTTCCTGAGATTAGCGCGTTCAAATAAACAACCTCTTCAGATTTATAATATTAGTATAGAGGTTGTGAGGTAAAATGTAGTGTGTCACACGAAGATACAATGTTGTTGTTGTTCATTGGTTGGATTCCAAGGTTTCATTCTATTTATAATACGTACTTTGCGTATATGCTGATAAAATTGTAAGAATTGTAAGGAAGTTAATTGAAGTAAGATTAAAATCAGCATACAGATATTTTTCAAACTATGTCCTGTGGCCATGGTTTTTTTCTCTAGAAATTTTGTATAAACAGTCTTACAAATGAAACTCACAACTCATGCACTATGAATCTAAATTTGGATAGTGATAAGCCAGTACAATCACTTTAACATATAAATTGCCCATGCAATAATAAATTAGTAAGTAAATATTTGCTTTATTTAGTCTATATTTGTCTTACCTCTTTAACATACTTTATGGACCGTGTGACTTGACGTTGGGCTGTGACCCGTCGAACTGCTGGGTGATCTTGCAGGGCTTCCAATGCTTTTCTTCCTGCATTTTCTAGGACAACAACATCAAAGTCACTAGGATATTCTTTGGCTGGATTGTTGCGTTTAATAATCTTCCAGTCTGTTATCTGTGAACAAAATATTGGGTAGTAAAATTAATGTATTTTTTTACAACAAACATTATTTTTGTTACAGCTCAGACCTGATACTTCTAGATTAAATCATCTGTTTTACATAATGCTTTATAAAATTTGTGTGATGTACATATAAAGCCAGCCCTAAGTTTCTCGCATATTCTGAATCGATGATGAAGCCACAATGATTTAAAAGCACAAGTTTAGAGCAATTAGAAAAGCCATAGTTTAGGATTATCAAAAATTTTAATAGGACTCCTTCTGTTTAGAGCATAATGGAAGTGTACTGTGGAGCTGGTACAGCTGATGGTTGAATTAAATTAAATTCAATATAGTTCATTTGGAGAGCCACTTCTCGACTATAGACACAGGTCTTGACCACTACATATGCTATTGCTCGACTATGAACATAGGATTCCTCTTTATATTATAAAATTTTATAAATCTAAAATAACTAAAACTACAATTTGGCATGGGTATTTAACAAATAAAAACATAATTTAAATGCGGAAGTTGATAGTGTCATATTACTATCTGTTCTTTGTATACACTGTAGTTTTTATTATTAATTACACTAAGACTGGCTGAATTAAATGATAAGAAATTGATAATAACAACACATAGATTCACACTAAATGTCAATAACACAATATCTCACTGCGAGATAAGCAGTCATATATTTTTTATTCATATTAATGATTTAAATTTGGAATACTGTTAGTTGGGTGGGATAGCAATAACATGTACTTATTATTTAAAAAATAATAATGACAGGTTAGACATTGAATATTTCTGACCTGGTTTCCTATCCCTCAAGCACTAACCACTGATTGAGAGCCACCAAGCTTCCCAAGCCTTTTTTAATATGATTGCAGTTAGGATTGTTAATTGTTTTTTAAATAGGTGTCCAATAGATCCGCCTCTACTATATATTAACCTTAGGACTTGTATAAATGCAATAGCTGTTTCATTTTAGTTCTGCTTTTATAGTGGCTATTTATTTATTTATGAAATATATTTGGCTATCTGTGTGTAGTTTTATACCATTTTCTCAATGAGTGTCGGTTCAGATTATAAAAAAATAAAATGGAACAAGAAAATCCTTATTTGTACATTTAAGGACATCAATTTAGGGCTCTACACAAATAATATCATTGTCATCCTAATGGGGTATAATTTTATCTTGATGTTACTATTGAGAGATTTAATTCTAAGAGATTTTATGGATGAGGCCGAAATTGCACTCAAATTACTCATAAAGTTATTGCATTAAGTCAAATGTGCAACTAATGCTCTTGGTTTTAGTAAGCAATTGATATATAAAACTGAATTAGATCATCCACCTTAAAAAGAATAAAGGGCCAAAGTCTGCTTAGTCCTACTCCTAGTCCTAGTTCTATAATTACAACATCAATAGTTGAAGATGTCTTTTAACTTCAGATCCTCTTGATCCACTATTGGTGCTTTAAGGTATTCCAACCAGCAGTTATAGTTCTTGTCGAACAAATCAAATGTGACGAATGGTTTACCCACTGAATTTACCGCCTGATCTTCTTAGTGAGTAGCGTTTTTGATAGTAGATTCAGCAAAGCACTGTCCTAGGCAAAGTTGCTAGGGTAAGCCTTGTACATGTCGGGTGAATATAGTGTAACCTCTCCAGGTTAGTAGCATAGGCAGGCAAAGAGAAGCAAAAAAGACTTTAGTTTTTGAGTAACTAAAATCTTTTCCAGGAGTAAGTTACTTGTTTTTTAAATATTAACTTTAGCTACAATACAATGCGTTTACTACAAGATGAAAGTAAAAAATGAAGTAAGTATTTAAAAATATTATTTCATGACGCAAGTAAAGTTTCATAAGAAGGCATATGTACAACAGAAGGATTGAAGTAATATAATTCTGAAAATTAAACGTATATTTAGATTTATTAAAATTTATAGCATTGTATTTTTATATTTTAAAAATTCATAATAATATTTGGATACTTACACCTGCACTGGTTAGAGCGGCATTTACATAATTTTCTCTTGTGCTCCTGGGATAGTATCCTTTAAATGTTATTATGTGCTGACTTTTAACAACATCGGTAGTGAACTCGTATTGAACACGTTCAGACTCAGTGGTATTGCAATTTTCATTTTTTTCACGCACTTCTTTAGAAGAAATTAATAAGATAGGGAGATAAAGCATTACACTTAGAAGAATTGTATGGGTGAACCCCATTTTATGTACTTATTTTAATCACATTGTTGCATGCTATGTTTAATTTACTTATTATATAAAAATATCTACATTGAAACATCTAGCATTGAAAAACTATTAAAATATTTTTTGTCAAATGTATCGTGTGGCGTAAACTGTGATAATCTGTGATTTGATGTGTGTTGCTGTGTATTTTTTTTAAATGATTTTGACCTGGTAACTAACATTTTTAGGTCAAATCTTATATTAATTTTAATGAAAACTTTTATGATAAATGATAATTATTATGAAATGAAATGAAGTTGATTAATATGAAACATGGCATGAAATGAAATGAAAATGAAATGAAAGGAAATGAGATGATATGAGATGAAATATAATCTCAGCAAAATGGTGATCATTTACTGCCACTTTTTAGTAGACTTTTTGGAGGATCCAGAGAAGTTATGTTCAGCGACTTTGTTTCGTTTTCCCACATTTACATGTACTTTCACAGATACTAAGCAGTTAATAAACCACCGTTAATACTCATTTAAATCTGAAAAAACATTACTCAGACAAAATAAAACAAATCCCACAACTTCACTTTTCGCGCTTCCGCCAAAAAGTAAACAGATTAAAATGAAAGATGTGGTGTCGTGGGACACCAGGTAGGAACAAAGTTCCTTCGGCTAATGTAGAATCGACACAATTTGCAAAAAAAAAATCGTGCTCAATTTTATGTAGGTTTTCTTGATTTTTCTCTTAAATTTTGCTGATTAGTTTTTATTTAAGTGCAGGAAAGTATGTAAAAGTAAAAGAAAAAGGGAGAAAGAGAAAGGTATTATACACTACTCGCTTGTGTATGCGACTGTCGCGCCTGCGCACGTCTCATTTAACGGTTTTATTCCACGCACTTTTTTCGACGGATTTTTTCTTACGGTTTTACTATCACATTTTTTTCAGTTCGGCCGCGCAGCAAAATCCCTATCCCCTCCAAGCCTGCCGTAAGGAACTAAGGAGGCCTACAAAATGTCGTCGTGTCTTCTTGTTGACCATCCCGCGATGCTTCAAAACAAAAGTTTTTAGCCAGTACAAAAACAAGATCCGTAAGAGAAGACCTATAAACCAAGTTCAGGTTTTACATATGTCCTGGTTGTGATACCTATGTCCAACAGTATAATAGATAATTGTGGGCTGTTCGTATTGATAGTACTGTTTGAAGATGGATGGATTAATAGTGTCTCGAAGGCCTTTACGAGTTTCTACAGGACAGATAGACGAGGTTACGGTCACCTCGAAGTGGTGGGATTTGTCAACAACCGCCCAATCGCCTCCGAAGGAAACCCGACATCTTGGGGCCAGCTACTTCGTGAATGCATCAAGTACCAGATCGGAATCGCAACCCATGAGGAGATCTGAGCGAACTGATGTTATATGCTAGTAGTATTGATAGTAGTATTATGTCGAATGCTTTAACGAGTTCGACGAGTACGGTTACCAAGAAGTCATTTTAGATTCTTCAGATCCACTATCGGTGCTTTTAGATCTCTCAAGCACTGGTCACCGTCCTCGTCGAACTCGTCGATTACGACGAGCGAACTAACCCATAGATACAGCCCGCTGAGTTTCTCGCCGAATCTTCTCAAGGGGTAGCGATTCCGTTCCGTTGGTAGATTCTGTGAAGCGCTGCTCTTGCTAGGGCTAGTGTTAGCAAATTCTCTCAGGTTGAACCCGTGAGCTCACCTCGCCGTCCGGGCGTAGCTGGAATAGCCCTTTAGGCTATCCAGCGAATAGGTAGGGAAAAGAAAAAGAAAAAAAAGAGATACTACATAAGTGCTAGGTACTACCATTTCTTTTTACATTAACCACTAACGCAGCAAAAATATGCTATTATTAGAATCATTTTGAAAAGAGAATTAAGAGTACAATCGATGACAATAGAAGTCAAATGTCCATTTATTGATTATAGTAAAATAGCTCCTAGGATATCTCAAAATAAACCAACACTGTTAGCGATCAAGAAGAGCGGGTCAATAGCCTGTGTTTTTTCATTTCAGCATATTTCTTGATTTTTTTATTTTTTTTTCTAATATATCATTATTACGGCAATCAAAAACCTTTATGTACAGCTACTGTGCCGACGTACAAATTAACTATGTAGTTATGAATCGCATTAACTTGGTTAGGGTAGTTTTCCAAATAAGTTCACATACTCGTATAGACAACAATCCAATAATCGTTCTACCACCGGCACACCGGCTCGGTAGCTCTTCCTTTTGTTGCTTACTCCATATCGAGGGGTGAAATACTATTTGGCATAAGCAACATTTTTGCAACATTACAAGAGCCATTTAAAGTTTAAAATCTGAAAAAATATCATGACAATAAACTTCTTCAACTATTTGAATGGGGTTTCAATTCAAAACATCGAATTGCTGATGCTAATACCAAATATGACCCTTAATTACAAAATTAAATGTCGCGTATTAAACGAAATATCGCTTATAACAAATAGGCTTTCAGCCTACTTTCAGCCCTCGATCTAGTAAAAAGGTAACAGTCTCTCTCCTGCTAAAGTAAAACGCAACTTACAAAAATGACAGAGTCAAAATTACTGTTATTGATGTTGATTTACACTATTTACGTTTATTTATTTTTTATATTTTAGAATACTATGTATCTGCGAAAACTCTTTGATCATATCGAATTTCTTCATTCTGTTTAAATATTTAATTTCCTTGGTTGTCACCTAGACTACTTTTTCCACAAATGGCCTTCAACTTGGAAAGCCGGTTTCCTAAGGCCCCAAAATACGTTACACTTCTGGATCCTGGAGCTTATCAAATAAGTGATACTGATACTAAAAAATGGAACAAAATTGCATTTAATTCATCTACTCCGCGAAATATTCGCAATGAAAAGAAATTATGGACGCACGCCATTTATAATCCTGAATACAGGAAAAAAATACCAAATTGCCCAAGTATGATGTCACGACAGCCACGTTTTCCATATGAAAGCTATACCAAATTTGATTTGGTAGAAGAGTTTCTTTGCAACTGCGGAGTAGATAATGTCTGTACTTGTTCAATGAAAACAGAATTGGTCGACAGTGTAAAATGCCAAGGGAAAATTCCAAAACGTATATTTAAAGGCCTCACACTACAATCCGCAGTAAGTGCTGATTATCAATCAGAACCACCAGTATCAAAAAGTATCAATATTAATACTACTGGCTTCAATGGTTTTTCAACTGATTTTTATAGAGGATGGAAATGGAGTAAATGGACTTCTCCACGCTTAAAATACTCAATTGACCAGAGCCCTGGACCTGGATACTATGATATCGAAAAAGAACCAGATAAAACGAAACTTTGTGCTGAGCAGTGTAGATTTCACAAACGTAAAAAATCAAAACAACTTCGTTTTATCGAAATGATTCAGGAAAGAAATATAATTGAAGGGAGGCCAGGACCAACTGATTATGATCCAAAAGAAATTAAAGCGGGAGAACAAAATATAACATTTGGTAAGTGTGTTAGGTTTTGTAAATCAAGCACTGAAATAAGGCCTGGACCAGCAGATCACTCTTTGCGTAGAGATTTTGACTTGATTGAAAATAATGTTGTTTGTCATGCAAAACTTCCAAACCCAGCTCCTTTCAATGTTAGGGCTGATAGATTTAAGTCCCGAAAAGATGATGGCCCTTGTGCAGCCACTTATTCTCCAAAACCAATTTCGTGTAATTTTACAAAATGCACAGCTGTGCCATTTGGTTCCTCTGCAAGCAGATTCAAAGATCAATTTGAAAGTGATCAAGAAGACCAGTCAGCTATTGACGATGAAACAAATGAATTAAAGTCAAACGTCCCACAGCTCTCATCAAATTTCAAATCAAAGACTGTTCGATTTAAGCCATTGGTAAAAAAAAAGGATGAGCCCAGCCCAGCAGATTTAGGACCAGTAGTTAATAAAATGTTATATAGATCGTTGCCGCTGCAGCAAATGGCACCATTTTTTTCTTCAGAAGGCCGTTTTATGCCGTGGAGAAATTGGATATCGATATTTGGGAATGTTAAAACCCCAGGACCTGGATATTATGATGTAACAAATTATTCAAAAAAAAACATAGCAGTCCATCATGGTCCACTTTCTCGTAGCTTACGTTTCAAAGTACCTGTAGATCGAACACCTGCCCCTAATGCTTACATCGTTGGTGGTGGTATTGAAACTATATTAAGAAGCCATAATCATAGATTAAAAGAAAATACGACGTCACATCAGGCTTTATTTTCAAAAGAGCCTGCACCATTTCAGCTTTCATTAGAAGAACGTGAAACACTTCTAATAAATAAATCAATAAATTTACTTAGTGTTGACGATAATTTCCAAAACTGATGATAATCAGTATTACTATTCGGTTACCTTTCAAAAGCAATGAAAATGTATTGCAACAGTAAAAAGAGGGTGGCTTGTGGAATATAAGCTATTTATTGACTTCATTTTTTTGAATCTTATACAAATAAATTATATTCTTTGTATTAAGTGTGTGATATCAAATTACTTCATGCATACCATCTAAATACATAGTTTTAACATTGTTTTTAATTGGGTCGAGAACAACTACAGTATAAATAAACAGAGAGGACTAAGTAGAGATTCATCATATTATACGTAATCGAAATGCTCTCCTTATATTAATTAATCCGCCTTTACATTGAGACAGTTTAAGTTTAAGTTACATCCATTTATTTATCCCTAATACACTATTAGAAATAAAAATATAACGAGGTATTAGTAATAAACCGTATCTACTTGTATAAGAATTTAAGTTTTGAATTCGATCTCTGTTATTCCTCATTATGATGATACACATTTCTTGAAGTTTGAAAAAAATTACCGAAAAGTGACTCCCTTATTAAATATGACATGGAACAATTTACCGATAATAGGCATGTTACCGTTTACAGGTATTTGAACTGAACTACTTGTCCACGTAGGGTTCTAAAGGATTGTTTGAGTTGGTATCGTTTTATTCTTTTTAGCATTGCTCGTCCATAGTAAGTTTTCACGTTACTTTTTGCTCCACTCCATTTACCACCCATAATATATCTAACACACCTCCCTGTTTTCTCCACAGCTGTATGAAATTTACTTTTTGAAAGAAAAGTTCTGGGCGGTATTCAGTAGTTTGACTGTGCCATCTCTATGCTGGTACCATAGAGTTAGTACTTTAACTTGTTAACTCCATGGCTGGGATCCACAAACGTAGAAGACAAAAGTAGTGTATTATTTTGACTATCGTTTCAATAGATATTTGCGATCACATTATTGCGTCGACAGCTTACCGTAAAGAGTGGTGCTTAGTTCGATCTCTGTAGCCAGCATAAAAACGTTTCTTACATTGCCATTTTTGTAAACAAGCGCATTGGAAAGCTTGCATATTGTCTGTAATCTATATTAGAAAATAATATTAATATTTTTGAAAATATGTACAACGTTCTCAGTATCCGCGTCTGTCTTACTCAACACATCACTACTGCTAATGAGTTGGGTAGACATAGAATTGGGTATAAATGACAATAATTGTCTAGGCGTAGGTATAGTAACTTTACTAAACTAGTCTGTGGTCTAAGCTTTCCTTAATCTATGCAATGTTTTTTAATCTAATATATTAAGTGTATAATCTATGTTTTTAATTTTAACTCTAAATAAATTAAGGCCTTATTATTTTTTAGTTTAAAAATATTTTAATAGACTAATCTTACTTTTTAAGTTTTATAGTGTATCAAACAATCAAAGTTCGGCGATTTAGCAGGAATTTAAGTTTTTATATCGTGATAAACTTTGATGAAATTGGATAGGTTATAGGAAGCCACTATACTCGTTTTATTTATTTATCCTACTTACAATTTAATCAAATACGACCAAAAAAAAGAACTATCTATTCCAAATTACATTTGATAAATACGTACATATTTACCTGAAACTTCAATAACCATCAATTTTAATAAAATGTCTAAGCTAGGAGCTCTTCACATAACCAAGCACAGTGGTGCCAAACAGACCGCTACAGTTATATTTTTTCACGGATCTGGTACGTTTCAAGTTTCTAAATTGCCTTTTAATCAGATATTTCTTAATAAAACATTTAAGAATGAAATGATTTGAACCTTTGGATGCAAATTTTTGTTTACTGTCAATTAAAAGTAATAATTTGCCTTTTCTACTGGCTCTTAAGATCATAATAATATACCTCAATTTGGTCAATTTGCTACAATGTCTTGAGTAACAAGTTAAACATCTCAGTGCCTAGACATAGTATCTTTATGAAATTTCTGAAAGTAGGTACCAAAAAATTTTGTGTTTATGAATCAATAAAAGTAAAATAATCATATAAATTTTTAACATTAAAAACAATCGTTACCAGAAAATATTTTTATTTTCTCCTACCTACGCCGAAAGTTAGGTTTTCATCCCGCTCTACCGGGAAGAAAGTGTAACTTTTCCTCCCGTTGTACAGGGAAGAAAGTGTAACTTTTTTGGGTACAAGTGCGCATGCGCGTTAGTTCTACGTTTGCTCTTACGCACCTAAAATTCTCCGCCATTGTTGTGCTCGGGTAATTTGCAATATTGTGTTTAGCGTAAAAGTGAAATAAACAAAAGGCAATAAAATTTTATAGTGAAGTATTAAACAAAGATGAGTTCAACAGACAGTTCTTATTCAATTAGTAGTATTTAAAAATTAAAAAACAGTTAAATTGCTTTTTTTATGAGTACGGGGGCTCCGCCCCCCCTACCCCCAGCCAGGGCATCGCCCCTAGACCCCGGCTCGGTACTCCACGAATGTTCGGCATGGTAGGAGAAAAAATAGTATGTGCACTGCGGGCGAAAATTTGGATTTTTCTCCAGCATGTTAGCCATTTACATGCGGAAGGAAATGTCCAACTTTTCTCCCTTAGTGCACAATATACTATTATAAGATTTGAAATTAATTTTGCAACTTTTTAATAAAAATTTAACTTAATTCCAAAAAAATGCTTACAAACTAACTATTCAAAGTATTGGCCATTACTAGCCACATCTTTTCCATCATCCTGGCAGAGATTGAATACTTTGAAATACAGTAATTCCCATATAACACGGTAGATTGGTTCCGCATCATAAGAGTATTTTCACATATCGCATAATTATATAGGGTCATACAAGCGTATGACCGTACTTATGACCGTATGACCGTAATTATATGGGGTCATACGCTTGTATGACTACTATGACAGATTACTATGAATGTGCTATGTACAAATATAATACAATATAACCAATGTTTTCACAATTCAACAACTAGGAACAAAAATTTTATAAATTAACTATTTTTTAACAACACAATTGACACAATGTGCAAAGGTATGTGAAATTGATTATAAATTTCACAATATAAAATTATGTATAACTTAAAATCCCTGTGTTATATTATGATGGAATACCCATGTTCGATGAGGGACTGAAATTGCATATTAATATGTGTTATAAAAGTACCGTGTTGTAAGTCTGATTTTTTTTTTGTTGCTTAGTTGGGTGGACGAGCTCACGGCCCACCTGGTGTTAAGTGGTTACTGAAACCCATAGACATCTTTTTTTAAATAAATAATAAATGAATAAATATTTACTAACAATCACGCCACGTTAACTGGTCCCGTGATAAGTTCGTAAAGAACTTGTGTTACAGGTACCAGATAACCGAAATAAATGTAAGATTTTTATTATACACATACATATATTTAATATACATCCATAACCCTGGAAAAGACATTTATATTTATCATACAATTATCTTTCCTTGACGGGATTCGAACCCGCGACCCCCCTGTGTAGTGACCATGTCACTTACCACTACACCAGACGGTCGTCTACGACGTAAATGCGCCACCCACCTTGAGATATAAGTTCTAAGGTCTCAGTATAGTTACAACGGCTGCTCCACCCTTCAAACAGCCTTACTGCTTCACGGAAGAAATAGGCAGGGTGGTGATACCTACCCTCGCGGACTCACAAGAGATCCTACCACCAGTAAACCGCTTACTGTAGTATTGTTTTTTTGAGGCTATCCATGAATTAAGCCATTATTCAATGTCTGCATTTGAGTGAAACTACTAGCCAAGCCCATGTGCCATCAAGTATAATAAATAAAAATTCATGCATGTGCAAGCATCATGCATGTGATCAATGCAGTGTATAAAGTTCAAACATGTGTTATGTCGTAGTTTTCTACGATTTCTATAATCTAATAATTGGACGGGTGACATTGATAGAAAGATGAAAGTAGTACCATGTCTTAAGTTAAAATTTCTTGAGGCAATAGTTCTGCTGTTATTGTGCTACTGATGTCAAAATCTTGAAAAGCGTTAAAATGTCAATTAATTACTAAAACTACACTGAGTATTTTAAAAATATTTAAATCGGTTATAGACCAATATAAATATTACCAAGAAACATTTTAAATAGTAACTGTTTTCAATTAATGCCATAAGGGTCAACATAAAACAAAATATAAATCTAAACAATGAATTTTCCTATTTCAGGATCCACAGGGGCTGATATCAAAGAATGGGTTAGATTAATGGTTGAACAGTTTTCTTTTCCACATGTGAAAGTTTTGTTTCCGACTGCACCCTTGCAGCCATACACGCCTGCCGGTGGTATGATGAGCAATGTTTGGTTTGATAGAGCTAATATTACACCAGATGTTCCTGAAAAACTGGACTCATTAGCCAGAATTGAAACTGAAGTAAAGAATCTTATAAAAACTGAAAATGATGCTGGAATACCCAGTGATAGGATTATAGTTGGTAAGTTTTTAGTATTAATACAACCCAATTGCTGATGTCCATGACTGACAGTACTTACCATCAGATGGGCTGTACGCTCATCTTCCTTCTGGGGCCAAGAAAGAGATAAACAAAACCTGCTTTGATTTTTATTTTATCCTAATATCATACAAAAATCCAATAAGGATACATATTTATACCACCAAAGGTAGGATTTTTTTTGTGTGATAGACATATAAAATGGTTTCATTAAAGCCATTCAAGCATGCTCACATGATCTACTCTAGTCATGTAAAATTATTACAATCTTGATTTTATTCAAATAATAATATTATTTTGTTTCTTTTTCATGAACGCAAGAGAAGTTTACTCTATAATTTGAGTTTAAAATAAAAATTAAAAGTACCTTAATAGTGAAGGCTTATTATATAGTTATGTGACAAACAAAACTGTAAGCTTAGAATATTGCTCCATACAACAACAATACTGAACAGATCCTTTGTCAATGTTTAAAGATAGACTTGTACTAGTTCCATTTATGCATAAAATAATGCAATTTGGAAACTTTTGGAAAAGAGCAAGAACTCAATTTCTTGTCTATTCTTCTTATTAGTGACACTTCATTGCCAATCGGTAGTAATATCATGAAAATCTGAAATTGCCCTTGATGGCCTTCTTGAATGAAAAACTTTTATTGAAACCCTTCAGGACAAATTTATGTAGTTCAGTCTCTGTGTTTCATATTTTGAGTCATCTTATTGAAATGTTTCCTTTTTTAAGTTCTCCATTACATTTTTACTTTCCAAAGTATTGTATAGTATGTTCTATCTTACATTTTAAATGCTAGGCAAGATATTGCCCAATATTATTGAAAGTTTTGTAAATTACAATCAAATTGTTTAGATGGTTTTCCAAAACACCACACACAAAATTATTTTTACTGTGTAACTGCATGATTCGAATACAGATCTAAAACCTCAGAAGCACATATTTAAAAAGACACAGAACATGAGCAGAGGCCCTTTACCATGCTATTTCTGCTGCAAGGCAGTAATGTAGTGGAGAAGAGTCAGTAATATATATAATTGGGATTTGACATATTTCAAAGTTTTTCCAGCTAGTTGTCATTTTATAATTTATGTTTCAGGTGGATTTTCCATGGGAGGTGCACTGGCTTTTCACACTGGCTACAGATGGGATAGAAAACTGGCTGGGGTGTTTGCATTCAGCTCCTTCTTAAATTATAATTCAGCCGTTTATGATGAATTGAAAAATAACACAGGTGTAACATGTAAGTAAAATTAAATTGAAAAGATCGAATAATTTTGTGTAGATAGCTGGAGGAACGGATTTGTTGCGACCTTTCGTCAATGACCCAGTGGGTGGTGCTGGTCCAAAATGTTTTAGTTGAAAAATTGTAAAATTTCAGATCCACCCTTGCTGCAAATTCATGGTAACCAGGACGATTTAGTACCCCTGAAATGGGGAGAGGAAACATATCAGAAGTTGAAAAGTCTTGGAATTCAGGGAAGTTTTTTCGTTCAAGAAAGATTGGGGCACTCGTTGAATAGACGAGGCATTAAGATTATTAAAGATTGGATCGATGAAAAGTTGCCTAATTCATAACATACTAATGTTCATAAAATTTTATGGTTGCCGTAGTGATTTTTAATATTATAATGTTGTTATTGAATAATTTGTAATTTCTCTATGTATAAATGTTTTATCAGTTCCTTAAAGGACTTTTTATCATTTATATTCCAGCACAAACTCACTCGCACCGTTACTGATGGCCTACAACGTACCGTTAGGATCCTATTGTGATAGCTGAAACTATTCAAAGACGAGCGTGCTAATTTGGCGATAGAGGTTACCGAAGCTAATTAACACCGAGAAAACCAGAGAGAGTTAGAATAGGGACAAATCAAGGATGTATTAATTTTTTGTTGAGTTGTTAGATTACCATGTACCACCACGCTGCCTATTTCAGCCGTGAAGCAGTAATTCATTTCGGTTTGAAGGGCGGAGCAGCCTTTTTACAATACTGAAATACCCTAGAACTCGTATCTCAAGGTAGGTGGCCGCATTTACGTTGTAGATGTCTATGGTTTCCGGTAACCACTTAACGCCAGGTGGGATGTGAGCTCGTCCAACCATCTATTCAATAAAATATAAATAAATAAAAATTGTTTATATCCCATAAAAGTGCGTTTTAAGTGGGTGATGGATGTACGAACTTAAAGTACGCGGTTCTTAAAATCGCGAACTTACCATTTTTTTGGTCCTACCTAAGCTGAGAGCTTTGAGAGGCTATTTCAGCGTAACCTCAACTAGTAGGCGAGCTCGCGGGGTTCAAACCTGACGACGTTGCTAACACGAGCCCTAGCAAGAGCCGTGCTTCGCAGAATCTACCACCGGATCGGAAACGCGACCCACTGAGAAGATCCGGCGAGAAACTCAGTGGGTTATGTCTGAGGGTTAATTTACTCGTCGAGCCCTTCGTCGCAAGCGACGGGTTCGACGAGAACGATTGCCGGAAACTTACCAAGCTCGACGTCGATGACACACGTGAAGCTTACTCTGTATTGCGATGACGTCGATAGAAGAAGCTTTGTGTTATTTAGGAATTATATCAGATTACATTTTAAAAACTAAAAAGAAAAGGCGAAGTCGAAAAGTGTAGGTGAACGGTCGGTTCGTTCTTTGTCGTCTATTTAGATATTTTAAGAAGTCATTGTAAAATGAATGAGCAGTACTGCCACGCGTACGAGCGATGGATTACGAGCAAATTTTCAAACTTGTGGATCGCCAACGAACTTACTCAGCGGTTTTAAAGTATGCGTACTTAAGGTGATACACAAGCGAAAAAGATCGTCGTCAAACGGAAAAGTTCGCGAACTTACTCGCACGTCTAACAACACTTTACTGGTGGTAGGACCTCTTTACTGGTGGTAGGACCTCTTGTGAGTCCGCACGGGTAGGTACCACCGCCCCGCCTATTTCTGCCGTGAAGCAGTAATGCGTTTCGGTTTGAAGGGTGGGGCAGCCGTTGTGACTATACTGAGACCTTAGAACTATATCTCAAGGTGTATGGCGCATTTACGTCGTAGATGTCTATGGGCTCCAGTAACCACTTTACACCAGGTGGGCTGTGAGCTCATCCACACATCTAAGCAATAAATAAAACCCACTTGAGATGATATAAACCACAGCACAAACTTCATCTAGATTATTGATTTCATAGGTGATTAAATTTCATATTTCTTGAAGAAGTAAGTAGTAGGTACAAAAAAAACCCGAGAATTGAAAATTTGCACGTGCTTTGCTGGATATTGTGCTGGACCTGTTAAGCTGATAGAAGGAAACATGAATCAATTCCAATACAAAAATATAGTGGAAGAAACAATGCTGAAGATTATTTGGTAAAAAACATCCACAATGGTTATTTGAACATTCCAGAAGTACAATGATCTAAAGTATCTATGTTGTAACCTTCTTTTACATATTCCATTATTTGAAATATACTTCAAACACATTGTCATTTTTGCTACCTATCATTATTATATTTTATGCTATGTCTTGAAAACATTGTTTTATTATATTGGCGACGAGTTAAAAGAAATTAAGATGAACGATGAACAATTCGCATTATTTTTACATGCACAACAAAACCAGCAAGAGCAGATTTTACAAATCTTGAAATTGTTGGTACCAGCAGTTTGCAATACAACAGCCAAGAGCGTGACGAACGACTCTTTTACAAAACATGATACGGATAACAAGATAAGTATAATCAAACATTTCAATATGGATAAATACAATCCAGATACATTCAGAATTGACGATTACATTGATTTTTTCGAAAACAAATGCAAAATTCTTGATATCGATAACAGCGACTTACAGAAAGATTTGCTTCTGAATTTACTAACACCAGAGATATTCCACGAATTAAAAGTAGCTTTAACGCCTGATTTCGATATAGCTACATACAGCGAAATTTGTAACAAATTATTAGACCTCTATCGCATAAAAACGACGAGGTATAGAGCCTTAACAGAATTTTGGAATTGCACTAGAGAACAAAATGAAACGATGGAACACTATGCAAACAGATTAAAAGGTCTTAGTCGGGATTGTGGCTACACTAATGACTTCCTGGAACGACAATTACGTGACCGCTTTGCCACTGGATTGAATCATCCAGATTTAGAAACCGACTTGAAACAAAAATGGCCTGATTTAGTTCAAATGGTAGACGGAATACCACGAGAAGTAACCTTCCAACAAATTTTTACAATCTCTCAATCAAGAGAACAGGCAGAACAAGACACACCACGAACAAGTATTAAAAAAATAAATAGGAGCAAAACCAAAACCGTACCATTACATCAAAATACAACACGAAAATTAAATCCAATGCATTGTTTACGCTGTGGAAAGAAAGAACGGCACAGCCTATCACAGTGCTCAGCCAAGGACCATATGTGTAAAGAATGTAACACGAAAGCACACTTTGAGAGTTGTTGCATTAAGTCTGGACGGGCATACATCAGCTATTCAGAAGGGAGCCGAAAATCAATTAAAAAAATAACAAGACCTCATAAGTCCTCAACATCATCATCATCATCTATCAGTAATAACAAGGAAGAAAGCGATGATGAAGTTATCTGCAGCGTCTTGGGTACACGTAAGAGAGAATGCAAACAAATCGATGTACGCATCAATGACATACCTTGCACTATGGATTGGGACCCCGGCTCTGCGTATTCAATAATAAACACGACATTATGGAAAAAATTAGGATCACCATCTTTACAACCCGCCCCGAAACTTAAGGCCTACGGTAACACAAACTTAAAAACAAAGGGAATTACAAAAGTAACAGTCGAAGTCGACGGACTGCAAAAACTTCTACCTGTGGTCGTAATGAAAAATGCCAAACCAATGTTATTTGGTTTACATTGGAGTGAAGTTTTTGAAATGGAATTTCCAAAACCAGTATACTCCATCAAAACATCAACACCGATGACTCTTAAACAAATATTGGATAAACATGTACAACTCTTTGATGGAAAACTAGGAAAAGTTAACAATTATTACGTAAACATACATGTCAAACCAGAAGCTGAACCGATCCACCTTCCTGCACGGCCTATAAAATTCAGCATGAAAAAGAATATAGAAAGGGAGTTAGATCGTCTGATCTCAGAAGGGATAGTGGAAAAAGTAGATCCTAATATTACACCTATTGAATGGGCTACACCCACAGTTAACATTCTGAAATCTACAGGGGAAATTAGGATATGTGGAGACTACAGAACTACACTTAATCCAGTACTTATTAAACATCTACACCCAGTTCCGATTTTCGATCAACTACGCCAAAATCTCGCAAACGGTAAATTATTTTCAAAAATAGACCTTAAAGACGCATACTTACAATTTGAAATAGCACCAGATTCGAAAAAGTACTTGACGTTGTCAACCCATAAAGGGTATTTCCAATACAATAGAATGCCTTTTGGAATATCGACTGCTCCTTCAATTTTTCAACATTTTCTGGATCAACTGCTAGGCGATATCACCAATGTAGCTGTATATTTTGACGACATAGCTATAGCAGGGAAAGATCTTTCAGAACATTTACAAACTTTATCTATTGTATTCGATCGCTTACAAAACGCTGGCCTAAAAGTTAATTTAAAGAAATGTAATTTCTTACAGAATCAGATTGAATACCTAGGTCACATAATAGATAAACATGGCATCCACCCAACCAAATCTAAAATTGATGCCATAACTAAGGCCCCAGCACCTAGTAATGCAAAAGAACTACGATCATTTTTAGGACTAGTTAACTTTTACGAACGGTTTGTACCACATCTTCACGGAATTTGTTCGGATCTTCATGATCTAACTAGTAAAAAAAATAGATGGCGTTGGACTGATCATGAAAACAGAATATTTGAAGATACAAAGAAATGCATAACGTCTTCACAACCATTAATTGCATTTGACGAGAAACGTCCCCTTTATTTAGCATGTGACGCTTCCGAAAAGGGATTGGGTGCAGTATTATTCCACAAGGACTCGAACATAGAACAGCCAATTGCTTTTGCTTCAAGGAAACTACGACCAGCGGAAATGAAATATTCCGTTATTGATCGTGAAGCTTTAGCAATAGTATTTGGTATAAAAAAATTTGATCAGTACTTGAGAGGAACGAAATTTAATCTAGTTACGGACCATAAGCCTCTTATACATATTATGGGTGCACGCCGCAACCTTCCTAAACTAGCCAATAACCGATTGGTAAGATGGGCCCTAGTAGTGGGAAGTTATCAATATGACATTTACTACAGGAAAGGTGAAAATAACACATTAGCTGATTGCCTTTCCAGATTACCAAACCCTGAAACTGAACCCTCCGAGACAGAAGGGCTTGTACATAAAATAGATCTACGTCTTTTGAGCACTCGAATGACTGACCTTAACCTATCAGAACAGTTACTTATGAAAACAACTGCAAAGGATCATATACTCACAAAAGTTTGTCAAAATTTAAAAACCGGCTGGAGAGAATCAGAATACAATCCAGAAATGAAACCATTCTACAGAAACCGGACTGAATTATCTGTTGAGAATAAGATACTTATGAGGCAAGGACGCATCGTTATACCTACAGCACTCCGAAAAGCCATTCTTACATACCTTCATCGAGGACACCCTGGCATTTCTGCTATGAAAGCACTTTCACGTTACTATGTTTGGTGGCCTAACCTTGACGAAGACATAGAATTATTTGTCAAGAAATGTACCAGATGCCAACAGAACCGCCCTTGTAATCCTGAACTTCCTGTATTTTCCTGGTCCATACCAGAAGAAGTATGGGAGAGAATCCATATCGACTTTGCTGGACCGTTCGAAGGATCGTATTGGTTGGTATTGTGCGACGCTCTCTCCAAATGGGTGGAAATACGACCGATGAAACACATCAACACCAGATCACTTTGTCTTACATTAGATAACATATTTTGTACATTTGGCTTACCAAAAATGATTATATCCGATAATGGACCTCAATTTACATCTTATGAATTTAAAGAATATTGCACAAAACAGTCTATTTTACATGTCACATCATCTCCATATCATCCTCGGACAAATGGGCTGGCAGAACGTTTAGTCAGAACATTCAAAAATAGAATGGCATCGGTAGACAACACAAATCTCGAGCGCCGACTATTAGAATTTCTGTTTACATACAGAAACACTCCGCACTCGTCCACTGGTAAATCTCCAGCTGAGATGATGTTTGGAAGACAATTGAATTGCATACTTTCCAACATTCGGCCAGACAAAAGAAGGTTAATGCAGTATTTACAAGTAAAAGAAAATATTCGTACCACATCACCGAGTTACCGACCAAGTGACCAAGTATATATTAAAACACGCAATGATAAAATATGGGAACCAGCGGTAATTACATCCCGAAAACATAAATATTCATATATTGTTTCAACACCAGGAGGACTAGAAAAACGAAGACACGCTGATCACATCAGGCCACGCGAGTCTTCCACCTCAGAAACCCCGAGGAATGAAAGGGCGCATTCTTCTATGCTGCCGACGACTGCTTCTCCAGACATTGGAATGGAAACATCAATTAGCGAAAGGCTAACTAACAATAAGAATTCGGCAGCAGTACCATTACCTACACCGCAGTCGCCTACAAATGTACAAATTTCTCCAAATTCACCTTCACAGCATTCGAAGTTATACTCCTCACCTGCTCCGGTCTCCACTCCTGTGCCATTTGCTCCGCGTCGAAGTAATCGACGTATACAGGCACCCCGCCGTCTGATCAACGAGATGTAGATGGGGAGGAATGTTGTAACCTTCTTTTACATATTCCATTATTTGAAATATACTTCAAACACATTGTCATTTTTGCTACCTATCATTATTATATTTTATGCTATGTCTTGAAAACATTGTTTTATTATAATCTACATGCGCTTTTAAGGAAGTTTTCACCTCTCAATCAGTTTCGGTTTGAGATTGGCCAGCTAAAATTGCAAATACAGAGAGACACCCAGGCATATAGAGCATCTTTGGTACAAAGGACAAAAAAAGTCAGTTTCAGGAACAACAAAATCCTATATTTTGCGAAATGTCAAAAATTTATAGTCATTTCCTCGCCGGTGTAAAACAGTAATTAAAAGCAGTGAACATGCTGCGATCTATTAATTTTAATATAAAATGAAGTTGTTTTTTTCTTTACGTACTTCACATAAGTGTGATCTTAGAATTTAAATTTATTTAATTTTCATACCAAAAACTCTACAGCAGCTTAATAAATCGTTTTTAATCATTTGTTCAGCTTTATTACTATCTGAATTTGTTACCTACTTTGGGTAGGTAACGAATAAAACATGCAAAAAAGTTTGCCATTTTATTCTATGATCTGGTTTGCGCTATTGATGTGGCTATTTCAAAACATAGCTGGTCACTTCTAAGAAATAAAATTAAAAATCTGGAACTTGAATCGTTATTAATTAAAATAATAATAATATAATTATACGAACACAAATGTACACGTACCTACGACACTGTTGTTTCAGGTAGTACCTAATTAAGCGCCTGTCTGCCTTGTTTTCTACGAACTGATTATACTTAGTGGTAATAATTAATCCTCTATAGTCGGATTTTTAATTAGACGAAGCCAGCTGACAGTAGCTAATGTCACTTTGTGAAATAATGTTGCTATATTTAAAGTAATAGTGATGCGTTCAGTTCTCGTTCAATCACATAAATGAACAATGAGTGTGAAGAGTTAATCATTAATTTCAAACTATAAAAGAATATTATTTATATTTTACAATAAAATTGTATTAAAGTGATCCAATATAATAATATGTTACTAGTAGTATGTAACTACAATCAGTTTTTTTTATTTTCATTACCTATGTACCTATAATTGTTATATTTTATACATCTATAGTTTCAACTATATGATGCATTGGAAATAGGACAGTCTTACAAGCTTCCTCGCAATGTTTTTCTTAATGTTTAAAACACTCGGTATTCAGTACAGGTAGATACCATAGGAACATAATGTTTCGTCGAAAACTCGTTGGTATGTACAAAGCACGGCTAAAATTCGAACCCCGTGCCCGATATCGGCAGTTCGGCACACTAACTATTCACTAGACAATCGAGGCAATTTCAATAATTCAGGAGTTTTTTCAATCGTTCACATTGTCACAACACTATTTTTATTTCATCAAAAACTGACAACACAGTAAACGTCAGTTTACTTCGTCTAATAAAAAATCCGACTATATGTTCATTTCATAAATCAGTATACGAACGCTATGCTGTTACACATTAATTACATCCTGTTTACTAGTCTCTTAAAATAAATTGTCATTTTTACTGTATTAGCCAGTGTCTGACACACTGACAAACAATTTGAACCATATGTCTTAACTATGATATGAACAGTTTGAAACTGTATGTACCTTTTGCATATGCTCTGCTTTATCAAAAAAATTAGACCAATTCAATGGCACCTAAAAAATCGAAAGACGTTGCTGATGAAAACTATTGGCGTAGAAATATTGAGGACGCCAAATTAGATGAAGAAAACTGGAAAGTAAAAGTTACTATCCTTGAAGCTGCTGACAGTGATAACGCCAGAAACTATCTTAACAAGTTCGAAATTTTCGCTACGGAAGAAAAACGATTTGTAATAAAGAGCATATCCAAGACTGAAACAACATTTATGGTCAATCAACTTGGAGGTGAGAAAAAGAATAAAGAAGATGATAGTTGTCGTGTTTTTGAAGAAGGTCAACTTTACTTAAAAGAAAAGAAAGAGATGCCGGCTCACGTTCAAGCTCTTATCATAAAGCATCTTATTTTAAAAATGAAGGAAGAATATCTTCTTATAAAAAGAAGGAGACTAGAAGTAAAAGAAGGTATGCGCAGAGAATCTATTACGATGGTTGACCGAAGCGAGATAAGAGGAATCGTATCAGTCAAACCCCAAGAGCTACCTCCATCACCCCCGCCCGTCAAAAAAGGGAAAAAAAATGATGTCGATGCATCATTTTTGTTACCCGAACCGGCTGAAGACAAAAAATACAATACACAACTCAGGGTCAGAGGTGAGGAATGGCGTGACAAAGTATATGTTGACGATTTTCCAACGGATGGTCCTAATCTTTATGTAGCGATAACAGGTTTTGTTGAACCACTTTTGCCAGGTTGCCTTATTTCAATCGGCGTACCTATTACAGCGATAGTTCAAATAAGAATTAATCCAAGTCCAACAGCCGAAACTTCAGGACAATTTAAAGCTGCTAAAAGAGGTCAAAGTCAAACAGAACTACTTAAAGAAAAATCTTTTAAATTTTGGGACGATTTACAAAATTTACGGGTGCAAAAAGACACTGCGGATGTTTTTACTGATACCGCTTTTGTAGTTTTCTCTCCTCCGTATTGGGATAACGAAAAAATGTCCGGATCCCCTGATAAAATATATGACGAGGTTTGTTTTCTTCTTTATGATATTCAAGATTTAACTAGGCAACACGATCATTACCTAGATAGCATGGAAATTATAAATATTCCGTCTTATACAAATTATGAGAAGTACAAAAGAGAATACAATCAATTAATGAATGATTATCCAATGGAATGTATTACTTTATACACTTTATTAGATAACGTCCTTCAAATTGTGTGTAATCATGAAGAATTAGACAGCAAGAGTAGTAGATCTTCATTATCAACAGCTTTAACTATAATTCAATCGCCAAATAAAAATGAGAGCGACAAATTACAACGAGCAGAAAATTTAGTGAAAGATGTATTCAAATCTTTATGTAAAACTGAAGATACAAAAAAAACGTACCGGACTACACAAGGATATGAATATGAACATCAGAAAGATGCGATTATAATTAACTATGGCGATATTGCTCAGTACAGTACTTTCCAATTAGGAAATATAAATTTGGACAATATCGTTCGATCATCTTTACTTGGAATGCCCATTAACAGATTGTGGCATAATGTAAAAATACCCAATAATGAAATGGAAGCCAAAGCTAATTTTCATAAAAATGTTTTGCTGTCATGCTTTGAGAGAGATGATGTAGAGACATCGGAGTTACATAGATTGATCCATATATTAGCTTTCCGAAAGCTATACAATAATAGAAGTTCTTTAAAAAAAAGTGATGTAGTTTCAAAAACGATTTTTGACTTTAAAAAGAAGTATTTAAAGCGTAGCATACTCGCGGAACCTTTGTCAAATTCACCATCTTTAAAAAACTACAATTTTTCGGCACATTCTTTTCCTTCTATAAACAAAAGTGAAAATGGATCTGAGATGTCCTACAGCGGTGGATCAGAATCGAGAAGTATAAAATTTGTATTTGACTGTCCTGATATAAGTGAATTGGTCTCTGAAACTGAAATCGTTAACGAAAAACCATCTAGTCATTTAATCGATGATTTTGATTATTTTGAAGACTTCACTGGTATAAGTGCCTTCCAGATCATTCTAGAAGCGTTTAATACATTCAATTGCGTTGATTATAAATATTGCGAAGTCACAGATACATTTGTACTTATGTTTTTCAATAGTCATAACAAAGATGGTATAGCGTGTGAAGAATGGAGAAGCCATATACCAACACCATTATGCTTGCAAGACTTCTTTGATTATACTCTAGAAGAACACTACGAGTGGATACAAAAAGAAGAAAAAGCATATGATGAACATGTTATATTTAAAGTTCAATCACAGTTCACTGATCTGAATCAATATGATCCAAATTCATGCTTAGATAATGTAATTGGCGATGAACTACTGATTGAAGGTTCTCTTAAACATCGAGAAATTAAACAGAATGAAGTAATCAGTCCAGAGATAACAGAAGTGAAAACCAATTCTAAAAAAACGATAACATCGCCAACAACTGATACTGATTCCAAAACCACTAAAAAAACAAAATCCTCGACACCTAACACGCCAAAAAAGGTAAGAAGATCATTTATATTACCAGGAAACGATTCTGAGATTGTCATTATAAAAAAACCTTTTTTGGGATATGACTTAGGAAATAGACGGGTCGAAGTATTCGGGAGGGATGCTTCATTCTTTTCAAAGGATGGGACGAAATTGAAAAGTACATACACATTGTTTCTACCCACAAATTTAGAATATTTGACACTAAGTGTTACACCAGGAAACAGAGAAAATGTCTTCTGGTTTCATAGAGCACTGAGTGAGATGGTTTCAAATGATATATCGGATGTGTGCAATTCATTCAGAATTTCAACCAAAGATCAAGTGATGATAAATATAAAATGTCAATCACAACCAGGAGCAATACCTATTGCAATGTTTGGTTGCAATGAAGAGTCGAACTATAAGGAAGATAATTTAAAAACGAACATTCCAATAAGCTCTAGCACTCCTGTAGAACAAATGCTACTTTGCTTTTCCCTATATGTTACTTGGCCTAATGGACTTGTTACAGAAACAGTGCACGAAAAAGATTCCTCAAAAATATCTTATATTAAGCAATACTATGTTTGCTCTCTGAATACTGACGAAAGATTGCGCTGCGTAAACGTAAACGGTGAAGTTATCATATTTAAAAAATCTGGTCAAGTCGAAACGTTACGCCCTGATGGTTCTATTATAAAAATAATAAATTGTCAAAAAAGAAGTTATATCCATTTACCAGACGATTCCATAAGTGAAAATAGTTCTGAAAAAAGTAAAAAGGGTAAAGGAAAAGATAAAAGTAAAGACGCCAAAGATAAATCCAACAAAACCTCAGCAAAATCTTCTAAAAATTTGATATTAGAAGACGAGAACATTACAAACCCACAACAAATGGAACCAGAGTTAGTTATAGAAGAGTTTGATACGATTGATACAAATGGACTTCACGAAAAATATATTAAAGGCAATGTTTACAAAATGAAAAATATACTTATCCGAACAGCTACTGATTTTTGTCTAGGTGAGATTTTTTCTAGACGAACTGATGGAACTAACATATTGCTGAACAAAGATGGAGTACAAGTCGTAAGTTTTCCTGATGGCACCAGAATAATCACAAAATACGTTGAGGAAGCGGAAGAAATTTATCCTGAATGGTCCGAAGAAGAAATTATCTATTATGGATTATTTAATTCCAATAATATTGATTCAGAATCAACGAAATCTAAGGTATCCGCGTCTCAAAAAAGCGGCAGAAGCTCTTACCTTGAAACTAACAACACAGTTGATACTCTAAATATCTCTTACATTAAAAACAATGAGGAAATAGAAACGGACATAGAAAGAAATGATGGATACGTTTCCGTTAAAAACATATATACAATTGAACATAAAAATTTCACCACCATCACTGTTAATACCTTAAATGAAACGGTCTCTGTTGAATCACCAAATAAAACTAAAATTACTCTTGACAAATATAATCATTTTGAATTTGATCTAGACTCTGTGACTAAAGCTAGTTTTAATGGGGACACAGTCAACATAGATTATACTGCTTGTGTCGATTGCGAATCGAAAACTAAATGTGAAATTGAAATTAGAGCCGAAAAAGAGAAAATCGATCCAAAATCCCTACAAAATTGGTTAAAAATGAGGGATTCTTTTAATAAAAAAATTGTTGTTAATGAAGAAGGTGCTATCAATATAGAAGACCATCATTGTTCTTCAGAAAATATCAATTCTGGTATTTCTAAAAATGATATCGGAGCGGATGTTGTAAGCGACTATAACTTAGAAGGAGTTGAAGATGAAAAGTTTGAGGGCCCTAGTTTATCTCACGGAAAGTGCAGGGATGTTTATTTAGCAAAGACACTGCGTTTCTTTGTTTTAAAAAGGTGGGCTAACTTAGAACTTTTTTTATTTTACCTTAGTTCGTCCAAATTCCCACTATATTAACCCAATATTAAAAGAAACCCATCGGAATAGAGTAAAATCTAGCAGTTAGATAATGCGTCATAAACTAAATGGATAATACTCATTTGCATCTTCCGTGGCATTATAAAATGTATTACTCTACAGAACGTTAACCTGTTCGGAATTGGTGCATCGGGATTTGTTGGAGCAATACAAAGAAGCTTGTCGTTGGCAGCCATGGTGCTCAATCAACACATACGACGTATTTGGAGATCGGCGAACTCTACTCTCAATACTCACTCCAGTGCACCTCACAGAATCTGAGGTTGTTTATATTGAGCTTAAATAGACAATTAGTATTATAATATATCATATAAACTTAGAGCGATAAACTTAGAGCGGTTTATTTAAGGGTATGTTAGAATTGCACTTTGCTGGCAATACAGAAACCTGGATCACGTGAAACGTTCAATAAATTAAACAGCAGAAGTAGGTAGTAAATTAGTAAGTAGGGCTTTGCTTTTTGAACAAGAAGCTTCATATTAAATATTTCCATTCCCGATCCTGCGGACAGAATGGAAAGCAGTCGACGTCGCCCAAAACACGTCATCTCGGATCCTCCCGATCCACTAACGGTGCTTCTAGGTACTTCAAGCACCGGTCACCGTCCTCGTCGAACCCGTTGCTTGCGACGAAGGGCTCGACGAGTAAATTAACTCTCAGACACAGCCCACTGAGTTTCTCGCCCGATTTTCTCAGTGGGTCGCGATTCCGATCCGGTGGTAGATTCTGCGAAGCACGACTCTTGCCAGGGTTCGTGTTAGCATCGACGTCAGGTTTGAGCCCCGTGAACTCACCTACTTTTTACGGTTCCGCTTCCTACCAGCTTAGGTAGGAAAAAAAAAATTTAGTTTTTTTTTAAAATTAGTTGTATTAATTAACATCGTGTTTTTATGTGTTTACTTATCTATGTATTTTTAAATAATTTCTTGTCTTGTTAGAAATGGCTCATGGATTCTACGTTAGCGGACAAACCTAAGTATCTCACGTACAAAGATTTAAAGAAAGACAGCGGTAAAGGTTTCTACCACTGGATGCGACCTTACAATCGTTTTACTCCGAGACCGGCCAAACCTGAGAATGTTCTGCCACCCAGATTACCTAGAGCCTATATCTTGAGGTTAAAATGTTTAATAAGTTCAATATTTTCTTTGTCTTGTTACGCGTTGGGGTTCGGGAGAAATAAAATTCTACCGAAATACAAATTAAAAGCTGTATTGAACACTTAGAACACTTAAAACACTCACAAACACTTTAAAATTCTCAATTCTCTTCTACCGCTTCGCTTCGGGTGATCCATTCGCTGCTTCGCTTCGAGTAGTACCGATTACTAACTGACTGCGTGCCATCTCTGCAACGCTTTTATAGCCGATACCACATCCCTAGAATTATCGAGAATATTCTTCACATTTCGAGTACTGGTTTCCGCTATCTGACAATAGATGGCGTTGTACTTCTCGAGCGTTCTAGGTGCTGCTAGACCTTTCGATATTCGTTCGACTATTCGGCGATAGATGGCGTTACTCTTACCGGCGTAACACGATGTTAATTTCGTAGCTAGTAGACGTTTATTACATAGTAGAAAAGTCTCAAGTTAATTACAAGTCTCAAGAAGTTAAATGCGGTAAAAGCTTAGCGCTAGATTGGCGACTAGATCGGTTTCAAATCAACTAAAAACAGCATAGTTTGCCTAGGGTTACCTATACACAATTTTACATATTTCGCCTTATACACATATTCATGTTCATGTGTGCGCTGCCTATAAAGGGTACACGGTATTTTATAACTTTTATTCTCCTACCAGACCTCGTATTGTTTACTGGAAACATTAAAAAGCATTGTGTCGATAAATGAAAACCTCGTACTCGTTTTTAACCTAATTTAACGTTAATAAACAGGACATTAGAACAACAATGGTCCGATAAGGAACGTGAAACACTAAAAGGTGCTAAGGAGCTTTTGTTTGCTGTCCTTCGATATCGACAAGTGTTGGAAGATGACAGGCAAAGACTACTTGATATGTCCGTCCTCGATCAGAGAGCTGAGGACGAACGCCACATTGACGACATCATACAAGCTCTTGGATACAGGTTACAATGAGAATATTGATTTTGTTGAAACTCCCTATTCTCTATACCTACACACATAAGTCATATAATTGATAATATTTATTTATATATATGTTTTTATGTATACTAGCTGACCCGGCGGACTTCGTAGTGCCTCAATCGCTAAGTAAAAGACCTAAACTTTTGTATAAAATAAACTTAAAACAAACAAAAGGAATCCGTCCGACGGGGGATACAACAAAGGAAAAACAAAATTGTTATTTTTATTTAATTCCGAACATTTTTATTAATTTATTTACCTTTTAAACCTTCTCTGGACTTCCACAAATAATTCAAGACCAAAATTAACCAAATCGGTCCAGCCGTTCTCGAGTTACGCGCGAGACTAACGAACAGCATGTATTTATTTAAGTATGAGTATTTGTATCTATAAATATTATGTATGTCATATAAGTATACACATATGCTTAAGTAATATCACACTACACCTACCAAGGTTCATCTCTGCACCCCCCTAAGGTATACTGTTAGAGAATGCCTATGGCATTAAGTCCGCGTTTAAACTGTCTAGTATATAAAGTTATAAATAAATAAATACGTCTAACGGCTGTCTGGTGTAGTGGTAAGTGACATGGTCACTACACAAGGAGGTCGCGGGTTCGAATCCTGCCAAGGGAAGATATTTGTATGATAAATATAAAATGTATTTTCCAGGGTTATGGATTGGTAGATAGATATATTAAATATATGTATGTGTATAATAAAAATCTTACATTTATTTCAGTTATCTGGTACCTGTAACACAAGTTCTTTACGAACTTAGCACGGGACCAGTTAACGTGGCGTGATTATTAGTAAATATTTATTTATTTATTATTATTATTTATACATACCTATATTGTATCTTGAAAATAAATACTCAAACGTGAACAGTGACGGCCGAAGTGGGTGATATTTTCGATAAGATTAATCAACAGAATCGTCCAATGAATTTCAGAACTTATTTTCATGCTGAGTATTCAATAGCTCCCGAAACAATGATAAGAGATGAATTCTGGGTACGAAAAGTAACATACAAAAAATTTATAATTCGAAGTCTTTTTTTTATTGCCGTATAGGCAGTCGAGGATGCGGTCCACCTGATGATGAGTGGTTACCGTCGCTTATGGATGTTAGCAATACCAGGGGCAGAGCCAAGCCGCTGCCTACCGCTTAATTCTCTGCACAAGCCTCATTTGAATAAGGACATGTCATAGCGCTCGGGAAACACCGTTGAGGGGAGCTCATTCCAAAGCTCGATGGTACGTGGCAAAAAATATGTCTGGAAACGCACTGTGGAGTAACGCAATGGGTCCAGGTAGTATGGATGAGCTCTACTCCGATGGTGGGTGGTGCGATGGTAAAAACAAGATAATGGTATTATCTCAAATAATTCCTCAGAGCACTCCTACTTTTTCATTTTGACAACGTTTTCTTGGGACTCCCTCATCCCCGAAAAGTAAGTATCAGAGGCCTTCAGAAAACATTATAGGAACATGATGTATGCACGCTTAGCTTATTTTTTTTGGTGTTTTCATAAATATGTCACCTTTAATAAAATGTTATTTGTTTATTTACAATTGACACCACTGTTCCGTGTTTTTTGATAGTATGGCAATTATTACTTACATATTAACCATATCACAACGTCTATGAGATGTCTATAGATTCTGGCAACCGCTTAACACCCAAGACACAGTTTGTCACTATCCTATTTTACACAATTCTATTTTATTGCGTGGTAAGTTTTTTTATGTAGATTGTAGATCAACATGTTTAATGAACGAACCCCCCCATTTGTAGGTAGTCGAGCATATGGACCACCCGATAGGTTAGTGATTACTGCCGCCAGGGACGTCTTAAACTAGGCTGGGGCCCTTGGGCACACAAGAATTTGAGGCCCTTTTGGAAAGTAAAAAAAGCGAATATAATAACATTTTTTTACTGAGTATGACCATTTATTATAGATAATCAAATACAGTATGATATAATAATATTAATTATATTAGAATGCTGCTGGTTTTTTGGTTACTATTACGATAATAGTTTCTTTCGGGATTTCTGTTGAGCAAAATATTCCATTATATCTTTAAAGTAAATTTTTTGAAGGATATCACTTTCTATGCCCATAATTGACAAATTACTCAGCCGTTCTTGTAACATTGTTGTTCGCAATTCATTTTTTATTCTCTTAAGCGAAAATGACCGCTCTCGACTACAATTGGTAACCAAATTGTCGGTCCTTCGGGGCCCCCTGAGAATGGGGGCCCTGGGCACGGGCCCCGTGTGCCCTTATGGTAAAGACGGTATTGACTGCCACTCATGGATTTTCTTCAATCTTTGTTTGAAGAAAGATCTCATTGCGCTCCAGAAACACTGGAGAGAAGTTCATTCAAAGTAAGATGGTACCTAGAAGAGTTTAGTTTATTCAGTAGGTAATATTAATAATATAATAGAACTAGTCGTACCTACTCGCCCGCTTCGCCGGGCATTTAAAATTAACATTATTATTTATTCTCATTATTATTAGGGAGTCGAACACTCATATAAATACATGTATTTTCCTATCCATTAAGTACATGTATTTTCTACATGGATACCAAGTTTCAAGTCAATCGGATGCATGGTCCAATAGTTATAATGGAACATCCGTAAAAACCACTATAGATTTATATATTATATAGATATAATAAGTACATATATTCTTAATAAATTATGAATATACATCCACTAGTGCCGATTTAAGACACATTTAAGTATTGCCCTTACTGTAGGTACATTATATTATAGAATTTATGAAGATCTTAAGACACGTTTGAGGGAAGATGTGCTCAGTCGAGCGGAAGCGACGATAACTACGGAGCCACGTCCAAAACCAGCGCCTGAAGACCTGTCTGCCGAGGGCGAGGCCGCGGAAGGCGAAGGTAATTTCGTTAGTGCTCGTGAAATAATCAGGAATCACGCTTAGCTGCGGAAAGAGTACTTCCGCGCGATCTTATTAGCGTAAATATACCTACCTACACGTTCACGCTTTTGATCAATAATTAATTGTGATGTTTGAGCAAAATACACATCGCTGTGCAGGCGCCTTTCGTGTTATCACTTAGGTACCTAGTACTGTGAATACGAGCATTTTAGTTGAATACAAACAACGTTTAAAAAAATATTAGTAGTAACAATATAAATAGCAAAAATTGGTACATATATACAAGATCTATACGGGATCTTGACGAACTGGTGACGATACGAAACTAGATTTTATTTATCTTCTATTTTATTAAAATCATTTGAAAAATGCCTTCGTAAGAATTAATTAAATTTCACATTGACCAAATATTCTGATCTTCAGAAACAACGACCTATTTATGGCAAGATAATAGTGCTGAAATGAACAAACTCAACAAATCTCTGTAAAATGATAAACGATGAAACAAGTTGAGAATGATTATTTTTTAATAAAAACACAAAATTAAGAAAACAGAAAGAAATGGGTAATATAAAGACAAACGTCAAAAGTGAAGTATATAAAAACTACATTAGTTATCAAAATAGCAAAGAGGTTCACAACATCCTCCCCCTCGTGCAGAAAAGCACAAACTGGTTATGCAAACCAAGGTCAGTCAAGGCCTTAGGTGGAGAGCCTAACCAGCTTTCGTACGGGTCGGCGTAGCATTCCCCCTGCTGTTGCAACGTCCACTACCCTTATCACGCCATCTTTCCCAGGGTACACTTTCGCAACACGTCCTCGTGGCCATATTCCGCGGGGCAAGTTGAAGTCAGCAATAATTACTACGTCACCCTCTTGAAGAGCTGTTGAACTGCGGTTGCCTCTTGACTGCTCACGTGGTTGTAGGGTCGGGAGAACCTCGCGCATCCAACGCGACCAAAAATGATCCGCTAGCCTCAATGCTTTCCTCCATTCGGAACGGCTGACCAAATCGTGATCGTTCAAGGCAGTAGGTAAGGTCTGCACGGACGAAGAACCGATTAAGAAATGAAATGGTGTGAGTGTTGTCGGGTCGTCAGGATCTGTAGATACATGAGTTAATGGACGTGAATTGACAATGGCTTCTGCCTCGGCTAGTAAAACGCTCAAGGTTTCTTCTTTTGGAGCTCGTTCGGTTAATGTTGCGTTCAGAGCTACCTTTACTGATCGCACCAAGCGCTCCCAACATCCTCCGAAATTAGGTGCCGCAGGTGGGATGAACTTCCAGAGTATTCCTTGAGTGCTTGTGAAATCTTCGACATTTTCTCCGTAGAAACCTCTGAGAATGCGATTGGCACCAACAAAGCAGGTTCCGTTGTCCGAGAAAATAATGTTTGGACAGCCCCGTCTTGCAATGAATCTTCTAATAGCCATGATAGCAGAGTCAGTCGATAGACTATGTACCATTTCTAGGTGAAGGGCTCTGACAGTTAAACAGGTGAAAAGGGCCACATAACGTTTTTCATGCCTGCGCCCGATAGTGACGCTTACGGGGCCGAAGTAGTCCAGACCCGTAAAAGTAAAGGGCCGTCGATGGTGAGCTAATCTTTCAGGTGGCAGATCTCCTGTTTTCGGGTTCACCGGCAAGGACTTTCTAATTCTGCAGAGTGGACACTCTTTTGCTACTGTTCTCACTGTGTTCCTCAGCCTTAACAACCAGAATTTTTGTCTTAATTCGTTCACGACTAGTTCATAATTTGCGTGACCCGCTTTTCGATGATAAAATTGTACCAATAAACGTACAATTGGGTGACGACCGTCAAGAAGGATGGGGAAGCGTGTGTCAGGGTCAATGCCTTCTGCGGCTTTAATTCTTCCGGCTAACCGCAGTAACTTGTCCTCTCCCAAAGCGGGTGACAGTTTTCTGAGACGACTGTTCGGAGGAATAGGCTTCGAGTTCAGGATATGAAGAAATTCTATGGAAAAGCTCTCGACCTGTGTTCGTTGCATAATTTGCCTTTCAGCGGCCTTTATTAAATCCGCACTAAGAGGTGGTAGAGTAGTGGACGTTGAAGGATGGCGGGCACAAACTATTTCGCCTTTCAATTTAGAATTTCTAATGGAAGCCAAAATTACACCAAACTTTGCCGCAGCTTGAAGTACCCGGGCTGTGGCACGTAATAAGCGCTGCCAATTACTAAAATTAGCAAAAATGGCTGTGACCGGAGTCGGTAACTCTTCGACAAAGGAAGTTAGTCCGACCAACTCATAACTATTGGTCTTAAGTTCATCGGTGTTTGGTGAGGCAAACCTTGGCTCTGTAGGCCAGTCCTCAACGGATTTAAAAAGAAAAGATGGACCGCGAAACCATCTGTGGGACATGTCGAGGTTAATTGATCGCGTTCTGGTAGCGTCGTCGGCAACATTCAATTCCGTTGGTACCCATCGCCAGTCTCTGACGCAAGAGTTTTCAATAATTTCGCCTAAACGATGGGCAACAAAAGGCTTAAAAGAGCGCGCGTCATTACGTAACCACTGAAGGACTGTCATAGAATCGGTCCAAAAGAAAGTATGTGCCGGTTGTTTTCTATGACTGTCCTTAATGGTGACCGCGAGACGAGAAGCTATTAAAGCGGCCTGGAGCTCTAAACGTGGGATAGAGATAGGTTTCAAGGGTGTAACTCTTGCCTTACTAGAGATGAGAGAAAGCTCGATGCTGCCGTCTGAGTATAAAAGGCGCCAATAAGCGACACATGCGTACGCGAGCTCACTTGCATCAGCAAAAACGTGTAACTCCCTCTGAGTTGGTTCAGAGTTTTTAGAGTTAGAATACCAACGCGGAATTTCCAAAGAAGTTACTTTTGACAACTCCTGAAACCAATCAGACCATCTTAATGCTTCCGTGGGTTGGAACTCGGTGTCCCAGTCGACATTAGACCTCCACGTTTGTTGAAATAAAATTCGACCCTTAACAACTATTGGAGCTAATAAGCCTAACGGGTCGTACACACGCATGAGGTGACAAAGAACTTTGCGTTTTGTGAGAGGGTTTGGAAATGTTTCACCTAAGCCTGAGCGGAACCCTAAATTATCTGTTATGGGATTCCACAATACTCCCAACGCTCTAATATTGTTTGCAGAGCAGCTGCCAAGGTTGATTTCCAACGACGGTTGAGTGGCCCTAAGATCAGCAGGAATAAATTTTAGCGCTGATGGATCGTTGGAAATCCAGCCCCGCATCTCGAAGTAGGCATCATTGTGAACGGCAACAATATCTGCCGCCAGTTGTGCTGCCTCTTGAATGTCATCGAGAGAGTCAATATAATCGTCCATATAATGATTGTACAAAATAGCATGAGCTGCTTTAGGAAATAAACTTTCGTGCTCACGAGCGTTTTTATTTTTAATAAATTGCGCTATAAATGGACTGCAGCACGCACCGAAAATGATGGCTGTCATCCTAAACTCCTTTATAGGTTGGTCTCTGCTTGACCTCCAGAGAAACCGGAGGGCGTCCCTATCTTGCTCTCTGATCCTTACTTGAGGGAACATTTCCCGGATATCAGCAGTGAGAGCAATACGGCCCTCGCGAAACCGAAGTAAAATACCTAACAAGGACTGAAGCAGGTCTGGACCAGGTAGCAACAAAGAGTTTAGGCTGACGCCCGCATTCGTGGCTGCGGCGTCGTGAACTACACGAAGCTTACGTTTCTGAGGGTGATACACGCCAAAATGGGGTAAATAGAGCCTCATAAAAGAAGATTGTTTATCTTTAATGTGGTTGGCGTAGTATGACTCGGGAGCACATTCTTCTGCATAGCCTTTAGCGATCATGTTTGAAATGAACACGTCATATGCTTTTGCAAAGTCAGCATCTTTAGCCATGCGCCTTTCTAGACTTAAAAATCGTGACATGGCTTGAGGGTAGCTGTCGGGAATGCGTTGTATATCGTCACGCCACGGCAAACCCACCTCAAATCGACCAGAAGTGGGGAGACGTCTAGCAGTTTTTTCTAAAATCTCGACTGCACGTTTATCTGACTTAGAATGTAGAGTTTCTTTTTTAGAAATACCTAATGAATCAATTTTGTATTGTTCCCTAATAAAAGAGTCTAATTTCTCCTCATCGGAAGGTTCGATACACACACCGTGATTAACAAACTCCACTGATTTAGTTTTACTGGACGCGATTCCATAAAGCACCCAGCCTAAGGCAGTTAAACAGGCAACGGGTTCATTCTTACCACCACACCGTACCTCGCTGCTGATTGACAAATGCCAATGCTCTGCACCAATTAAAACTGTTGGTGTAGCATCTTCATAAGTTACGTTGCAAGGTAAATTCGCTAAATGTGCGAAAGAAGCAATAGTTTCCTGCCTAATCGTTTGAGGACGCAGAGACAAAGACTCCATAGCTCTCGCATTTTTCACTAAAAATGTGTCTCGTGTGTGCCTACCCTTAATGTGAAAATCTACATACGATATCGTAGCGTTTCTACTGAGACCGCCTATACCATTAACCGTTATTTTCTGGTGAGGCCCTGTCGCACCGATTTGAGTAGCAATACTTGAGTCAATGAGCGTAGCAGTGCTACCGTCATCGAGAAGTGCGTAAACATTGCAACTTCCTGAGGGACCAGAGACAGTAACGGGTAAGATTTTCAGAAATACACGTGGGCACAGAGTTAAGATGGAGCTGGGTTCTTGAACACCTGTAGAAGTGGTAGAAACTATTACCTTTTCGACAGATGCAGGTTCGTGGTGCTTAGTCGTATGATCATTTTCGGTGGATCGCGTGTCGAACATAGTATTGACAGAAGAGACAGGTTCTTTACCATGCATTAACGGGTGATGACGTATTAGACACCCATCAACACCACAAGGGTTAACTTTACATGTTTTCCACTGATGTGAACTACGCCTAAGACATCTATAACACGCTTTTACCTCACGCAGCCAGACCCACCTTTCATCAACAGATAAGGCTTTGAACTCAGAACATGACTTAATATTGTGATCTTTTTTGCAAAACGCGCATTCAAGCTTTTGTGTAGACGCCGCCTTAGAATTTAGTTTAGAGTGTGTAACTATGTGAATATTTTCCCGTTTATACGGTTTGTTTAGATGAGTGTTTTGTGGTGAATGTTGGATCGAGCAAGATTCCGGTGATAAACCGAACCGAATAAGTTGATCTAACTCGCGCCTCAAAAAATCGGACATAATTTCTAATTTAGGACGCCCTGTAGTATCTTGCATAGCAAAGTCCGTCCATCTTACTTTAGTAACCGGGTTTAATTTTCCTAAGACGGCGTGAAATAGTTCTGGAGAATGCAAGTACTCAATTTGATTCAGTATTTTAAAAGAAGATATAGAATTACGTACCTTATTCGTTATCGTAATTAACTCTTTCAAGTCATTTCCCAAACGTGGTAGATTTTTAAGAGCGGAGACTTCCTTAAATACTATAATTTCCGGGCGAGCGAAGTTCTCCTCCAGAGCTCTTATAATATCGTTCGGGTTGTCTGTAGCCAGCAACAGTGACGCGACTGCATCTCGGGCCGCGCCGCGAAGTGCATTTTGTAACCGACTAATATTTTCAATATTTGAAAAATTGTTTTTGGTTAAATCAAAAATACGTTTAAAATGTAGCCATGTTAAGGCGTCTCCGTCGAAAGGAAACAATTCGATCTTATGTTTATGACGGTGCGAAGTAGCAAGCGCCTTGGCCGCAGCTGCAGTGTCAGCAACAGCCTGAAGCAGACTACTCTGATCAACCTCCGTGGAAATGAGCGGTCGCGTAAGTACGGCCGCCTCGGACGCTTTAGTGACGTTTAAAAGTTGTTTCTGATGAACAAAACGGTTAACAGGGGATGCAGTTGACCCAGTGGCCGGCAGAGGTGCCTGGTGGCCGGGAGGCGGAACAACTACTTGCTCTCGCCCTACTGCGGGGATGCCTCTATTAACTGTATTTTCGCCAACGCAAACTGGCTGTCCTAAACTTTGTACCCATCTTTCTGTTCTTTCTACGCTTACCCTGGCAGAACCACTGCGACTGCTGTGACTTGCCGCGGCTTCCGCGTCGAGAGCGGCAAGTTCGGCCTTCAGTTCGCCCTCCTCTACCTGCTGACGGAGTGCTGCCAGTCGACTTTCACGTTGCCTCTCACGTTCAGCCAGCTCCTGCTCGTGCTCAAGACGTCGGCGCAGGGCGAGGGCCTCTACGGCGGCCTTTTGAGCCTTAATTGTGGATGACGAGCGTGATGATTTTGACTTAGACGTCTCACTCGGAGCAATGCTGTCTACATGTTGGGAAGTACTAGGTTGTATAATATTAACTTGCACACCAGTACTAGTCGCAGGGTTTGTCGGCATGATTTTACTTTTACTGCGGGTGATCATTAAGCGAGAAACAAAAATGAAATAAAGCAGTGAAAATGAAAACAAATACTACGAAATGAACGAATAACTAAAGCTACGTAATGAAAAATAGGTACGCTGGAAAATTACTGGTGAAGGACCAAAATGAAATGAACAAACTCAACAAATCTCTGTAAAATGATAAACGATGAAACAAGTTGAGAATGATTATTTTTTAATAAAAACACAAAATTAAGAAAACAGAAAGAAATGGGTAATATAAAGACAAACGTCAAAAGTGAAGTATATAAAAACTACATTAGTTATCAAAATAGCAAAGAGGTTCACAACAAGTGCGTTTAACTATTTTTTTATATATTTATGAAAAGCTGTTGTCGACCGGTCTGGTGCTAACAATGTGCTTAGTGCTTAGGTTTTTAACGTTCACGATAGCGTTAAAGTTAACTCAAAATTGTTTGCAGTTGAAACAGCGCCCCTAGCGGCAAACCTAGGCAAACGTTCCAACTCCATACAAATTTGAGTTAACTTTTACACCTTCGAGAACGTTAAAAAACTCGCACTCACTAAGCACATTGGTCACAGAAATCCGGAGACAGCAGAACAATGCGATGGTCCGCTTTGAGGCATAATTCAATCTTATTTCGCACAATTTCTGTCCATGCAAGCCTGAGAGCGCGTTTGCGTTTGCAAAAAAATACAGGATAGTTTTGCAACATTTACGAAATTTAAAAACAAGTTGGATCGTACGCCAAGTTTGTTTTACAAAAGTGCACCTCAGTACTAAAATATGAAACATTTTTGAGTTTTCTTTTCTAAGAAAATTTTAATAGTAGGTACTTTTTCTATATTAAGTACCTATGCCTTAGACAAAGATTGTCCTGTTTTCTAAAATCTGTGTTTGTAGTCAATGGCATAATACATTGTAGACCATCCTTCCGAGAATACCTTACTATAGTTCATATTGTATCAGCTCTCTGAACTATTAAGTATTAGTTCATCAGCATTCTCATTTTCCTTTACATTAAATATGGCTAGGTACCCAAACGAAATTCATACATATGCCCTCTTCCCCAATTTGCTAAAGTTTGGATGGCCGGTAGTACCTACCTTTGTCAATCTAGATACAGCCCTAACCATATGTAAGAACTGATTTAATCAACTTCATCAACAACTCGCACGACGCAAAAATATGAGTAGGTAAGATAATTTAGCGTCGATCTCTTTTTTTCTGGCTTAGAACGTACCAGTACTACCAGTGATCTGCTACTGTTCCAAGAAAACCGTAAACATTTATTGCAAGAATCGGAGGCTGCTGTAGGGACAAGTGAAAATTTGAAGAGGTACTGGCGTCGTCGTAATGAAGAATATAAAGAGGAACAATTTTATAGGTAAACAGGTTTGTCTCCCATAAGCGTTACTTTACTTTTGTGTTTAGACAACAACAAAAAAATTGCAATTAGAAGCTGTCTTATTACATCTAGGTCTCTGACACACCTGGCAAATTCGCGCTTGACCGCTAAAATTCGTGTCACCCACGTTTTACGAAATCTTTCGTGTCGTGCCGCCTTCTCAAAGTGGCGCATTAATGCCGACTAAATATACTTACTGATGGATTCAAGCTTCATGTCAGCATGGAGATCCACATTCCTCATGAACCACGGCTATCCTACAAAAGCGGGATTGAATTACTTGAAGGAGTTTAAAATTAGTGCGGGCCACTTGCTGGTGGTAGGACCTCTTGTGAACCCGCGCGGGTGGGTACCACCACCCTGCCTATTTCTGCCGTGAAGCAGTGATGCGTTTCGGTTTGAAGGGTGGGGCAGCCGTTGTAACTATACTTGAGACCTTAGAACTTAAATCTCAAAGTGGGTGGCGCATTTACGCTGTGGATGTCTATGGGCTCCAGTAACCACTTAACGCCCCGTGGGCTGTGAGCTCGTCCACCCATTTATGCAATAAAAAATAAATAAATAAAAACTTGCATAGGTCATGATCGGACGTATGTAACTTTTATAAAGTGTCACCATATTACGAAGGGACAATTTACCTCGCTTGCAAATCATCGGATATCGAATACCTCTACTTCCTGTTCACCAATCACGTTTTGCGTCACTTTTCATTTGAACATTATTGACAACTACATTGGCCATAGCCTTATTACAATATTTTCAGTTTACTTGCGTCGGTTTTTTTGTATTTTTTTATTTGGATAGTCAGAATAATATGGTCTCAAAAATTCATATTATTTATATGAGGCAATCTTCCGCAATCGTGAAAATATATTGGTAAAATTCACTTTTAGAAATTGAATAGAATAGAAATAAATCAAAACTAAAACACTTCTCATTGATTATTTTTTCTAATGGTGATTATTCGTTAAATGCGATCCAGTTGAATTGTGGCAACAATCTGAACGATTTCTTTCACCTACGAATGGTATAGAAGTACAAAATTAACAATCCGAGTTGTAACTATACTGAGATCTTAGAACTTATATCTCAAGGTGGGTGGCGCATTTACGTTGTAGATGTCTATGGGCTCCAGTAACCACTTAACACTGGGTGGGCTGTGAGCTCGTCCACTCATCTAAGCAATAAAAAAAAAAAAAAAAGTAAGAGGACAACCAAATTTTTGGTGAAATCTTCACGCTCATGTGCATTATCTACCAACATACCTAGGTACTGTTTATGTTTTTAAGGTATTTACTCAGAGAAGACAATGTACCTCCATACTTTCGAAACGTTCTCGGCGGTGCTATATGGTGGGAAATGAATAACACCGCTGGCGAGGCTGTCACAGAGGCCGAAAGGGCCAAGATGAACTGTGGATGCCGAGCACAGAGCTCGCGTAATGATGATAAACAATTTATTTAATAAAATTAACATTAATTTCCCTTTATTACTAGTATAATAAAAATATCGTTAATATGGCTTTCGTTTTTAAAAACCATTTTAACTTATGACTTTGCATGAAATTATATTAAAGCTAGCAAGCAGCTAGCGGCGTTGCTGGGGGCGGGGTGGTGAAGTCTGGTCTACACCAAGTAACACTGGGATGCACGTAAAATGAGCAAATGTTGCAATAGGTATCAAAAGCATTTTAAAAGTTTGAGAATACCTATAAAGATAATTTGGTTTCAGTTATGGAACTGTTACATGAACATGGACTATTTCTTAGCTACTTTACCCGGTCACCGCCCTTGCCGAACCCGTCGCTTGCGACGAAAGGCTCGGCGAGTAAATTACCTAACCCATAGACACATCCCACTGAGTTTCTCGCCAGATCTTCTCAGTGGGTCGCGTTTCCAATACGGTGGTAGATTTTGCGAAGCATTGCTCTTGCTAGGGCCAGTGTTAGCAACACTCCGGCTTGAGCCCCTTGAGCTCACCTACACGCCAAGGAGAAGCTAAAATAGCCTATCAAGGCTATCAACATAGGTAGGAAAAAACAGCTACTTCAGTACGTAAATAATTATTTATAAAGATTGTGTTCACTTTTATTCTGCTAGAAGAATAAGAAATGGGATCGACTCACGTTTCTCTGTCACATTTTAATGATACCTATGCTGTGTATGAATAATGTTAATGTTATCGGGTGAACTCGCCAAGCACGCTGTTAATGAAGCAAACAAAGCCGTCACGAAATACACAAGCTCCAAGTAATATCTTTCTTAATTCTTTAAACGAGTTCAAATGAAACTATAAGTCAGGGGTGGCCAACTTGATTAGAACCAAGATCTACTCTGTCTACTGACGAAACATTCTCCGATCTACGAATGACCTTTCTTGAGATTTAATGAAACAATGTAGTTCATTATACAAATACCTAAGTAGCATATATTCTTTTATTAAAAATATTAAAATAAACCTGAAATTATATAATAAAAGAGAAATATTATCTAGAAGAGAGAATAAATAATGTGACGTAATGGTCATTAACAAATGACACAAGATGAACATGATGCGTGCAGCAATTAATTGGTGATTACGTTCCGCAGTCTGGTCTATGTATGTATATTTTTTTGTCTTACCACGATCGACTGAACTAATAGCCACGATCGACCTGTCAATCGCGATCTACCGGCTGGCCACTCCTGCTAGGTATAAGTGATAAGTCTATAAAATACGAAGATTTCAAATAAGAGCGGTCGCTCGCTGGAGAGAACGGAGAAGTGGAAATTTAAGAATGTAGCCAGAGAGGTGCCTCCATAACGCTTTATGAAGGATACCGCCGGTTTTCTGGTGTTAGCAGCGTGTACCTTTACCTAATCAGGGTACTGCAATGAAGATGATAAATGAGCGATCTCAAAGAATTCACAGAGCACTCTCCATAAGACATAATAGTAGGTAGATACTTAAATAACTGAAACTGAGCAAAACACAAATGTTCCAATATCTTCTATACAAATACCTAATAGTAGATTTCGAGCTAAAGATTGGGTGTCAGGGCCTATTCCAAGAAAAGGCCGTACCTACGCTTTCTAGAGCACAAATCTATGACCTGGCGCAAAATATGTCTCTACGAGTCTAAAAATTAAAATAAAGAATACTTGGAATTGCGTCGCCATATCGAATGACTCCGTCTTACCTGTGCTGTATCATAGCCCTTACCTCTGGTGTTTTACAATTCTATTGTTTAGTCTAAGTAGGTGCGTTGGATATTATCGAGTGTTAAATAAACATTACATTGGTCAGCGTTAGATAACGCCGGCCAACAACCGATTTCATTTATTTTAATATACTTAGGTAGGTACCTACCTATATAGTGGGGCAGTCTCACACTAAGAGTATTAATCATTTCTCTGAGGTATTGAAAATATTTCGATTGGTATGTTTTTTTTTTTTTAATAAAGCCTCGCCGATTTTTACGTCTTAAGCTAAAGATTAGGTATATTGAAAATTAATTCAAATTGAAAATGTGTTTAAGATAAATTGTGTAGAAGAATAAAAACAATTTCATATAACAATATCGGATTATTTAGGTGCTCACCAAGTTAATATAACTATGAAATTTATTGACAGTAGTTTAGTTCATTTACGAGTTGCTTTATTAAGTTGAAAATCCTGGATTTAGAACGGAAAATATTTGAATATTTGATGCGAATTTATTCAAGTGTGAATACTCGTAAATATCACATAGTACTATATTTCCGCTCAAAATTGATAACGAGGATAGATTACGTAGGTATATCATGCCGTAAAACAAATGATAAATCCTCGATATATTTATCAATGTCGAGTTTGCTAATCTAGTAACCAGCATATCCAAGACGGAAAGAACATACCCAAACAAAAATGTAACACAAAACTATAAACAAAGTTACAATTTTGTGCTTGAACAAATAGGTCGTGTGTGGTCGTCAGATTTCCACACGTCGGTGTGAACTGCGAACTCGTTGTTGAGTTGTTATGCTTCGTGGAGTCTGGGACGGAAACGGTGGCCATTGCGATATGACTTGTACACCTAGTTGTGAATGCATAAAACCAACACGAGCCTGATAAAGAATAGTTAGCTGTATCCATATGCCTACGTGTTTCGCAGGCAGATAAAAATAATCAATCATTTGTACTGCGATGATTACAGATTTAGGTAAAACTAAATAGTAAATAAAATTAAACTTTAATCGGTTACAGCCGATTGGTGTCTTATATAGAGCGGTGTGGCTTCGCATGCCAATTTGTTGGTTAAACGAATGGCGGGAGAAGAGTCAGCATTCAGCTCTCTCTAGTGTAGGTGAATTCGATAGTATTTTCCCCACCGCTTTTTCCGTATGACGCTAACAGCCAGTGGTAAGAGAGTGCATCCGAGGCGGCGATTGGCCCGTGTGGCAGCCAATGTGCGGACCGGCCGCGCGTCAGCCCTAGGCACGAAAGGGATCGCCGAGGAACGATACTGTTCTCGTCTGAACGTAGAACAGTCCGTTCCGGGCCCTTGTGATCGCGAGCTCGATGACATTTGCATGTCTTGTGAATTGTTTATCGAGAAACGAGTGCAATTGTTCGACATGTGCCATATTATACGAAAATTGTGAACGCGTCACGTAAACACAAGACGGTCTTTTCACGTGAGTAGTAGTGGCTAATGGATTATTGTTTTAATGTCGATAAGAGATGGCGCTAGGTGTCATGTTACGCTCATGTCGTTGAACTGTTATATTGTGAATGACGACCTTTAGCCAGTGCATGAACTTTGTGGACTTCGATACGATACTGAATGAATTTATTAAAGTGCCATTACACCTGTACACGTGTCTTGGCTATTGATAATACGTTATACGTTTACAAAAATAAAAAAAAAACACTAGATAACTTCCTGTATCAAGTGTATCTTACAATGCAGTCCATTCCTGTCAATTTCAATCTGACTCTATTAGATAAAAAAAATTTGGAACGGTCTTAGATAGGTCCATAAATACACATAAATATTAAATAAATATAGGCAACAGTATTTAATACTCACTCTTTTTTTTTTCCTCCAATTTTATGACGATTGCCATTCTAACCGAATTCAGATAACATAATATAAGTAGTACGCTTATCTAAGCCGGCAGACAAAGTGAAATTGTACTATAACGACTAAAAATAAAGATCAAATTTGCTTCATAACACTTTTTTCGTAAGTACCTATAATAAACAAAACGTGAATGAGTAAAAAAATCATAAGTGCTCATCGTACTTGGTAAAATGTGTACCTAGACACTAATAATATTCTTGTACAATGTACCATAGTTGGAAAAACTACGCCGTACTTCCTTATAAGAAATAGAATTGAATTTTTCTAGTCTTACAAAAAGTAGTTTATGCATGCTAGAAGCGGAACGGAATTTCATGGCGTCTACTAAGCTTACCTATGATTAAAATATCCGAAATATTGTCCCATTGTTGTAATACATTGACGTCTTATTACGATTCTACTTAGACTGCGTTGCATCAGGAGCAGCGTTGGAGCGTATCCTATTGGAATTGTTGACGTTAAATAATGGAGCATTGTTAGAATAACGACGCCTAAGTTTAATGGTGTCGCGACAAAACATCGCTCGGATTACAGTCCCAGGAAGGTATCAAACGCTTTAAAGTATCAACAATCGCATGAGCCTACGTCCAACATCGATAAGCCGCAAATTTGTTGAAAACTAGCAGCATTGTAAGCACGCCAGTATTTACTTGACGAAAAATTTGAAACCTTCGTTATTTAAAATTTTAAACAATCCGGTATTGTTTCTTCGTCTGTCATTCTGCTTTCATGCTAAAACCGGTTTTTTTTTCAAACAGTTACTATTGCCATTTACATAATACATCTAATCTTACTTATTCTTTAGGGGCTGAGCTAACAATTTTTCGACATTTCAACCCTTAGGAGCTTTTGTATCAATAATAAATATGCATAGATATGTACATAGCAATAGCATAGGATTAGGAACGGTTTGTGTATTCTGTGACGCGCCACAAAAAATGACGGCGAGATCTCTAAAGAATTTTATTATTTAAGTGAATAGTTGAAAAAATCTAATGCGCTTTTAAATTTACCCGAATATTGTAATTTTTGAGAAGGTTTGAATCAGTAATGATAAAAATAGAGATATGACCAAGATATGTTCCGTTATTACCTGAGAAACAGGATATTTCCGGTTACGGCGCTAATGGCAATAAGAAGTTAATAGTAAATTAATTCTCTTCTTATTTTTATTGTCAACGAAAGAAAACGTACTTATGGGCCAGTAGGTTCAGCATTTCTCGATGGTTCTCGCGAAGGACAATTCAGTCCAGAGACGGGTGACCGATTATAGAAAAGATCTCTTAAAATGCGGACGAAAGAAGCGATTCCAGATAACAGAGACGTACTCTGCTCTAGTGTTGAGTGGTACGATGGCGAA